TCGAAGTGTTGAAATAAAATGAATTTTAAGTATCCAATAAATAAAAGTAACATGTACGTAAACGATTATTTCGATCAAAAAATAACTATTATCTTGGATACCTTTCTAACATTCGCAATTTTAATCGGAATTCGAAATATTATGTATTTTGGAGCGATTTTTTGTCTGAGTGCAAAAGACAAGTGTCAAGTTAAGTATTTATGCCAATATTATGAATGGTTATACCTACCACAGTATAGTCACTTAGTCACTTTTACTTTCCATTTGCACTCATTGGTGGCACTTAACTGCAGTTGCGTCGTCTCCTTCTTCTTCCTCTGACCCCACGAAGCGAGCCACACTGCGTTAACATAACATTTTGGGCATTATAAATATTTGAGCGCTTAAAAGCTGTAGTGGCAAGCTGGAGACGGGACTCTGGTGCACAGTTTGCTTTCGTTTTAGTTTTGGATGCTGCATGGCTGCCAGCTACTTAAAAGAGCAACGGCGATTATCGCATCAGGTTGCGCCATTCAACTTGTTCATGGTGATAAAAGCAAAAAACCAACTCTGCAACAACAGAGCCTTTCTCTCTCTCTCTCTCTCTCTCTCTCTCTTACTGTATCTTTCATTTTAATATGTGGGTATTTTGAGCTTACTTATTTGTTTTAGGAAAATTGGAAATTTGCAAAATTCCATGATGCTAATTTAAACTTTACTCTTGTTTATGACAATTAAGAGCCTTGCAGCGAAACCCGAAATGTTGTGGAAACATTGAACCCATTAGAGATCCCATCTGCATTTGTTGAGCACGCCTAATGGCAAAAGCCAAGACCCAAGACCACTCCACAGGCCAACAACAGCCACAGACCAATGCTTTGGATTCTGATTTTGATTCTGATTCAGATTCTGATTCTAAGCCAGCTGGCAGAGCTCTGCCTTCCTGTGGCGAATTTTGCATTAGTTTTGCCTTAGCCTTATTGTAATATTATTCGTACTAAGTATTTTTGTGCTCAATGTGGTACAAATTTAGTTGCAACACTCATGAATCTGACCTGAGGCGACTTTGTGCTCTGTTTCCTGCTGACATACATTTTACATTTGCAGCAACTGTTTTTGTGTAGTCTACTTCTGTCTACTATTGAAGAAGCCAGTAAATAACAAATAAAATGTAACAAGATTTCAAATCCACTTAAAGCATTGTTCAAATCAAAATTAAGTTTATTTTTATTGTAATATGCAAGATCAATAGTTCTTAGATTCTTAAATTTATAGAGTGTGTAGTGTATGCTGACATTCGTAAAATGTTTGCTAATATTTCATGAAAGTATTATGAAAAGTTTGGCAAACTCAACAATGTTACCAAAATCTAATATTTAAAGAAGCTCTGACAATTACAATTATAACTTGGAGCCAGCGAGAGACCTATTTAACTTATAAAAAGCGGTTACACAACAAAAAACAATAAATGATTATTATTTCATGATGGAATCAAAATAGAAATAAGATCATTTTATTAAAAATTCTTATGTGTTTCTGATTTATTGAATTGTTTGCAGAAAAGTCGCTACAACCTGTATTATATACTTGTTAATTGTGTTATTATGTCAATGAAATTATGCCAATTAGTTGTTGTATTTAAATCAAGCGCTAATTATGCCACTCACAAGTTATTGACAACTGCGACTTATAATTTAATGTTAAGAATGTGAATCTAAGAATAATCCTCAAGCTTGAACTAAAAACTATATTAATTAAAATTATATTTTAAAGTTTCAAATAGTTAATGGTTAATATTCATTTATAAATAATAAAGTGTATCTATGGGGCAATGGCACATTTTGCACATTGAGGCGGCTTTTCTTGTTTACCTTTAGTTTGTTGCTCTTTGCTCAATCGTTGTCTTAAAATGGCAGTTCGTGCGCATCCTGAGGTGTCACATATCCCCAGGCAAGACACAACTGCGGCTTTTATTGTTTCCGCTGTTGACATTATCACGCTGCCGACACCTGACGGCTCGAGTTGGCAAGCGTTTTATTGTTTCGGCTTTAACGCAATGTGACAGCTCCTCACACAACGCCACCCGTAATCGCATTCATCCTCCTCACACTCACATTCACAATCACACTCACATTCACAGTCACACTCACACTCACACCTACAGCCCTAGAAGCAGCCACAGTTAACTAGTGTTCCAAAGTCAATGGTTGCCACATGCTGTTTTGCGACATCAAGATAATTAAAAGCATCTTCAGCCAACTCTACTGACTTGAACAAGTTTGCCAAGGATAATACAATGAATATGTAAAATAGTTGCAGATTAAAAAGTGACATTATTTCCTTAATAAATTAAATAATTGGGCATCACTGATATACAATATTCATATAAGAATAAATTGTGTGGATAATTATTGCTGAACATTGCCAATTATGCACTCAATAAAAATACAATTTTTGGAATAATTAAACAAATAATAATAAAAAATCGTTTTTCTATTTTTCACATATAAATTGATTAAATATGCAAAACATTTTTAAAAATTAGAAATGCCACACATATTTTTAGAATAATATTAACGAACTTTTTTCTCTCGAATGCCATGTTTGCAGTCTGTCAAAATGCTAAGTGATATTTTAAAAATATAATATTTAATAAAAATAAGTAAGTAACAAAAAATATAATGTTGGAAATTAGTCATAATATGTTTTTAGATATTGGATATTTTAGATATTTAGAAGATAACCCCTTGGTTTCTAGAAAGACACAGCCCTCCGTTTTAGAAATACATACTTTTGTTGAGTGTATATATAATTGTATTTGTTCTGTATATATAAACATCAGGAAGACAATTTTAAGACCAATCGCATGCTCATTAATAATGAATATTCGTATTAATATTCATATGTATATTTGTGTCAACATGCGGACTTTAATTGTTATCCCTTAAGTTATGTGTTCATCTGAACTTTGACTGGCATTTTAAATGTTTGCGTAAGCGTTTCCGTTCAGTGGCCAATTACGGTTATTACTCAATCATCCGCACTGCATACAACAAAGATCATGATTGAGTTTCGTGTATGCAGTTGGACTGACATTAAAAAATATATGCGAATGGTGCCCAACAATTTGATTACAAAGAATGACAGCAGATTGGTTGGCTGAGGGGCGGAGTGTGGCAGGCAGTGGCGATTTGCGGGATGTTGCATATCAAAAAATTTAGTGGCTATCAAGTTGGGTATGCAAACGTACGCATTTTATGAAACTCGTTTATTTGAAATTTAACTCGCTGGCTGACGAACTGCAAACCAAGTCACCGCTATTGTTACAGTCTCCGTTCCGGTTAAAAACCCCAGGCGCAAAAAAAGAGGCGCTATAACTGTTTTTTTATGCAACGCTTTTGCGGTCGCTGTTAACCCTGATTTATGAGTGTTAAGTTAATTTGGGCTGCCAGCGCCGCTTCAACTCCCTCACTGCATTTTCGGCACAGTTCCTGCTGCTCCTGAAATGCCTCACACACACAACACATCAATGCATAAACAGTGCAAATATGTGTGGAAAGGGGAATCCCGTGCAGCCGCCGTGAATATTGAGTTATAGCCAAAATATAAAACGCACAGTTTCACTTATGGCCCTCATGTGCGATGCATGAGAATTAATTGAATAATACACTTGCAAATAATTATCCCTTCGTAAGACAGTAAAGGGGAACGTTTAAATTTGTGAGCTCGTATTTTTAAAAGCAATGGAATGCCATTAGTGTTATATCAATTACCATACACACCTGAGGCAGCTATCTTGTGGAAGAACTCGCAATGCAACGTTAAAAATTAATCCTAAAATTGCTCGTCTAATTAAAAAAATAAAAACAATACGTATAACAATAATGTATGTTATAACAATATTGTAAGACTGTTGTTATAACAGTTGCGAGCAAGTTAAGTGTTATATTTTGTAAATCTCCTAGATGTGTGCTACGCTTAGTCAGACAAGTATAACAATTTAAAGAAAATTATATTTTTTCGGGAAATATTTTTAAATTTCCATTTGAAATATTTCCATATCATATATTTCCTTTTCAAATATTTCCATATTCATATTAAATGCAAATTACCCTCTGTAAAGAAATCCTAAAAATAAGTACCATGTTAACAGACTTAGCCAATTGATGATGCTTTGTCAGCAGCATAGAGGGCGCCATAAAATTGTGAAATTCCTCACAGAGGCCGCCACAATATTTTAAAAATCCTCACAGTTGGCAACCTACCTTTTGAGGAAATTTGTGTGTACCATTAAAATTGGGCTCCACAATTTTTGGCATGGGAGTATTTAGCAAAGTCAGCAAAGTCGCGGGAGCATGACCATGCTTTACACTCGCATTCCCCACAAGCTGTAACGACAATGAAATTTCTATATTTCCCATGCAAATGCGCCAATTGTTTTATTATGGGCAATTTAGTCAATGAAGCAACCAATGCTTGTGCACATGTTATCGCTACGGCAACACAATTTCCATATTTCCCTGCGAGTGAATTTGATATGTGTGACCCTTAATGGCAATTTACCGAATGCTGCAACCTTATTTGTACGTTAAAGGTGCATGTACATGCTATATCTAACAGCAAACTGGATATTTCTATATTTCCATACATTAAATTGTCGCAATTTAGATAATTAAGGGCAATACAGCTAATGCATCAACCTTATTTGTGTCAATGGTGCGTGCACAGACTGTCTGTCATACACAGCAAGCTACAGACGACAAAAAAATAAAACCTCTTAAATTGATGTCCTTGTGTTCTCGTATAACTTGTGCTATTTCTGAGTTCCTAGACATTTGCTACTCACTTAAATTATTATTGTATTATTTATGTATTATCGAAAAACAGAAAGTTTTTTATCTACTATCCCTAGCGTGGTGTTCTGGAAAGAAAAAGCTGAGTTTTTTACGGACAAGTGTTCTATTTTCTATTTAGTAGGTTTGCTTAACAAAGCATACATTATACAAATTTTCGTCACATTCATTATTCTGTATTCATTGCACAGCGTCAGAGACATTTCAAATAAATATTGTAACAAATTCATTTAATTTTTAACACACTTTCGATTCTGAGCCGATTTCATGATTTTGGTTAGTTTGCAAATTTAGACAAGTTGAGACAATTGAAAGGACTATGAGTGCGGAGCCGTTCGACAAAAGTGCCTTCCTCGAGGGTTATCTGCTCAAGCATCGGGAGCTGGGCAAGCGACAGAGGGAGTACAAGAAATTGCTCTCCTGCAAGTTGAAGACACGCAATGAGACGATCATCGATGCCAGCTATGAGAATACCATCGATCGACTTCAGGAGGAGAAGAACGATTTGCGGGCCCAAATTTGGGTGGCTGCCGGAGCGACACATATGAAAAAGGACGAGCGCTTTCTGAACCAAATACGGTGTCATGTGGAATGCCAGGAGAATCTGGCCGCGGACATCAACAAACTTAAATCATCCATTTACAATATGGAGCGTGAGATAAGCCGGGTGAGCAAACAAATCTACAATCTCAATCGGCTGACGGTGCCGGAGCAACAGCATCAGGCCCATGTGGCCGGGGTGCGCAAGAGGATGGTCATTCTGGAGAATTCACTGGAGGTGGGCGTTCGTCAGGAGTGCGGATTTACGGCTGCCAATGCAGAGTTGCGGGAGCAACTAATACGGATACTGAATCATCGCACCTTCTTCAACGATTCCTACACGAAAATGGTGCAGAAACTGAACAGTGACAAGAAGTATCTGATAGATCTGATTGAGTATGCGCTGAACACTTTCGATGGCTGCATCGATGTCTACGAGAAAATCGATAAGATCACCAAGCGTGAGTCAAAGGAGCGCGAATTGCGTCGCATCGAGCTGCAGAGCATTATGCGAAAAGTGGCTGCCGATGCGGACAACTCGGCCTTTGTGGAGTGCAAGGGCAGGGAGCGGGTGCTAGCCGATCTGCCGGCCAAGGAATATAAGCGACGCGATGAGTTCCGTCGCAAGCACAACAAGAAGATCAATCTGTATAATTCGGTGCTCAAAAAGATACTCGATTACACCAGCTCAAACAATGTAGAGGAGGTGATTGATAAGTTCCAGCAGCAGGAGAGTCTCTACTACTCCTTCTTTAACTATGCCAACGAGATGAGCTATCACATAACGCTGCTCAACAACTCGGTGAACCGTCTCTTCGAGGACATCATCAATCTGAAGCGGGACAACGCGAACACGCTGCAGGATCAAATTGATCTGATCGAATCGCTGGAGGAGCAGGCGCGCAAGAAGCAGGAATCCAACATAGAACTTCACAAGACGCGCGAAGCAAATGATTCTCGCTTGGAGACGCTGTTGCAGGGCGTTGAAATGCTATGCGATATGTGCTCGGTGGACACATCCCCATTGGCCGAACTCCTTGGCGATCATACGCACGTGAATCTGGTGAATGTGGAACGCTTTCTTCGGCTGCTGGAGACGCGCATCCAGGATATCGTGGCCAGTGTATATGTGTTTGAGCGACAGGACGAGGGCAACGTTGACTATGTGGTCAAGCAGATCGAGAAGATTTGTGAGCTGCCCACCGATCTCAATGACATCGTGCTCACCCAACAGTGTCCCGAGTGCGCCGAGGGCGAGGCCTTCAACATGGACGATGGCGGCGAAGGCGTCGCCATTCTCACCATCAAGGAGGCCAAACAGAAGCTCTACGAAAAGATCACACAGCCAGAGATGCAATATCGCCTGCACAGCATCAGCCAGTGCCGCTTGCCCCGCTCCCGAATGCTGGCCGCCAAACGGAACGTTTAGATTACGCAACTGCCACTCAATGTTGCACATTACTTGTAATATAATTAACACTTTGATGTCATGGCTAATTAAAAAAAATTAACAAATGGAAGTCAGTTTTATCTTATTATTATTATCGGGGGGGATTGCACCGCGACCTGTTAGATCTATTGTGCCTTTTCTGAGCTTATAGCTCTTCCAGCAGCCCCAGATCCCGTACGAATGCTAGGATCGTTGTTGGGTTTCCCTAGGAAGGTACATCTTCTTCTAGCTAGTGCGACACATTCTGCTAGGATGTGTATCGAGGATTCCTCCTCTCTTTCACAGAACCTGCAGAGATCGTTACTATATATACCTAGTCTAGTTAGGTGACTTCTTAGTCTACAGTGTCCCGTATTCTAAGATTGTTCTTTCCCATGGTTGTAACCTGCAAATATCGTTTAAGATTATAACCACCAGATTTTATTTTAAGCTTATTTTAATATTTTTGAAATTAATTAAAGTTTTTAAATAACTAGAACTGGATTACTTATAGTATCTAGTATGTGATCCGTAATAAGCATGAATATCCTGTTGATTGTAATAAAACAAATCTTCCTCTTTTGGTACGCAAAGTAGACAAATTCATTAAAATATTCCAATATTTTTAGGGTACACTACGAAAGTTTCGAAAATAAATGAGAACATTCCATTCTTGTTACACTCTGAACGCGCTTAAAATGGGTATCGGGATCACAATCTAGTTGAATCGCTTTAGCCAAGTTAGTCAGCCTGCTCATCAGTATAAACAAACGGATCTTAGACGCTATCTTTTAGGGACAAATAATAACACCGCCGAGATTTAACTTCCAAAAAAATGTTGGATTTAAGTTCTGATTCCGATTCTGATTTTCAATCTATAAACAAGGGATATCGATTCCAATACCAATTCGGGTTTGACACCCTGCTCTTAAGCCAATTAAAAATCATTTAGGATGACTAAAATTAATGTATAATCTAAGGTGTAACCAATTCTGGTCGGCCATCTTCAAGACCCAATTTGCTTAAGACTGAATTGAGCCAATTGTCTACATCAGGATTTTCACTAGAATCTATAGTAGTGGGCAAGAGAGTAGGATCAGTTACTCTGTAGCCACTGCAATTGTACATTCGATTGATCTTCTCCACATCCAAGTCAGAAAATCCAAAACGCTGGCCCATTCGCACAGTATTTTCCTCTACCTGTAATTAAAATTATAATAAATATATATACATATATTGTATATTTTTTATTATATCCGTACATAAACTGAAACCCATAACCGGGTTCAACTTACCCTAGCAACCATAGTCTGTTCACCGTTGAGGGAGAAGGCTCTTGATGAGTAGTGCATGACACTGTCGAAATCGTATTTCACTCCAAATGCCGCCGTTTTGTTCACCCTTCGAAAATTCCTTAGATTTCTTGGGCGTATGTTCTGGGGCATGATGATCACAAAGTCATCGCGCTCCATGCGACTCTGTTCGTGCAGAAAGCCGACGGCATGCATCAGCTCGTGGATCACTGTGCCGGGTCGTCGAAAGCAGCCAGGTGTCTGCAAATTTACAATCTGTTGACCACCCTTTCGACCCACTGTCGACCAACAGCCCGAGCCGTCATCGCTAATGATTACAAAGTCGCTCTCATTGTTGTGCGGCACAAATCGGATGCACGTAAACAGATGATAGTCATTCATGGCCTCTCTTATGGATGATAGTTCATATGCATTGAAACTGCCACGAATCTCGTATGGGATCACACCGTTGGGCCAGCGCAACGAGTAATTGGCCACTCCGTTTCTCATGGTGACCTGAGGTATTAGTATGTCTCCCTCGAGGTAGCTGCCCAGCTCCTCGGGATTCACATTGTCTGTTTCGGCACTGAAATTGCTGACCCGCTCGGCAGTTAGTCCTCGATCAGGCTTACCATACAAGGCTGCGCCATAGAAACTCAAGTCTATGATGTCCTCATTGGGCACTGATGGCTCTTCGATATCCTTTTCGGGCAATTCTGGGTGGGTTGTCAGTGGCACTGCCTGAATGAGTGCTCCTCCCAAAATAAAGATGCGGATAATGCTGTACATATTGTGCCACTTGATTGCTAACTTTAATTAAACTACATTTAACTCTAGCAGGCAACGGGCTTTTATATGTTAATCTCTTATCGGCTTTTATTACCGGTAGACCTTCAAAATGCAAATAATTGTTGTTTTCGAACTGTGTTCATCTCCTCTCGATAAAGCACTTAACATACATTTTATTTAATATCTAAACAAGAGTCAAGGCTTTCCAGCCTCCCTGTTCCTAGATGTAAATGACTCGTTTGTTTACCAATTTAAGTTGATGGAAATCTGTGGAGTTTATCGCCCGCAAGCCACCTTAACCGATAAGCATTATAATTCTGACCTCTTCGCTTTATGTATTTGTGTAATCTGAACGAGAGAAACAACACAGTTGACTATGATTTAGAATCAGATAATTATAATTATTAGGGGCCATTAAAAACTATTCTTGTAACAACCCCGAAAATAAGTTTGGTTCAACGTACTTAGATGTAACCAAACCTTCACTGATATTTCTCAATCATAAAAATATTCGTATTTCTTGTTTATGTGAGTTGTTACAACTTGGGAAGGAGATATCAGCACCATAATTATGACCGTATACAATTAATAAAAATAACAAATCTTGGACAACAAAACATTTAAAGCCATTCAGGAAATTGCGGGGCGTACCCGACTGCTCAATACTCTAATAGCTGCCAAATAACCTTCTTGTGTTCTTTGATGGGTTATCATCGATCAATGAATAAAAGTTAGGCAACTATAGCTGTATAATTACAAAAGATATATGCTTTCTCGATTTTTGAGGGCGGGGTGAGTGCTCTAACTAATAATCTTTTGCCTTTCAAGTTTGTTAAAATTAGCTCTAATACTACGGAACTTCTTGGAGGGAGAAGTGCGCTTGGCCCGATAACTGTTGTCATCTTTTGGGTGTTAATTGTAATATAATTTTTTAAAATTAATGACTCTAGTTTTCAAATTGTATAAGTTATCTATGCAATATGCGATCAAAGTAATTCAAGCTTTGAAATTGTGGAAGATATGGAGTTTGAATCGATTGGCGCTGCCACATGTATATCAATTGTTGCTATCGATATATGAAGTACTGGTAATTTTTCCATTGGCATTTCCGATTATTTTGTATCAGAGTATAAGACGAAAACTTGTACAATTTCGAGCATCAGCTATATACATACATAATAGCAGACAGATGAAAAAAAGTGTTACACGTGGGAACTTAAATCTTAAAGCCATTGTAAGAAGTGACTCTTAAAATCTTACTTTGATAGTCGTATATACAACAAAATAATAATAATAATAATGAAAGCCATCAATTTTGAATTGATTTTTGCTAATTTATTTCTTATATACTTTGATCAGGCAGAGATTCATGATAAATAATTCTAGACTATATAGGTACGTGTGATGCATTAAATATGTGGTCGGAATTGTGATCGCATGATGTGGAATGTGCCATATAATAGCTTCTTTGGGTAAGTGCAGTCTAGTTACTAGATTCTTGCTCTCCATCACCCAGACCCAGGCCGCTGATGAGGCCACTGAGGAAACTGTCAACGATGGGATTGCCACCGGGAACCACAGGAGCTGGCACTGGAGCACCTGCTGCACCACCAGCTGAACCACCCATATAGCCGCAGTCGTACATGCCGTTCAGCTTATCCACATCGAATTTAGAGAATCCATTGCGTTGACCCATCTGCGATGCACCACCCGATTGCTGGAAAAAGAGATTTGTATTTAGATTTAGGCTTAATGAAAAGCGAGCCAATCTTTCGGCTTACCGTCGCCACAATGGTCGGTTGTCCGTTGGTGGAGAAGGCGTTGGCAGAATAGTGCATAACGCTGCCATAGTCATAGGGTACACCAAAAGCATCAGTTCTGGCGGCCTTCTCGAAATTGGTCACGGCTGACGATTGAATATTCCTGTATTGGATGGCCACAAACTGATCGCGTTCCATGCGATTCTGTTCATGCAGAAAGCCAAGGGCGTGCATCAGCTCATGGATGGCAGTGCCGGGTTTGCCGAGGCAGCCCGGCGATTGCAGATTCACCTCCTGCTTGCCACCAACACGTCCCACCGACGACCAACAGCCCGAATTGCCGCTCACAATGGAAATGTAATCCGACTCACTGCTGCGTGGCACAAATCGGATGCAGGTGCGCTTGTGGTACTCAGCGATGGCACCTTGAATGGTGGCCATGTCGCGGGCATTGAAGTTGCCACGTATCTCGTAGGGCACCACACCTTTTGGCCAGCGCGAACTTTGTGTGGTCAGGCCATTCTTGATGGTGATCTGTCGCGGCACAAGGATATCGCCCTCAAGGTAGCTGCCCAGCTCTTCGGGATTCACATTGTTGTTGTCGGCGCTGTAGTTGCCCACCAGGGCGGCAGTTATCTCCTCATCTGGGCTGCCATATATAGCTTCGGCATAGGCACTCAGATCAATAATATCCTTATTTGGCGCTGGCGGCAGTTCAATGCCATTCCCTGGCAACTCGATGATCTCGGTGTCGTCGATGTCATCGTAGGACACCAGTGGCACTGCCTGTGCCCAGGCTAGGCCCAAAATGATTAGCAAAGTTAGCCGGGACATGTTAGATAGTTGTTAGATGTGTTTTGAATAGTTTGCTTGCTGTCTAAAGTTTGACTGTGCTTTGGTCTGAAGAGAAATGGATTTATATACTCAACTCTGCACAGTATAAGCAGACCTGCCCGTCTTTATCAGGCGGCGGCAACGGTCTTTTATATGTATAAACATATTTTTACCGGTAGACCTTCAGGCGGGGCGTCGTCATTATTGTTATCGTCATCGTCTCTTGGCTTGTCACACGCTTTATATTGGTGGGCAAATATTTGGGCAACACTCACATAAAGCAACCAAGTCGTCTGCCTAATTGTATATTTCTTTAGGTTGAAATTATTACCATAAAATGTATCAGTAGTTTATTTGCATGCACACAAAAGTTTAACGACACTTTCTTAATGTAGGTCTGTAGTTATTCGCATATAACAATAACCGATAAGTATTATCGCGTTGACCTTTTCCACAAGATAGATTTATATGCACAGCAAGGTGCGAAGTACACTGGGATTTGGAGTGAAAATATCATTAAAATGCTTCTAAGCCCACTTATCTGATTTGCTCAACTAAATTTTAATCTGAACATATCCTTGAGTTGAGCCAGCTACCCAATTGTGCTCATCGAACTAAACTCAACTCTCTCAATTATTTGAATCGAAATTAATTTCAATTACGGTTACTGCAATTTTAATTTATCGGATTAAAATTACATTTTGTTAAAAAATAACACGTTAATATTTTGCTTGTGCAACCCAATTATAAATAAAAATAATAATTGAATAAATTGAATATATAGTGAATTTAATGTCAACCAAGAACACAATGATGATCTCAATAAGAACAATTCGCAGACTTAAATACCTAATACAAAGCATACAAACACAAAACACAACACGGCGGCAACTTCAAATAGCAATGGGGAAAACATTCTCGAAAATCCCATTCTCTACTTTGGTTTTGGTTCATTAGCCAGAACAGCTGAACAGCTGTGCAAGCCGTGTGCATGAATTGGGTTCAAGTGCAGATGGCACAAGCAGCAGCTTGCAGCATATTTTATGAGTTTGAATGAGTCATCAACAGAAAATGTGGGGAAAACTCAGTTTGCCAGCCTTTTTTTTTTTTTTGGTTGAGAATGTGTGCATGCATAAGTTGTTTGCATCAAAGTTGTCTACGTATCGAAGCTCATTTCTACAACCATATTTGAATCCGAATTGGATAGCTCCTCCTCTTCAACGAATTCGAGATTCATTTTAATGCCGCTCAATTTAACTGCATTTAGAACACGCTGGCTTCTCGACGTTATTGATTTAGTGACATCTCTCAATGCCTTGCTGCAAATCTCATCGATGGTGCCCGTGTCATCCATCATATCCTCGATACAATTCTTCAATATGGTCGAGGTGACAATGCAGTCACGATTTAGCGCTAGGCTCTTGTGGAAATACTCAATGGCCTTGTCCAAATTGCCAAGTAGAGCATGTATAAAGCCAATCGAGGTATATGTTGTCCCACTTTGCGGTTTCAACAACAGGGCCTGCATAAAATAATCACTCAATTAGGAAAATACAAACCAAAATAGGAATATACAAAACACTTACAAATTGAAAATTATACAGTGCCTCCTCGTATTTTTGTATTTTCCGACAGGAGTGTCCCAGATTTATAAATAGAGGCTCCCAGCGTGCAGAAACCTCCTCATTGTTCGTCTTGGCGCGCTGCTTAATAATGTCCACGGTACACTGAAAGATGGTGGCAGCCCCATCATAATACTCATATTCGTATTTGATGACGCCCAGTTCGTGCAGGACATAGACATCCATTGGTGCAATTGTCATCGCTTGCAGAAAGAATTTCTCGGCCAATTCCAAATTTTTGGTAAGTCCACACTCCACACCAATATAAAGCAGGGGCAAATGACAGCCGCGCATCAGCTGCGTTGCCTTGAAGTAGGCGGCCATGGCCTGTTCATGCTCGTTCTCATTGGCGAACGAATGACCATAGGCCAGCCAAGCAGGCCCGTAGAAACGATCCAGCGAAGTAGCCTTTGATAAGTACCGGCGTGCCGGATCGCTTTTGCCAATCATGTCGTAGTAGCAACCAACGGCATACCACGAAATCGCCTTGTCCGGATACCGATCGACCAATTTGTGTGCCACATAGAAGAGTCTGTTGAAGTCACCATTCTCCACAAGGCATGCAATTTGTATGGTTAGCGCATTGTTGTGAAATGGATCAACCTTTAGCAAGCTGAAAGTAGAACACACATAAATAACAACTATAGAAATACATATGTATATATACATATATATAATAAATTGACAATTACTTAGTTAAGATTTTCAGGCATTGCTTGTAGTCGCAGTCATAGAAACATTTCTCAGCTTCCGCCGACAGAAGATCTGTGCTGCGCTGCACTCTCAGCAAGCAATCGTTGAGGGTCATCAAAGTGTCCGCCTGCGGTTCGCGCGAACAGCGATGATGGGAGGCATCGAAGATCGAACGCGCCGTGGCATCAATCATGGAGGAGGCGCGTGACAGGCTCGTCTGCAACGAAAACGACGGAGCTTTCAGATCCTCCAGCACTCTGTAAATTCCAAAATTATTATAAGTTCACTTAAGTCAATCTCAACTGATGCTCACTTTTGGGCGGGCGACATAAACTGTCTTGGCGTCAATGGTAGTTTGGGCTCTGTCGGCTTGGGCAAGATTCCGTCCGACGAACAAGTTTGCTGCACACGCACCGTAAACTCTTTAATATACTTCAGCACATCCGGATTGACAATGGGTGAGATTTCCTCAGCGTTACGCGCTGATATCAATTCATAGTACTTCTTCAATCGCGACTCGTACAGCTTCAAGATGAACTTGGCGTCTGAATCGCTGGACTGTTGGGCCAATGGCAAATGATGCATCAGCTCAAACTCTACGATTATATATTAAGAAAGAGTTCCGATAGATTTATATGGGAGACTTAACTTATTTTATTCTGATAGGCAACTTACCCTCCCAGGCCATAAGCATTTCATGCTGAACCAACGCATCGAGCGCCTCAAAGCAATATATAGATTTGTGAAGAGCCTGCACATAAAAATCCATAGCCATGCCACGATTATCCAATGCCTCGTAAACTTTGCCCTTCATCAGGAAGATGGAGGCCAGCAACTCGTTGCGATTGTTCTCTTCGCCGCCAAAGACGATGTTTGTCTCCAGGCAGCAGCCGCTGCCCATATCTGGCGGCTGATTAAGCAGGGATGCGGTCATAGTCTCGACCTCAACGATTTGGATTATGTTTGCCGCATTGTTGTACTCTTTGGCCGCGTAGAGGCTCTCCAGCAATAGATTGAAGCATGGCAAGGAAGTCTTCTCCAGCTTGTAATGCTGGATGGTGTGCGCCGCACGATGGAACTCGCCCAGGAGGAACATGCACTGCGCCTGGTAGTAGACATCGCGCGGCTCCTGGCCACTCAGCACGGCTACCTTTTCTGCCCAAAACAATGCTGTCGAATATCGACGCTGCAAGAAATAAAAACATATATTTATTTGAACAAATAATTATTTGTTTCGTTGTTATTTACCATGTCTATGAACTGCCTGACCAGTTTGCGATAGAGCGTGAGATCAATGTTCTCATTAGTGCTCTCGGCACTGCTGTTTTCCGTATTTCCAGCCATTTTATCAAACATAAACAAATGCTTTGCAATTTGTTAATTTGCAGATGCCGGCTAACGTACGCAATCTGGCAACGCCACTGAGCACAGCTGTTTTTGCCATTCACACAAAACATACACACACACTGTGAAAAATCCCGCACACACCACAATTTTTAACAAAACAAAAAATAAAAATGTCAAACCAATTCGTGGAATGTTAATTTTAATAAGATTATAGATTTCTCTATTTTTTTTCCATTTATTACTCAATATTTGGTCACATGAACACAACCGCTGTAGCCCTGCAACACATCCATTACAAATTCTTGTGGCTTCTTGCAACTTGTCTGTTGTCCTGCTCCTGATATGGGGGTTGAGTTTTGGGGTTTGGGCATTGGGGCAATAGCAAACATGCATAGAGATTTCATTTGTGCTCTCTCAGCATCTGTCGTCGCCAGGCTTCAGTGTATTTCAATTGCTCGTTAGGTGAGGTTATTGCATTCCCGACTTTAACGGCAACTACAAAAAAAAGTTGGACCCAGCGGCAATGCAAATAAAAACACTTATTTTTTCGTTGCTGTTTTCAAATAAAATATTAAAATAAAATAGAAAATATATACAACGCCTTCATCTTGTAGCATATTTTACAAGTGTAAAGCAAGAGACTGCTAACTATAACAGAAGCACAACAACAGTAACATAGTAAAATTAACGAAAAGGCGTGCAAAGCGTACACAACATAGCATAAAGTAACGGTTCCAAGCCGAATAGAACAGCGTGAGAAAAAAAATGTGCTTTGCACGCGACAAAAACTGAATACGAGTGCAAAACTGAAATTAAATTTAAACAAATTTATGTGAGTGACGCGTGCGACAACCGAAAAAAAAGAACTGCGATTTTCGGGTATGTAAAAACAAACATTTCATTCATACATACATACAAACTGGTGCAATTGTAGTGTTGTACATATTAAAAAAAAGGTAAATGGGACCGGCATAGGAAATCGTTGGCATATTAAAATATGTACGTGTGTTGGAAGCAAGTCGAAGTCGGAGCAAGAATTCCTGGTCTCAGATGCAGTTATGCTATGCTCTCATCGAGTGCATCTTCAATGCCCTTTTATAGTGCGTGCTGATTTCGTCTTACTTTTGTTGTTGTTGTTGTGGCGTCGGTATCTCGGTCCTCGTCACTGCCTTATATATATATATATTTTTTTTTTACTACTTTCCGTTGTTCTATGTGAGTATTTTACGTCGCGCACGCCTTGCCAGACTCACGTCATTTGCCCAGCAGCTCCACAGCAAGAGGAGCAACAACAACAAATACTACACTCATACTAGTCGACCACTTTTTACAACTACGAATACGCACAGAGAGGACCACGGACAATAACAACAACAACCACAACAGCAGCAGAAGCAGCAATAACAGTAAGAACGGAACAAAAACTACCCAAAGCTCTGTTGGCGCTCACTCATTGTAGCTGTTGTTGGTTTTGCTGGGTTCTGAGGCGTTCTGCTCATTTCATGCTGATTTATGGTTCTAATAATAGCTTCGCTTCCTGTTTCTCAAAAGGATTAGAGCCGCTGGCACACGCACACTGCTTAGACGCATGCATACATACACATGTATTAATACGTCCCCAGGAACGTCCTTTGTCCATTTTGAGCCCATCTCCACTTTTAGCTACATAACAAATAAAAATTAAAATAATTACTGAGAACGGAAAAATTATGAAGCAGTCGCTCGCACGAAAGCACTTCCAAACGATTTGTCGTTGGCTGCGAAGCGGGAGGAATGGCGGAAATTGGTTAATTACAGTTATGTTTGCGGGGATACGCCTTGATCGATTTACACTGTTTAACGCTTAAGTGAGCTCATTTAAACAGTTTGAACAACGTCAATGTGTGTGTGCGTGTATGATTTTGTGCGTGCATATAAGTCTTAAATGGTTCTCACTATAAATTTAGAATGGGCGACCTTTCTATTTTAATTGTGTAAGCTTAATTGTGATTTTGATATTATCCTCAATAAATAAATATATAAATAGTAAGCATTCTTGTGAATTTCTTATGGCATGAAAGCAGTTAGTTAAATTGTAATGTGCCTTATAATCCTATACAAAATATTTTTCTTTCGTATTTGCATTAGTTTCAAATATTATAATACACCAACACATAATAAGATACAATTAATTTTTAATTGTTTATAAATTAAAAATAATATACAACATATTCTTAATTTCTTATTTATTTTTGTATAATTTAAATTAAGATTATCTAAGTAATGCGATCAATTGTTGGCTACATGTCTACATGTTTAAGAACGATAGGATGTATTGATAAAGTTATTTTGTATATAAATATACATTTCGTGAAGTTTTTGAAAAATAGTTCTGATGTTTATTAATTCTTTAAACAGTAGATTGTTTAATATTTGGATTTGCGTCCTGAGATCATTTATTATGTGTGTAACAAAAGTCAAAGTCGTCGAGACTTCGTTTGCTAGAATGGAGTTTATTTCAATTCTAAAATAAAGTGTAAGCCAACCAATGTATTTATGTGCGTTACCCGACACAAACAAAAGCCAATCAAACGAAATCAATCAATCTTAGCATTATTTTATGACAATAGTCTGTAAACTGTTTCTAATCTCTTGCCTTAACTGTTACAGAGCACATCACAGGATTTTCATCATCGACGGCGAATAATGAATCGATGACTATTTACATCAGCTGATACGGCCGCCTCAACTGCCTAATGTCTTCGTAGTGAAGTGTCGAGTGGTGCCAAATTCTCGGTAGCAGCAACAACAACAATAGCAACAACAGCAACAGCAGCAACCCGACTTGCGCTAAGCAAAGTAATTTGGCCAGCAAACATGTTTGTCTGAGGCAGAGGCCAGCCAACATTTTTGGGCAGCCGCATCATCAGATCGAACCTTTGCTCAAATTACGGAAAAAAGGACTCACTGCGCAGCACGAACCATTGAGCGTATGCCCGGAGAGAGGCCGAAAGTGAGAGAGAGAGAGAGAGGCTGAGAGCCAGTGAGTGAGATTCAGTTGGTGTGTGTGGAGCTGTGTGTTGTGCTGTGTTGTGTTGGCCAGCATAAGACCAAAGGCAAAGAGGGGGCGAGCATACGGAAGTGGCGACATCTGTTTTGCCGCTTTGTCAGCTTATCCGGCAGCCGATGCCATAGCCGACGAAAGGCGACCACAACGACGACGACGGCAAGGAGCGCGCACACGACAGAGGACTAACGGCAACGTGAAATACAAGTGTGGAAATTGGAATTTTTATTCAAAACAATGCCCCTGCTGCAACAGGTATGTAAATAATAATAAAACCCATTCGCACGCCCAGCCGAACGCTGTGGCGTTAGCCGTAATTGAGCAGCTCACGTACGAATCCCAGATGAGCAAGAGAACCAGAGCGCATCAGCTGGTTCCACGCCCTGCAAAACCAAAGCAGCACCACCCTTGCCACCAAGCACTACCCCCTTGCACCTTGATACATATCACTGTGTGTATTTATGCCTGCGTTGCGGCTCAGCTTTTGATTGTCTGGGTGGAGGTGTGCGTTGCATGTGGCAGTAACAGTAGTAGTTGTAGTTGTAGTAGTGCCGGGATGATCCTAATAAGATTAGTGCTTAACTTTATACGCGTCACGGTGATGCCGCGGTAGGTTAGTTACCCCCGACGAAGAGAACTCTACTTAACTCGACTCAATGCAACCGGGTGCAAGCAACGACTCTTGTTGTCTGTTGCACATTATGAGTGGTTAAATTCGATTATACTTGCGGCATTTGTTCAGAGCGTCATCAGCTCCTAGACAGTGCAACGCCTCCTTTCTAGCTGTCGTGTATATTTTTATGCCAGTGCCTCTGTGTCTGTGTCTGTGTATGTGTGTGTGTGTGTGTGTGTGTGTGTGTGTGTGTCTGCTGGTGTGTGGATGAGTGTGCTCGTGGCAGGCGTTTGATTGTATTCTTTGTTGTGCAAAATAGTTGCGTGATTTAATTTGCTGGGCCTTTATACATTTTTAATTCATTTAAATATGATGATTTGATTAGACAACAAGGACCAGCTGATAGCTTAGACCTCTGCCACAATAGATGTATTGTCTGCTTAGTGCTTCTGGCCAGCGTCCTTTTATGTTTATTGCTCATGTAAGTACTATCATAGACCACATGAAAATCAAACCAATAAGGTAGCAAATTGAGTTTCGCCTCTTGTTGTAAGCTTATTACGATAATGAGAGCACGCAACTTATTATATGGGAAATGTCATTTCATTTTATTACGCTTTCGCTCGCTCGATGTTTCCATATAATAATATTTAAGAAGATTACCTTTCCATACTGACATATGTCGGCTCTCCGAGCATTATAATACCTGATGTCAATTCAGATTCATTAGAATGATAAATGATCTGTGGCCAGATACAATTAACAATTAACAAAATGCCAGCTTTGAGGATATCTTTAAAATGTGACAGACAAGTGAATATTATGATGTCAGTTGAGTCAATTTGCGCAAAGTCCATGCCCAAATTGTCACTTGTCTGATTAGCTTCCGCCTTCGCCTCCACCCAGTTGTTTAGTGGCTCATCCCTCGTCTGTGCTTAGTCAAGTGACATACATGTAATCATTATAATATACTAGTAGCTGTGGCATGGCTTACGCACATGTTCCCGTTGCTGTCATGCTTAAACGATCCCAAAGTCCTCTCAATATCTGAATGTGTGTGCCAGTGTGTCTCTCTCTGCTTGTGTGTTTGTGTGTTTGTATGTGCTAGTACTGTAAGACGCCCACGTCCGCCATTCACTTGCATTGCCATTGTTGCATGCGTAAGCGTCTCATCGCTGTCTCTGTCTCTGTCTCACTGCTACGCTGTGGATACCTAGCTGTGACTATGTTGCATCCTCGTCTGTCATACAGTCGAAAGCCAAGCTACAAAGTTACTCATTGTCGACTGTAACGGGACCGTCTATTGCTCATCATTCAGCCATTTGGGTAGGCGGAGTGGAGACTACGTCAATGGGGCTGCACGCTCTGACAATGGAGGCTGTGCATTTGTTACAATGTTTACACAAATATTTAAGGATAATCCGACGATTTCAAAGGGGTTATTATGCAATTTTTCTTCTCATTTTATTGTGGCGGCTGCAAAAAAAAAATGTGGATAGTAAAAATAAGTAAATGCAAAATGTCAATTTTGTCGTGTAAGCGGCATTCCCATTGATGGGCGTGAGCACGGCTAAAGGGGCTTAGGGGCGGGTGTACAAGAAGCCATTGTTGTTCTCTTCTTATAAAAAATACATTTTTTACGTACGTATATATATGCATGTAAATGTGCATATGTATTTATTCATATTTATTTGCTAGTAATGTCTAAAAAAAAATAAGAAAATGTGACTCCTTCATGCAGTAATGTTTCCTGCGGCTGTGTGGTGTATACTTTATATTATTTCATTTCCTTTACCCGTCGTTTTATTTATATGTATTATGTAATATATTTTATTTATGTTCTGCTGGCCTGCTGTTAAAAATGCCTATAAATAAAGAACATTTGTCGTTTGTACAACATTTTATTTGCAAACTTCTTTTTGCATGCTACTCTCCCTCTCTCTGTCTCTCCACTATCCCTCTCTCCATCGCTATCTCTCTCTCTTTCTGTTTTTTTGTTCATCAGACCCCGCTGTGACACAGTTTATTTCACCAGAATTGCAAATGACCAGAACAGTCTTTACTGTACCAAATTGTAGTCTTGATACAAAAGTTTGGAAGCCTTAGCTCAATTGTTAAAACTGGGTGTTTGCACCTTTTTGTTATGGCATCAATGATCCAAAGCAAATTGCTCTAAAATTATTTAAACTTAATAATCAGTTCCTTGCTTTTCGCCATTCAATTTATATGTTTTTAATATTTATCACCAAAATTTGTTTGCCTGCAATTGCCATTTATTAGCTTTTTGGCCTGATTTCTCAATGATTGTTATTGACAAATAAAAAAAAATCAAAATGAAATGAATATAGAATCATTTCAAAAAGCTGCAATAGCAAATCAATGTGCTGAGCACTTGTAGCTATAAATATACATACACTCAGAAAAAAATCGACATGATTTTATTATTATTATTATTTTGAAGGAAGATTTATAGAACGGAAGGTTGTGCCTTTCGAAAAACCAAAGTTTTTCTTTCTTTAAATTCTGGGTAAATTTAGCAAAAAATATATGTCACTGATAGATTTTTTAAAATTATTTTAACTCTAAAATTAGCTGTTTTGTTACTTAATTAAACATTAGTATTTTAAGAAATAGTTTTTTTTTAGAAATATTATCCATTATTAAGAAGTCTATTTCTGAAAAGTATAAAAAATCCCTTCTGAAACAGAAGTTTTTCTTTCGCATATTTAGGAATAATTTCTGAAGACCAGAACATTTTTCTAATTTTGTCAGAGATTTATTCTCAGTGTATATACAGCACTATATATGCATACATTTGTATGTGTATCTGTATTTATATACTACAGATTTTTTTTTATAAAAGGCAGCCAGCCTGACAGCTGGGCGACGACGTCGATGGCCAGCGGAATGTCTTGGAATGCCTCGCACTAGTCAGTGCCATCTTCGAAATGGCGAATGCTGCAAGACGGCGGTCGCGTAGTCGTAGTCAGAGTCCTCACAATGGCGGCGAAAGCGCCCCGAGGCACATCATTAAAATGTCGATACCAAGCAAATCACACGCCCGCCGCCAGCCAGAGGGATATAAAAAAAATGCGACGCGTTTTGCGGTGGGGGCGACTGAAGTTGCGTTCCCTGTCCGCCCGCCTGGCTGCTTGCCTGCCTGCCTGCTTGTAGGCATGTTGGCGTAGAGAGGTTGCGGCTTCGACTGGGCGTAGCCCCGTGCAATATGAAACGCACTGGCATTAAAAATTGCAAGAATCCAATTGAATTTACTTTAGCCAGACAACGTCACACACACCAACTAACTACGAGTATTTAATACATCAGGCCATACGTGGGCGTGGCGGCAACTACAACAACAATGCTCGGTGTGTTATCATTAAAAAAAGCGAACAAAAGTGTTGCTAAAGAACAGCAAATGTAAAAAAACAATAAACGCAACCACAAAAGGCCACCAGCCAAAGCGGAGTTTGTTGCTTTTTAAATAGGCATGAAAAAGTTTTGCTACTCAAAATCAAGCAAACCAAAGTAAAAATACAATTGAAAACAAATGCTCGACTGGGATATGCCCTTTGTGTGGTAGATCGAAAATAAAAATATTAAAATAAAATATATTAAATTACGATCAATTCTTTTGAGTTATTTAAGCCGAACCATTTATTTAAACTATTGCAATTATTATTTATTTATTTTATGCTATTTTTATATAAAGCTAACTTAGAGGCTAAAGTCATAAGCTAACTATTATTAAAGAGCCATAGCAGCTTAGACCTTTAGAGCGTCGATCGTATTAATGATGGAAATACTATAATATATTGTTAATTCTTTTTTTTCACACTTGCTCGACAGATCTATACAAAATAAAAGTTGCATTTACTGACTCTTTTCACGTGAGAATGTGAATGTTTTAAATCATTTTCTGCCAAATATGCTCCACAAAATAATATATTAAAATGCCTTCATTTTTGAAGCACGTATATCCCATTTTGTACAACATTTGTATATGGTATACAAATATGCATCATACGCCCTGTTGTGCGCTATCCAATGCAGCTCAACTCGCAGAGATATAATGCTGTGCGCAAAAAGCGCGTGTTTTATTTCCACTTAGCACTCACACTCGCACACCCACACACACACACACACATACACCCATTTATATGCCCTAACATACACACACACAGACATATTGAATGCCTGTTGACGGCTGTTTAAAAAATTGTCTTCTTTTCTCTGCCACTGCCGCAGCTGCTGGTGCTGTTGCTGTTGCTTCTGTCTTTATCTCTTCCTCTGTATCTCACTCGCAGCCAGCTGAAACAATAACAACGACAACGGCAACAAAAGCGCACAGGCATCGGAAATGTTGCCGTTGAAACTGAAATGTCGCAACGCACGCCCCTCGTTTGTATGTCGTTCTTGTTGTCCTGGTCGGACCTACGTCTATGTGGGAAGGGAAGGGAAGGCTTCTCTGTCAGAGAAGTTGCTTGAATTACGATATTGTTATTATTAAATGGATGTATGACGCAGGAGCAGTGGCAGCGTTTGCTGCATCAGTTTGATAGTTCATTCAAAGCATCATTTAACGCTTTGCATTCATAAGGCGAGTGTGTATATATGTATATATATTAATATGTATATGTTTACTACACACTTCGAATATGTACATATTAAGCGACAGCGTGTCAAGGCACAAATCAAGTGCTGTTGATGAAATGACATTTAACATGCAACTCAATTTAATTTGCCCCGATGAAAAGCACAACATAGCACAGCCGATGCAGTCTTTGCTGCAACTGTCTGATGGTGTGTGGCAGCGTGTTGCATACTTGTTGGCACATTGCAATTACGTGCCACTGCTGCCTGGCATTGTTGTCGTCGTCGTATGACCTGCAGGCATTTGCATACCATCCAATCGATTGGGCCCACGCCCATCACAGAAGTTGCCCCGTAGCCTTACCTGCTCAGCAAGAAGTAGAATTATGTACCTTGTGCTCTAAAAGTGAGCGTGTGTATAGGTCTGTTTTTGTGAATGTGTGTGTGTGTGTATGTAATGTTGTGCTTTTTAATTTGCAATATTAAACGCTCAATTGTTGCCCCAAAAGGAAATCAGAGATAAGCGACAAATCTGCTTGAGAGACTTTGTGCGAGTTTGTCAAGCACATGTAATTGCAAGACAACTTGAAGTCATCAAATATCAAATATTATAAAAGGTTCACTGCTGCAACACAATTGCGAGCGCTTTCCACTTACGTTAATTAAAGGGCATACTAAAATGAATACAAGTAAACGGAAATATTTGAGAAAAGCCACGCAAAAAATCAAATGGGAAAAAACTAACTATGTTGGTTCTGTTTTGCATCAGGCTCGAAAAAAGTAATGAACAAAATAATGGCGCAATATGGACTTTTGGTATAAAATTAATTAAAACAAGAAGTTAGGGTTAGCTTTTCTCACACTCCCAAAAACTATCGTTCTGAATTTTATTTCTTGTCAGAAATGTCTTTTTGACAAATATAAGAAAAAAAAGAGCATTTCCAATTTGAAGAAATTTTATATTCTTTTATTTAGAAATGATTTCTATAAACCAGAAAAACTATCTAGTTTTCAAGGCGATTTTTTACATTTCAGGACGATTTATCTTTCTAAGTATAGGGTCAAATTTCCGAGCCATGTAGCCATTATCACTTAGTTACTTACTTTGAGCACTTCACGTAACATGGCATCGATGTATAAGCAAAAGTAAATTCAAATGTATTTGCCAATAACTTTTATTCTTTATGGTCTGCCTCTGTTCCCAAGTTTGCAACATGTAATCGTCCATAAAAAATTACAACTGTGCATTAACCTTTTGCGCTTTGCTGGTCACTTGGGGGAAGGGTGGACAGGGGCAGGGGCAGGATGAAATGGCTCGAATCGCAGGGCATCGCATCGTATCGAATCGAATTGCATTGAACAGCGACGACAACAAGGACACCATCGTCAACGAGCGCTTATCACTACATGCCATCAAATTTTAATGTCAAACCCTTTTGGCCAGGACAGCGGGCAGCAGCAATAGCAACAACAGTAACAGCAGCAGCAGCAGTAAGGGCAGTAGCAGTGGCAGCAGCAGCCAGTAGCCAGCAGCAACATCTAATAAGTGTTGTAAACGATGCAAACATAATAATTTGTAAGACTTCTGAAAGCGGAAACTTGTAATTTTTTCAAACAGCCAACAGAGACCCAGCTCAGTCCTGCTCTTGGTCCCAGTTCCCAGCACCGCGGCTATTCTGTATCTGTGTGTGTGTGTGTGTGCTGCACATATGCACTAGTATGCAGTCCAGAACGTTCCAAACGCAGTCAAGCGGCTGCCAAAAAAAAAAAAAAAACAAAAAAAAAATAGAAAAGAAGATGAAACCGGCAAGCAAATGTACAGCAGCCAAATCGAATGGACACTGGATAAATAACTACTGAGTTATAGTGCTGACTCGATGGCTGCCACTTGGCGTTCTCTGTACTCTGAAATTCCGAGAGATTTCGAATATCTTCGTGGGGCAATCAGAATCAGCAGGCAAGCATCAGCGTGGAGTCAAGCTCTGACCACCAACCACAGCAACCAACACAAGAACAGCAACACCATTGAATCAAATTTAGAAAATCCTTGACGTCAAAGACAAACAAAGGGCAATAGCAATGTGGTCGAACGGGATGTCCTGTGGGTTGGCGTCAATTTTCAGCCACGGAGTGTTCGACTCGAATATGTATGTGGCAAGTGGTTAAGATTTTTTGTCGTATTCAATTTCCTAGTGTTGGGCTTTTATTGGGAACGTGAGGGTACTTTGACTAGGTCAGGCTGTTTGTAATAAACGAAAATCTTACTTAAAGAATATGTGCTTTTTTTAAAACAATTTTAAATCGTAACTTTTACGCTCAATGGGTCTACAACTATGCCACTCAATTCAAGAATATCGTTATTATATATTGAACATGTCACTTGGATGCTTTAAAAGTATTAAATGACTTTCGCAATACTAATCTAAGTTTAAGTCAGATGAAACTATTTTATCCGAGCTTTGATTTGATTTAACGTTTAAATTTGTTTATTTTTTAATATTTCTCTTTCCCAGTACTACAAGTTTAAGCATATTAATTAATTTATTTATTATTAAGGCACTAGTCGGTAATAAAAAATCACCTTAGAAAAAGTTAAATAGATGATATTAATAATATTCATATATATTAAATATTGAAGACTGTGACTTTAAATTAGTTTCAATCGTTATCCTATGATATATCTAAGATATTTTACTTAATTTCCATTTTGCTTTTTATCATTTTTGTATTTCTCTTAAGATGTGTTTAATTTTAAATTCTGTGTGACTATCAAAAGTTATTTAACTATGAGGAAGTTGGTCCTAGTTGCGAACAGCGTAAATTAAAAAATTCCTTTCAAACTTTAGAGTTTTGTGCCTGCAGCAGGCCATCATGTTTCTGTGTTTCAAAAAGTATACACCCCAATAATAATATATGATGCGATGAAGAGTTTATTAAGCCTTGATTAAACTGCTATTAAGAGATCTAAAAATTATGTTGATTATCTGTTCAAGAGATACAATTTTAATTTAATAAGCGTCAATATTTCATTAGGTGGCTGTTTTCAAAAATAAAAATGTCTTGTTCAAATGGGTGTGTCTTCTTTAAGAGAGCATTTATTATTCGTTAGGATACATATAGCAAACGCATAAGTCACCCTAACTAGTTTCTTTTAGGCTTTTCTTTTCCGGCAGCGAAAGCCGCTCAGGGTTTTTCCACTCGTTTTGCGGATGTGGACGCAATCGTGGCCTCGACATTACAAAATATCTTGAAGACTATTTGTAATTTGCATTCATTGACGCCGTTTTTATAGCTGGGTGGAAACAAACAGTGAAATCTCCCTACGTGCGCTATGTTAAATGTGTCACCAGGCGGCAGACAATGCCGCCTTTCAGCTGGCTGTCCAGTTGCCACATCGACTTACATTGCCTCTAAATGTGTGACTTGTCTTGTGTGAGAGTGCGAGCTTCCTGTCTGTGTGTGTGTGTGTGTGTGTGTGTGTGTGGGAGTGCGTGAGCGTGGGATGCTCATGCCATTTCCGACTTTTCACGTACCTTCATCAAGTTGTCATTCAATTTTTAAGTCCATAGCAAGTCTTGTACTTAACATAGTTGTGACAAGTTGACAAAAAGTAAGTATGCATAAGTTGGCTGACTTCCATTTAAAACTTGCCACATTGATTTAACTGCTCTGCCGTACGCATATATGTATGGGAGTTCCTTGTCGCTCCAGAAACTTTAGATGACAACTCTACGGCAGGGACATTTATTTATTGCACATTTAAAGTTTTAACTTGATGATTCACTTTTAATTGTGAATCAGTTCATTTGAAACTTTATATTTAATTTCAAATTTTAATTTAATCTTAAGCACTTTTTTAGTCCACATTAAATAAATATATAATTTAATTTTTTATAATTTTGTAACTTGAATTTTAAACTTAATTTCTTAAATGCATGTATTTTGTCCACATTAAATAAATAATTATTCATTTTATGTGTAAAATATATATTTATTACATTTAATAATAAAACTAAGAGCGACTACAGATTCCTCTTTGCTATAACAAACTCACGTTAAAATAACACATTAGCTTGGTATTCGAATCCCCCATGTACATGCACACTTTTTGAATGACAATCACAAAGTAGGAGTTGTTATTCTTGTTGCTGTCAATCAGAGCACATACAAGAATCACATCATTCACTTTTATGGCTTATACTCGCTGTGTTAGGTTTTGGTTAGCATCTATCGGTGCTCGGTCTGTCCTGTCCTGCATTAATCCCCACGTAATGAGTTGTACGCCATTTTGCGCTAAATTGTTTGGTGAGTGCCTGATAACAATATTTGCACTAATTTGGCATTTTTAAGTGTGCTCCACTGACACTTGATGCGCTTTTAATTGCGCCAAATGCTCGAGTGTACTTTTGTCGAGCCAGAGAGCATGTCTCTTCTGTGTGGTGTTGTTGCCGCTGCTGCTGCTGCTGCTAGTGGAGGTGAAAGTAGTGTGGCGTTGTTTGTATGACTGTGCCTGCGACTGTGGTTGTCTCTCGGGGGTGTGTTGGGTTGGTTCCACTTCTTTTGGTTGCTAGCTGCTGGTTGACTTGTGGGTGTCCCCGTGCGGTTGTCTTGCCAACTTGGCTACGTTGTTGCCGTCATGTGGCAGGAAATGCAAAGATAAACGATTCATTAGATGCCACAATATTTGACTGACTTTAATGGGCACATGCGTGCCCATGTGTGTGTATACCCTATATATGTATATATTTCATTTCCAACCTATAGTTGCCAGACGGCAACATATGGAATATAAATTCTATTGGCGCCCGCTTTTATTACAATTCAAATTTTCTTTTACTTGCAGTACGAGACGCCTGATTGCAACGCTGCCGGCGGCAATATGCGTGCCTTGAGCGGCGCCACTGCCAGCGATTTACTGCAGAAGCATTCGATTAGCTCGATACTGGAACAGCATCAACATCAGCAGCAGGATCTGCTGGGCAGACGTAGCGATGCCAGTGATGGACTTATATCATTCATAAATGGTTCGTTTCAAAACTCGGTTTGTTTTAATTTCATTATGCTCTGCTTGGCACTGTTCTTTTTTTATATTGTCTCTCTGCTAAATTTAGTACACTTTGGGGTTGCCTTTGGAATTATTGTCATGAGAGGAGAACTAGTTTTTCCATCATATACATTTTACAATCGCACTGGCATTTTCTTGTCAACCTTAGGTCTACACCAAACGGACGTACAAATTTCAAACATTTTTTACCTTTTGAAGTCGGCACACAAATATTCTTCGATATACATTTAAATTATTATTATTCTTTATTTTGTTTCCAAGTAGTTTAATCGATCGGTATCGAGTTCCTTGTATAAATTGCATTAAAAGTGTATACGCCAAATTTGTCATTTGCAAAAGGAAGCTCAGAAAAATTTTCAATTGAATTATCAAACAATTTTAAAATATCTAATTACAAAATTCTTGTGTGTGTGGAGTACACGCGTCGCGCGTATTATAACATTTGAAGATTTGAGAATTTTGGACATTCCAGACCATCAGAGCACGACCATGTTGGGAATTGAGGAACTGTATATGAGAAAGATGCCAAGTGCTATGCCAAGTGGGTCGCCCACGCAGGAGACATTTGAATTTGGCATCAACTATGACAGCAAAGCCACCACCAATAGCAGTACCAGCAATAGCAACAGCAACAGCAAATCTTCCAGTATTACCATTGACGAGAACCTTGGCACGATGGCAGCTGGTGATGGCGATGGCGATGGCATACAGAACTTGGCATACGACAATAATGCGAGCAACAACAACAACAACACCACAGGCCAATGCAATTGCAGTAAGTTGCTGGCCCATTTTGGGCTGGCAGTGCCAAAAAGACCTCCTTGGACTTCGTCTCGTTCTCTTATTATTACTGCGGTTCGGGTTCGCGTTGGGTTGTGTTGGGTTGGGTTGCGACATCTCGAACTCTCTTCGCATATTTACGCCTAATTTATTAGCAGCATTTTGAATATTTGCGAAGCGCTTGAGAGCGGCCCCAAAAATGCCAATGGTCCAAAGTTGTATTTGTATTCGCAGTTGTCGTAGTCGTAGTGTTGTTACTGTAGGTCTTTGTTTGATTTATTGATGGCTGCGGCAAGTCGACGATAACTGTTGACATTCTATTCAAATATAAATATTGCTTCTGTGTGTGTAGTAAATTGTGCCTATTTTTGCAGATCCAATCACACTGAACGATCTGCTTGACTTCTGTGGCGGCAGCGGACCGGCAACCGCAGTCCAGGCAACAACAACAGCAGCACCAGCCCCAACAAAAGTAGTAACAACGGCAGCAGGCAGCATTGCAAGCGGCGCCGGAGGTAACGGCAGCAGCAGCAGCAGCAGCGGCGTTAATAACTTGCTACTTGGCAATTCGGCGACTGTTGCAACTGCCGCTGTCGCTGCCCCTGACGATTGCGGTCAATTGACGGCGACTGCAGTTACCTATGCACCATTGACACCGAGCTCAACCCAGTCCTCGGCCTCGCCAGGCACCAAGTCAAGTTTTGATTACTTTCAGGTAAGTTTGCGACGCACAGTTCGTGCCATGCCTGGTAATACATTAAAACCATATTGTAATTGCACCGAATTTGCACCAACTATGTACTATCTAACTTTTTATGCTTGTGTCTCTTGCGTCTCTCTCCTTTCTCTCTTTCTCTTGTGTATGTGTGTGTACTCTGTACTCGTACTTAACCAACGCTCGTGGACTGTATACTAAACGTCTTATAATTTCGATTGATTTCTATGTTTTACCTATCTCTCTCTCTCTATATATATATATATATATATATATATATATATATATATATATATATATATATATTTATATATATCTGTCTCTTTAACTCTGTATGTATGTGTGCAATTTGTTTCAATTTATTTTATTTCTTTTCTTTCTTTTTTGGGTGAATTGGCGAACTTAGTTTGAAAATGTTGCACAAAGTAACCCACTTAAGGCTTTCCAAAGATCAAACATCAGCTTCGATTGCTCTGCACCTTTATCGCCAAGTACGCCTTCATCTATTTACAATCGCTCCTTTCACAGTTCACCTTTAGTCAGGTAACGATATTGCGGCACCTATTTTATATTTGCGAGCCATCCATCTCACGCATCTCCCCTACCACCATTTGCAGTGATAGCAGCAATTCCTCCAGCGCCAATGGCCTGTCGCTAGATTCGATTAATATGCTATATCAGCAGCAGAACTACAGCAACTTGGGCAGCAGTAACAGCGGCAATCTCGGACTGAATTTGCAGAACGCATCCACACGCTCCAATTCACCAGAGAGCCAGAACAGCAATCAGTCCTTCAACGAGCCTAATCTATTGGACATGATTGTGAGTAACGTTCAACGAGAACGACTAGGACACTGAATTTAATCAAAACTCTTTTTGCAGAATTTGCTCTCTGTGAACAGCAATAAGCTGGCTTCCTTGCAGCAACAACAGCAGCGACAACAATTTCAACAGCAGCAGCAACAGTTGCAGCATCAACAACAACAACAGCAGAAGCAGCTGCAGGAAAAGCAGCTACAACAGCAGCAACAACAACAACACCATCAGCAACAGCAGTTGCAACAACAACAGCAGCAGCAGCAAACTCACCACCAGCAGCAACAACAGCAGCAGCAATTTACCAACATAAATCGAAACTATGAGCCGCAGCTGTTAAGTGGATCGCAGCAAAATTTTGATATGAGCAGCAACGATTGTCTAAATCAATGTAGTCTAGAGAATTTTTCACTTGTGGACATGGAACTGGTCAAGCTGCAGAACTTGCAGCGTCTCAATACGCTCAAGTTGCTGCAGTCACAGACGCAGCAAATGCCGTTACTTAATCAATTGCTGCAAAGCTTTACAACCAATTTGCCCACTGCCGGTAGCACCAGCAACATTAACAACACTTCAACGGCCGGTTTGGGCACTCTTGGTGTCGGTACGGGTAACACGGTGGGCGTGGCAGCCAGCTCTAGTAACAGTGCCAATGATTGGCATTTGGACCGTGTCGCCAAGTTCTACAAGAATTCGGCAGCAATAAGTGAAGCAACATGTACTTGGAGTGGCCAATTGCCACCACGCTCGCATCGTATGTTGAACTATTCCCCTAAGGTTTTTCTGGGTGGTATTCCGTGGGATATTAGCGAACAATCATTAATACAGATCTTTAAACCATTTGGATCCATTAAGTGAGTGTTCCACCTGCTAAAAATTAAATTGATTCGAACTCGTCACTGAATTGTTATACCTTGCAGAGTGGAATGGCCCGGAAAGGAGCAGCAAGCGGCACAGCCTAAAGGCTATGTCTACATCATATTCGAATCGGATAAGCAGGTTAAAGCGTTGCTCTCTGCTTGCGTATTGCAAGTTGATGACTCGCATAGCGGTAGCAACTACTTCTTCAAGATCTCCTCTCGTCGCATCAAGTCAAAGGATGTAAGTTCAAAACAACAGATGTGTTTCATTATATCAATAAATTATATTTCAATTCTTGCTTTAATTCAGGTTGAAGTAATACCGTGGATTATAGCTGATTCGAATTATGTACGCTCCAGTTCGCAAAAGCTGGATCCCACAAAAACAGTTTTTGTGGGCGGCTTGCATGGCAAGCTAACAGCTGAAGGCTTGGCCACAATTATGGAAGATCTATTTGATGGCGTGCTCTATGCTGGCATTGACACGGACAAGTACAAATACCCGATTGGCTCCGGGCGTGTTACCTTTAGCAACTTTCGCTCCTACATGAAGGCCGTTTCGGCCGCCTTCATTGAAATACGGACCACTAAATTTACAAAAAAAGTTCAAGTCGATCCGTATCTGGAAGATGCTTTATGTTCCATTTGCGGCGTCCAGCATGGACCTTACTATTGTCGCGAATTGTCTTGCTTTCGGTATGTATGAAATTGCGAAAGCTACGAAATGAAGTTGATCAACTAATTGAAACTAATTGTGTTGCAGTTACTTTTGCCGCAGCTGTTGGCAATGGCAGCACAGCTGTGAAATTATTAAAAATCACAAGCCCTTGACACGTAGCTCAAAGTCGCAAACATTGGTTGGCATTGGACCGTCAGCGTCTTCCTCGACGATTTCGTTGGCGTCCTCGAGCAACCGCTTGAACATGGATCAGAAACTGCAGCAGCACAGTCATAATCATCAAAATCACCAGCAGCAGCAGACGCAACTGCAACAGCAACAGCAGCAGCAGCATCAAAAACGTATACAGCAACATGTTCAGCAACATGCCAATCAGCCAAGCAACTTGAACCTCTTGTCAAATGTGGGCGCCACGAACGCTGCGGCCAACTCATTGTACAAATATCAACAGCAACAGTCGACGATTTAAGCGCGTTTCAACTCCATATTTTGTGCGCAGGTTTGGCGCTCCGTTTTAACATAATTCCATATTTATGTTCAACTTGGGATGTTTATTTTTTTTTTTTTGAATTTTAAGCGATGCCAAATTTTCGCACTTTTAGAAGAAGCTTACATTTTTCGAATGGCCAGATTTGGACGGAAATTATTTGTGTTGCACAGCCAAACGCAATAAAAGTTGTAAAATTACATAAATGTATTCAATGTATGTATTTGCTTAAACTTTGCGATATTAAGTATACGTACAAATTTTTCTTTTAGGCAAAAACCGAGCATTTCTCACATAATCAATTCGTATCCATAATATTTTTTGATAATCATGCTTACATATCAGCATTTGAAGCTGGCATTCGAATGCTAAACGAAACCCGCAGCACCTTGCAATGGGCCATTTCAATTATTATTCTATATTTTTGCTAAGAAAGCTGCCTATATTTTGCATTCCCATTTATCTAAGTTAAGACAAAGCCATTCTGGAAACAGCACAAGTTTATTTCTGTTTAGTTATATTATATATTTTTTTTTGTTAGAGGTTTATATATTTTGTTATTGTGCTATTAATCAGAAATTTTATAACTTCTTTTTTATTAGCCAAGGCAGAAGTATTTTTTTTGGACTTGTCCCTAAAGCGTTTAACACAAATTGCAATTTTTAAATACAATTTAAAAATTGTGAATTTTGTCACACTAAAATTGTTATGAGTTGGTTAAGTTTAGTTTCGTTTAGTTTATGTTTTTCTTAGATTTAAATCATTATACTATTGTTTTTGTGAAATTTTGTATTTCTTTCTTGGCCCTCTTGGCTGAACTAGTTTTAAAGCTTAAAACTTTGTTTCTATGATTTATGTTTACATTATTTTTCATGTATTTTGAGAACGGATCTCGATGCTTTGTATGTAATAACAAAAAATTACATATTATACTTAAACAACGCTTTAATTTAATACCAAAACATTATTTTTTGTACACACGCTTAAAGCGCGCATACTATTTCAAACAAATATATACATACAGCCAAACAATTAATTTACAAAACTCAACAAGTTTTTTCTTTGAATACTTAACCAATGCTTAAGCAACACTAACCCTGCGCTTCCCATGCTGATACTTGCCAGTTAGTCGTGTATATCAAATATTAAATTCAAACGAATTTAAGCATAAATACAATCAAATTTAAAAATACTTTACCATGCAACTTAAATACTCCAACTATAAAAAATATGGATTGCAAACACGCAAACTGAAGTGTTTGAAATCGACAAACTAAGTATATAAACAAATAAGGTATTTATCAATCGACTAACGGATGTTAAATGAATGTTTATGAACGATACTTAAGCATAAATTATTAGTATGCATTTTTGTATATTTTGTTGTTTTTTTTTTCTTGCCAATATAATAATATGAATGTAATGGACGTAAGAATGTAAGAGAATAAACATGCTCACACATTAAGAACCTACAGGGATTTTATGGTAGTCTTCGAATAGCGCAAAACCCAAATGTTAAAATAGCTGCCAATGCAACTAGTTGAATTTGTTTAGTTACTAATCGACCTACACAACAATAAGCAATTTTTAATTGATACAAATCTGAAAGAAACGCGGGTCTTAGGATAAACTTGGATGCCTCTTAGTATAACGGTTTCTGTTGTAGCGCCTAGCTTAGTTTCTTTTGCCTAGGAACTTGATCAGTTGTACAATATGATTTGAATGGCGATAACTACATTTAGTTGATGTAAGTGAATAAGTAGCTATTAAATATTTAAAATGCTAGACAATTACCATGCATAGTTATTATATACATAAATACCTATAATATAAATCATACATTTATTATAACCTATACAAGCCTCTACACACATAGTTAATGCCTTCAGTAAAAATCAATAAATAATAAACAAAAGCAAGTCACCCACTCAAATGAAAGAAATCGCTTTAAGGACAAACCACAAATCAAAATGCTTATACATGCATACACATATTTATTAAATCATATACATTCATACATACATACGTGCATACCAATAAATATCTATTACATTTTATGTATGTTTAATGAGAACAAAATCAGGTGTCATCACAAAGAATATACATAAATAGGATGAATGATGAGGAATATGAACAGATAAGGTTAAGTTCGAAAAAATGCATATATTTACCAATCCCATGAATATTTCATAATAATCAAATCTTAAATGAAAGCGAATGAACATATACATATATACACACGTATACATATAAAGAACATATACCTTTAACTAGATAATAAATTGTATATATTGAAAGATATTTATACATAAAATGGTGCTTTAGCTGAATTATAATATAATTATATGTAATTCTAAGACTTATATACCCAACAAAACAAAAAAGTTAAGAACAAGAATCTTGCTTCTCTTGAATGATTTCTTACCAACAAATCGAAAACGAGTGCTGTGGCAGCAGGCAGCACGATTTTATTATAGCAAGAACGAACAACAAATATTTAATTTGTTTGTAAGCGATCTGAAGAAAAATGTTTTTAACAGCTAAATCGACAAATACTCAAGCAATGCAAATCAACATTTTCGATTATGTAAAACACACAGTCATAGAAATATCGACCCTTACACTAGGACATACAGACATGCTTAACTTTTAAATAACTAAAATTTATATACTTTTACTAACTACATTAAAATGAAAATCAAATACTTTTAAATGAAGTTTTTAAGGCTATTCAAAAGGGAATCACCCAGCCTCAAAATTGGTACTTAACCTCGAAAATCGTAAATATATTTTTACTTTAATGTTTTTAACGCTTTTACGAGCAAACTGAATCGCGTTTTTAAATATCAAAACAGTTACAAAAGTTTTAAACATTTTCCACAATGCTTTTTCGTATTATCATTTCAAATATTTTTTTAAAACAATACAAACTCAAACAAATATAAACAGCAGACAAAAAACAAAAACAAATTAAGAAATTTAATGTATCAATGAATTGAATAAAACGAAATGTAATGGAACCAAAATCGAACGCTTCCCACGCAAAACCGATAATATTAAATTTTAGCTAAGTAAATAAAACAGTATGCAACGTTCAAAAAAAACAGCGCACTAGATACTTATTAACATTTAAAACACAGTATATGTATGTATTTTATAAACTAATTAAATCATATGTTAATCTTCATTAACTCTTAAGCGATTTCACATCATACTCGTCAGAAAAAGTCATATTTTTAAACTCAGCTAAGGTGAAAAGCAGATATACACAAACAATTTACCTACTCCTATACACAATATCTACACATTCGCCGATATCTTTACCACGCATTAAAACTAAACTATGCTAACTATACACATACATACATTCTCTAGCTATATTTACGAAGAATATTTTTAATATGCATAATATTAAATACAACATTGAGCAACACAAGCGACATGTGAGACACATTTTGGGGGAACATTAGCAAACAAAACCATTTGCAAATTGAATTTTAAACTAACAATACTTGCACGGCAAAATGTTAAAGATAAAGTTTAAGGAAAGAAAAAAAAACAAGCAAACAAGCTAAAAAAAAATATATAAAAAAAAAAAAAACAGAAACAGAAACAAAAGAAACGTAATATGAACGGTTTTTAAAAAGACTATTATACACACATATATATACACAGAAACGAATAATAATGATGAACATTACTAAGCTTTTAATGCAATAATCAAGTACCATATATTTTAATAATGGATAACTTAAAGGATAACTGAAGGAGCAAACAAACGTACACATACACTTACCTAACTTGTATGCGTTATTGCAAATTCATATTGTTAAAGTATAGCGCGGTTGGAGAAGTGCTTGGAATAGTACTAGGGGTATTCTAGCTTCGTCTCTGACATTGGCTTAACAATATAATAAGTACATGTGTCAAGGGAAGCGTTCTCACCCTAATTCTAATTGATTTTCCCACCTTATATAGGAATATAAACAAAATTACTGCAGTGCCATTTTAAATAGCTTCCAATAAGTACATTATTACTATACATAAATATATACACATATTATATAAATAAATATAAAAAAAAAAATATATATATATATATACATACATATACATGCAACCAATACATGAAATACGTACATACCTAGTATATGCATACATACATACCTATTTATGTATTTAATATATTGTTATGAGCTGAAGTTCAAATTGCATTACGGTTATATTATGTAAACAAATAAAGCAAATGGAACAAAGTTGAACATATTTTGAATGCGGAAATTTTTGAACTTTTTGATGCTTTTTTTGTACAGCATTTTCAAAATGCATAAAAATAACAACAAAGCGAATTATATATGTATGTATGTGTGTACCCCATTATTACTTAAAATACATGCATACATTTACATACATACGTATGTATGTTTGTATGGAAATCCTGTAATCAAAACAGAAAAACTATTAACAAAAAAATAAATAAATAAATAAAAAAATGATATTAAAGTAATAAACAAAATAGTTAGGCATATTAACTAATTAACGAAATCCCAATATCTATGAATATCAACTAACAAGTTTTTAAATGATAAAACAAATACATATGCGCTTAATTAAGTTATAAATAATAACATAAATAAGCAAACTAAGAGCTAAAAGATATATAAAAGATAAATACGACGCTATACTACACTACACTATAAATTAAAACAAATTTTATCTAGATACATACATTGTATATGTGAATTCATACATACTTATTAAAGAGCTTATTGGAGGCAGCAAAGTAAAACCAAACAACAACAAAAAAAAAACAACCAATTATTATTATAATTGTTAATCTGTATTTACATGCCTTTATAGCAATCAATTTTCTTCTGTACAATAGAAGCATTATATAACATATAATGTTATTTTCACAAAACACGAAACATAATTTAACAAAAGTTGCCCAAAAACAATAACAATAACAAGCGAAACAAACGACACAATCAGGTGTGAAAGTATCTGTACAGCTACTAATCATTGAAAAGTGTCGGTATTTACACAAAACAATAATATGCAAGGCGAATCGCCTTACATAATTAAATACAAGTCTTCAAAAGCATAATTTATGTAAACAATAATCCTGACTGCTAACTAAACTGACAAATAGTGCATACCAAGAAAAATATGATAAACACGATATACCCTTAAAGAGTCGACAATATATGAGCCTGTAAATTAATTGAGTATGCAAACTAAAGGTGTATTGTATATCAACATGAACAAAGATGGAATAGATAATAAAGGACACACAGACCAAATTACAAACAGCTTATTTATTTGCAAAGTGATAAAAAATACACATCCAACAATATCATTGATTGATGAGACATATCCACATATATCTTACGTTTATAATTTATATTTCTTCGTGCTTACATATTTAATAACTTAACTTTTGCGAGTGCGTACGCAAGTTTCTTGCCCTACAAGTCACCACCACACACATAAGGACTAGCTAACAACAAGTATTGCCATGTACTATTTGTTTAGTCTTCTCTTGGCAAAGATTTGATAGATTCCCACACAAGCCGACAGAGTGCCAATGGTGCCCACTTGGAATGTGGATAGTTTACCGCCCCATAGATAGCCCCTAGGTAAAGTGCTGACAGCGTGCACAAAATCTAACGATATGCGGAATATGGACATCAATTCCAGTCGGTGTTTTGCCAGGGATTTTTGATCAATTTGCGTTGCACTATAAAAAGAGATGGGACTTAAAATGAGAGACTTCAAATTTTTAGAGATTTGACAACTCACTTGCAGAGCTGGTGACTACTATTTAGTTTTTCCTGATTTATCCAAAAGTTTCGTAGAGTTCTAGAATTGATTTTGGAAATAGATTAGCTTGTCTGCTATGTATTTTAGGTGTCAGACTAACTGCATTAAATTCAAGTAAACCGAAAGCACCCAGAATATTGAACTGGCATTGTCCCAATTGTCGGCATGCTTCACATCCACAATCTTGTGCTCGGATAGCCAGCAAATCTTCTCGATTGGATAATACAGTAAATCCACAATATTGGCAGTCACGCCCAGCATGGCCATAATGCGATCTGGTTCATTCTCTCCCAGTCCATACTCCAAAGCGTATTGTATCATGGGTATATCATCGATAAGACGTAGCGTTGCTCTTGCTCCCGATATCTTGGAGCTGGCAATCGCATACCGTTTGGCCAAATCAGGATTCCGCTTCATATGATAACCGGCAACGAGCTTGGCGCTGTAGCAAAGCGCCTTCATCACCTGCAAAAACAACGTACATTTATTTATGGACTGTATGTACTTTGAGAATCTTAATAAGATATATTTATTATATCTATATATTTGTTTATATTATCTATTTACTTATTTATCTAGTACCCGCTTTACACTCTACAGCAATTTATGAAATTGCTCTGTAGCAATAAAGAGATAAAATATTATCAGTGATAAAAAGAACACAACGAATGCGACAAACATCTTAATAGCTGGTTTTCCACTGGAGTACTTTCGATGTCGCAATGGGGAATTCATTTTTGTGGCTTTTTCCTTTCATTGGTCGCGTTTTATGTTTACTTAGTCCATTATTGATATTGTCAGGTATTTGTATTTGCTGGTTTACATTGGAAGCAATCAATAGCAATTAGTTCAATAAAATATGATTAAAACGAATAAAATCGAAACAATTCCTTACGGGGGGAATATTAATGTTTATTTAAAGTTATTTGTTGTTTATTTTTATTGTTATCATAGGACACTAACCCACCTTTCTCTGGTAGCTTATTATCTTTTTTATTTCACGCCGGGTTAACGATCGACTATTTGCAGTAATCTGCAGCATTATCTTGCCTTAACTTTAGACGAGCGTCTCTCAAGCACTATTGATTAAACTCAAGCTGATTAAACTGTAAAACATTTGCAGAATTCATATGGAGACCGCAACAAGAAGTAAGGCAAGGTTCAACAATGCCGCTTCCGAGTATGCTCAAGGTGACAAACGGCAAACCGCATTTGACGTATGCAACAACAGCAACTGAAACCTGTTAGAGCGTAGACCAAGCCCCTCAAAAGCCACCCAAAAACAAATAAAAAAAAATGCTGCCACGCAACATTTTTAAAATAACAACTAGTTAATGAAAATATCATCATTAAATTAGAATAGAATATAAGTTAGAATAATATTAATTGCTTACCTTATCCCGACCGCCATAGAAATCAATAATATCACAGAATTCGGCAACAAACTTTGTTGTGTTGCTCATTTTTATTTATCTTGAATATCGAGTCTCTTAAAATGCAATTACAAAAAAGGTGGAAAGATAAAGACGAAGAAAACGCAGTAAAAGCAAACCGCGCAAACAACTGAAAGACAACACAATACAAAATTGCTATCACTTTTCGAACAGCTGTGATTCGTTCGTGTCGCTGCAATGCTGTTATCGACTTATCGATAGCTGTTGCGGCTATCGTGTGCAACACTACCGCACATTTAATTGCTGCCCAGCACTGCGCATACACACACACATAGCACGGATGTTTCAACGAGTTGCAGGACGGGATTAGGATTCGTTGAAGGACCACGAGCTGAAAATATGAATTTGCCGAATGCGAACAACAATAACCATGCATCATCGCCCATCTACAGCAATAAGTCCATCATAAAGAAGAGCTCCAAAGGCGATCTAATGAGGGCCGCCGTCGGTTTGTTGCTGAAACAAAAGAATTATGTTGTAAGTAAATGCAGCTATCAAATGAAATGGAATATTAACTTGATGTGCTTTGCAATAACTTTGCAGGGCAACGAAAAGTTTCGCCGATCGGACTTCCTCTTGTTGCAAAATAAAAGTCAATTTGCTGTCAACAAAATGCTGGACGCCGATCTGCATGGCGGCAACAGCTTCACCTACTCCAACGTCCAAGTGATGACAAACAATCAGCACATGGTCGACCAGCAGTTCGGACGCTTCTCGCAGTTTGTGGAGGCGCAGCCGGAACCGTTGCGTATCGAAATGAAACGCTTCTTTGCACCGATGCTGTGCCATTTGTATCTTGAGCTGTTGAAGGCGCGCGAATCGAAGGGCGCCGTTGAGTTCCTCAAGAAGTATGCGCATCTGGTGGCGCCGGTTGACCTGTACGATGCCCCACTGCCCACAAAGATCAATGGCTGCTCGGTGACAAATGAGGCGCAACTCTTGAGTGCCTCCGACTGCCACATTCGTTTCGCCAACGAAGCGCAGAACACTGGCGATGTGGAGCTGGATTATTTTATGAAATTAGTACAAATTCTGTCCGGTTGCACGAAACTGGAAACTGCCGAATCTGATCCGACTGTTGCGCATTTTCGCGCTTCCAAATATGAATTGCACACAACGGCCCAGGTAGTGGACAAAATTGGTGCCTTTTTGCAGGGACGCGGCCATGTGCTGATCATGAATCTGCTCTACACTTGGCTGCACATTCACATTGTGGACAACGATCAGCGTCTCTTTACGGAAGATTATCTGCTGGGCATCACCGACGAACTCGATGTGATAGAAGGCTTTGAGGCGGACGAGGTAAGCTCGTCATCCAGTGCAACGTGCAACAGTCGCAACAAGTCCAATATCAAAAAGCGTACTGCCGAGGACACAGTCATTAAGCTGGAGTCGGATATTAAAAGTGAATATGGTATTGAGGACGAAACCACAATGGGTGATAGGAACCGAAGCCACATCGACGCCTGCCTGAGTACACTGAAATCCTCGTCAGCACAGATATTGAAAGTTCAAGCGGATCTGCCATGTTTCTATAGAATCAGCGAACGGTCTCGTGGCCTGACCTCGGCTCATGTGGATAACAATGAGTGCCACATGCTGGCGGGCTTTGATAACTCTTCCATTCAGCTGTGGCAGCTGAATCAGCATAGCTGTAAAAGTAAAAATTTCTACAGACGTGCCCCACACTCACAGTGCGATTGGGAACTGAACAATTGTGCATACGAGGAGCAAGAGGAACTGGACAGCGATGAGGAGACAATGAAATGCAGCACCGAGGAGCGATGCAATCGGAGCAAAGCGTTGCGCAACAAATATGCGGATAACTCCTTGTACGTTGTAATTTAACAATTATCTTATTCAATCCGAAATTATATATATTTATGTCATTCATTCACTGCAGCAACGAGTTTGGCGGATTGCAGATGCGTGGCCATACCAAAGGTGTGACCAATGTACGTTTCTCTGCCCACTATCCGCTGTTTTATAGCGTTTCGAAGGATTGCACTTTGCGCTGCTGGCGTGCGCACAATTTGCAATGTGCGGCCATTTATAGCAGTCACAATTACCCCATTTGGTGTGTGGATGAGAGTCCAGTGGGCCAATATGTGGTCACCGGCTCCAAGGATTTGAGCGCACGTCTGTGGTCCCTGGAGCGTGAGCATGCGCTTATCATTTATGCTGGTCATACGCAAGACGTTGAGGTGAGCCCCAAAATTAGTGTACCCCAAAAATGAAGCAAGCAATCATTTATTGGATGTTCCCTAACAGTGCATCGCCTTTCATCCCAATGGCAATTACTTGGCCACTGGCTCAGCGGATCATTCGGTGCGCTTGTGGTGTGCCACCAGTGGCAAGCTTATGCGCGTCTTTGCCGACTGTCGCCAAGCGGTGACCAGTTTGGCCTTCAGTGATGACGGCAAAATGCTGGCCGTCGCCGGTGATGAATCGAAAGTGCGCATTTTTGATTTGGCTGCTGGCGCTCAGCTGAGCGAACTGAAGGATCATCCGACCAGCGTTAGTTCGCTCGCCTGGGGTGAGCACAATCAGCAGCTGGTCACTGCCTGCATCGATGGCAGCCTGAGACTGTGGGACATTAAAAAGCTAACGCCAATGAGGTAAGCTAACTGAAACCCAATGATTTTAATGATTATTAAAATAACTATTGTAATTTTAATTGGACAGCGAAAACAGCAGCAGCAGCAGCAGCGCCTACTCATCATCGTATTCATCATCATCGTCCTCGTCGTCAGCTACAACGAATCGTCTCCTAACTGTGAATAGTTCCTGCCATCGTCTGGTCGATGTATTTTATGGACGCAGTAAAAAGCTCTACTGTATAGGCACATAAAACAAATTGTCAACTTAATTGAGCATAGTTTCTTCTGCTTTAAAATAATTTATTTGTAATAAGTCTGTATAATAAGTATTACTGTTACTATCAAGTGGAACAATGTGTTTTTTTTTCTTTCCTTTTTTAACAATTCCAAAATAGCATACATTTAATAATAATTCGTGATGCTTCTAAACGCCAAAAAAAAAAACACTGTTGACATATTCATACATCATAGACAATCATCAGCATCGTCATCATTCATCGACTTGTTATAATGGATCTGTCAGCTTAATAGCAATAATTAAAAGTTGCATAAACTATTGCATTTAATTCACTTAATAAAATGAAGAAACTCGAAAACAACTGACACACTTCGTATTATATATGCATATGTTTTTGTGTGGATGTATTATATATTATGTATATATATATATATATATAATCAAATGTACTCACAATGATTTTGGACACTCGCACAGCCCATTGGAACAGAACATGGTTTAACTTAAATTATATGGTTATACAATCAATTATTTTACAATTTTAATGCACAATCAACGCAGCAATAACTTAATCAATTGGAGAAAGAAATTGTTCAAATTTATTTGAACGAGCAGTAATTCGAATGATAAGTTTTCTTTTCATTCCATCTTTCTCTTCTTTTCTACCAGAACTCTAGACTATTCGACTTTTAAGTTTAAGCACTAAATTTATGTATAGTATATAAATATGGGCGCAGAACATGAATAAATAAATTGGTATGTAGTACATATAGTTATGTCCCAGTCGAGAATTTGAATAGTGACTCGACTGCGACACTATCTGATCAAAGTCTAGTGTTATATTTAACAAATGAGTATAATTTGCAACCGATTGTGATTGACATCGCTTAGCGCTTGTGGCGTCCGCGTATCAATTGCAGTGCTTTTGCCATCAGTGGTGCCTTCTTGTTGCGCATCGGAGCCGCAGCTGTGGTTCAGAATAATATAGAGTTAACATTAAGGTACGTGAGTATGATAGATTAACAGAGCAGATATAACTAACCAACTTGCGCCGAGTCGCGGGCTGCACTGAGCACACGCAGCCGAGCATCGCCCACCTTGGCTGCATTCGGTGTGACACTGGACAACGCTGCCACGCGTGCCGCAGGCGTGGCAATTAGCTTGCCCTTGGTTCCATATTGCTCCTGCTTGCGCTGCACACTGCGCGGCGGCTTCACCATCGAGTCAACGAATGCCAACTGAGTTTTGCGCACAGGCGCCTCGCTGATCTTCTGTGAGGCTTTTATACTTTCGGCAATGACGCTCAGCTTGCGTTCCTTTTCCTCCTCGCATCGCTGCACATATTATGCATTAGTAATACAATTTAGAATTCTACCTCAAATAGCTTACCAAAAACATTTCACGCCACGTTTCCATTTCCTCCCTGCGCTGACTACGACAATGTCGCTGCACATGCTGTTGCCACAGCACTTCGCTGTCCTCCATCAGATACGGATTGTATTCCTCAAAATTCAGCAATTGATGTGGCGTGGCACGCTCCAGCACTGGCCGCAGAACGTCAAACGGCACACCACCCGTATATTCCAGAGCTTTTACATTTAAATATAATAAAATAATATTAATTAGCGTGTTTTCATTAGGTTTTTACTTTGGGATTCTTTCAGTACCGTCAATATTCCTTTGTAGTACACGGGTGCATAGATCAAACAGTGAAGGCACTTGCAGTATTTGTCCAGTTCGAACACCTGAGTAGATTTTGGTTCTACACAAATAAATGAGTTAATGAATGGGACACAGACAGGTTGCAGGTCAAGAACGAACCGCATTGTCTTGGATGAAATGCCAGCTGCCAACGCTTCAGACTCATTAAAGTTCCTTAATGCCCTGGGCGCAGTGTTGCCCAGCCCATGATTGAAGACAACATCCATCACTGTTTGATTCAGCGGCATGGGCTTGTAATTATTTGATATTGTGGGCAGTTCTAGGGCAATACTGGGATCCAGCGGCTCCAGTTTAGCCGATGGTGCCAGCAGTTCAGGTTTCTTAAATTGAAGGCAAACAAGCAAATTGCTTAATAAAACTTTGCGTACAACAAATAAATTGAAACTCAACTCACAGTTTAACATTAAATAAAATAAATAATTAAAATAAAGAAAGCAATGACCTTGCTACCTTTGTTGTTGTTGGCCTGCTGCTGCTGCTGTTGTTGTTGTTCATAGTTGTTGCTGTTGTACGTTTGGATGTACTTGAGCTTGAGGTAGATGATCCGGTTTTTGTTGTCGCCGGCTTGTTTGGTGACTTGATCTTGCCGACACTCTTTTTGCCACTCATGGGCATGTTGAGCATGCCAAGGACATCGTCAAAATTGGCTCCCATGCTCGAGTCAAATTCATCCGCTGCCTCTTCTGCCTTTTCATCAACAGGCTCGGCCTTTGATTTTGTTTTCGATATTTTGCTTATGGGCGACTCCTCTTCAAGTCGCGCTGGACTGCGTGTTCGCTTGGATGACGATGACTTGGCTGACGATGAGGAAGATTTGTGTTTGTCCGATTTCTCTTTGACCAACACTTTTTGTTCGCTGTGCTGCGATTTGTCCTGCTGCTGCTGCTTGGCGAAATACAATTTTGATTAGATTCTAATAGAATTATTTATAGGTTTTAATAGTCACCTCTTTGCTCTGCTCATGCCTGGATTTGCTGTGCTTACTTCTGTTGTGGCTGCTGCTGCTGTGATGCCGTTGCTTACTGCTGCTCTCAGTGCTGCTCTTGTGATTGCTGCTGGACTTTGTTGTTGTTATTGTTGTTGAGGACTCGGACTTCGGTTTGCGGTGATCTCCGCTGCTGCTGTTACTGCTAGTTTTTTGCTGCTGCTCCTTTCGATGCCTGTCACTGGCACCATCCCTGGCCTTGACCTTGTCATGGCTGCTGCTTTTGTGTCGCTTTTCGCCGTCCGTTCGGCTTCTTGAATGACTTTTGCTGTTGCTTGATTTGCTCTTGTGCTCGCCGCCGCTGTCCTTGGAACGTTCGTCGTGCCTCGTAGATTTGTGTCTGTGTCGGGCGTCTTCGCCGCCAGAGGAATTGCTGCCCTTGTTCTCTTGATCTTGATCCTCTTCGCTGGAGCGTCGACCATTCGATCTGGCCGAGTCCTCCTCATTGCTGTTGCCGCCGCTGTGCACGGTTGTGGGCTCCTCTTCGGCAGCGACCATAGCCTTCCATTTTGTGACTAGAGTTTTGGCAGCAACGCCGACCTCGCCATTAATCTTGCGCAGTGCATTCACCGTCTTCCCAATGCCCGTTTCCTGCAGGTGCTCGAATGTGATGGGCAGGTTGAACAGCTTTGTGATGCAGTGCAGCAGCTGCGAAACGTTTCACACGAATATTTAGGAGATTTATTTTAAAAGAGTGGTTGACAAGAGCAGTTTATGTACACACTTCAAAATAAGGGATGTAAAATGAAGAATTGAAATATTAGGTGGTCTGACAATATGTTTGTATATAAATACAGACATATATAACTTGGGGTGGGTCAACACTTTTCATATGTTGAATGCATTTCTGGATCAAGTTCCCAGTTGAGCCCATATATAAAAACAACGTGGCTTGTATCGATTCAATTCAATTCAATTTGATGAATGCCAGATGAAACGTGTTTTAAGTACATACATATATTATACATGTACATAAGTATATATATGCATTAGATGTCTGCAGAGTTATTCCGTTTGCTGCATCCCCAAAAGAAAAAATGCGAATACCTGTTTGTTCTTTTGTTTGGCAACAGAAACAACGATGGGCAAATAAATATCGTCGGCTCTGGCAACTGAGTAAATATATATAGATACATATTAATACATGTATATATGTATATATATGCATGTGTTTGTGCATTGTGTGTATACATGCACGTGCCTTTGACCTGGCATGTATCACTGCATTTGTATCTAAGCTTGTTTAAATCATTTGCATAGCTGTTGATACAATTTACAATTGTTGGATTGGGGAAACCCTGAATGCTGGTAGGGGCGGTGGGCTGTAGGTGGTGGGGAAAACTTACGCGTGTCTCATCCTCGCCGTGGCGTTCGATGCTGCGCTGATAGTGTCGCACAACATCTGCCAGATTGCTAGTGGACGTCATCACGCTGGTGGCAGTAGCAGCAGTCGCTGTAATCTTGCTTAAGTTGTAAGTTGTATTTTTCGGGTTTTTGGCTTAGAAGAATGGCACGCAGGCAACCTCGGTTTGCAGCTCTTTCGAGTGAGTTGCATAAAAACAGAAAGAAACGAGGGGAAGCGGCACACAACAACACAAAAGTATCTCTCCAGCGGAGGAGATTTGTATTTTGTTTATTATCTGTAGTACATAGCTGCACGGATTTTAATATATATATTTAATAATTTCATCAACTGTGTGACTTTTCACTTTGAACTGTTCGTTAGTCAACACTGTTGAAACAGCCAGCTGACGGCTGCGCTATTTGGAGTCATGTTATGTTGGCTGCGAGCTCAGCTGTTTTTTGACGTTTGCTGGCAAGCTATCGATATATGAGTGAATCGATAGTGCATCAAAAACACTACATGTCTTGCAGTGTTGGCAACACTGTGCCCATTTTGTTGTGAATTATTGTTAATTTTTTAATTTAATTTGTACAAATCGAGCATCCGAGTGCAACGGCCGAATAGCAACCACAGGCCAACTGCAGCATGCGCCAGTTTCTATAAACGGCAGCAAGAAACCAATCAAGCATACGAAAGTGTCCAAATAGAAACGTGTTAAAACATGACCATGGGCGAGCGTGAGCCAACTTCGTCTCTCGTTCTGCCCGTTATACTGAGGCCTATTTTCACACAGGTAAGTTGCCACACAAAAAACAAGAAAGAAAAAACAGAACAATATTGTTGAGGGGGGGCGCTGTTCGCTGACATTCACTGTCCCAGTTAAATGCAATGTTGCGTAAACGTAAATTGTTTACAGCTCGAGCGACGCGACGTTGGCGCGGCACAATCACTGCGCTCGGCCATACTCAAATCGGAGCAGAATAATCCGGGCTTCTGCTATGACCTCGTTGCGTCGATCGTGCGACGAGCCGATTTAAATGTCAACCTAAATGAGGCCGTCTTGCGTTTGCAGGGCAACATCACCGAGGCAGATCGTAAGTTCTCATGTGTGTGCATATGTGTGTGTGTGTGTTTATTTCTGCTATTGTTTTTTGTTTTTTTTTTGCTTTGCACCAATATGCGGCGCAGTTAATGAATATCGCCTAACACGCACCGAGGAGCCGTTCCAGGAGCTCAATCGCAAGTCCGTCGCACTGAAAGTGATACTCAGTCGCATACCCGACGAGATCAACGATCGCAAAACGTTCCTCGAAACCATCAAGTAAGTGATGATGATGCTGATGATGACGATCCCATCTAACAATATAAATATACCTATATACACAAATATAATCATGAATTTGATTACAGGGAAATTGCTAGCGCCATAAAGAAACTGCTGGATGTGGTCAACGAGATTGGTTCGTTTATACCGGGCGTCACTGGCAAGCAGGCTGTCGAGCAGCGGAAGAAGGAGTTCGTCAAATATTCAAAGAAGTTCAGCACAACGCTGAAGGAATACTTCAAAGAAGGACAGTAAGTTGTTGGCAACCATTTGTTATCATTAATGTAAACAACGAGAAACAATGAACGGAATTCCATATACACCTATCATCAGCCGGTTTATTTAATCGCCTCGTATCTGGTTTTCTTATCTAAACTAACCGTGCGCTGGCCGAGCTCCATAAAAATGATGTCATCCCATTATGGCGTTACGAATTCGATTATATACTATCGATATCCGGAAGTTTGTCACTGACAGTATTCTTTAACGCATTTTGCAGCTGACATCAAATTTAAATTATCTTGATAATTTATGTCAATTTGTGATTTGTTTCGATGATTGCTAATTGGGTTTTCTTATTTCTTGTACTTTCAGACCGAATGCAGTATTCATAAGTGCACTTTTTTTAATAAGGCAAACGAATCAAATAATGCTGACAGTTAAGAGTAAATGCGAGTAGAAAATTAAATGTTTTAATTAATGCAAAACTTAGTGGCATTTTAATTTAATGTTTATACAACACACTTCAAACTAATGAGAAACAACAAATATACAAACAAATGAAAAACACAAGCAAGGAACACAATTTGCAATAGCAATCCACTGACGCATACCAGAGCCTGTTGTAATTAAAACTAAACCGATAAACTAGGCCTAGTGTATTTAAATAATTGTAAACATAACAAAAATTCCAATACATAAATAACAACAAAAATGAAAAGCTATATTGTTTAGCAACTAGCACTTGCAATTTATTTTTTCGTATTTAGTCAATTGTGCGCGTCTTTTTTTCGTTTTTTGTTTTGTTTACAAGTTTATTGTAAATAATTCATTCGTTTTCTGTTACCCACAACGTAAATATTTTGTTTTAAATTAGGAAATGCGAAAACAAATAAAATGAATGTTAGCAAAAAGCCAACAAAAACGAGACACAGGAATATACTATGAGAAAAACAAAAATGATAACAATTGAATTTTTAACTGTTTTTAATTGTTAGTGTTTGAAATTTAAAACTATACATATAAATAATACACTTACTTAATGATATGTTCTATTTAAAAACGCGAATGAAGACAGTAGCTGAGATGGCTAGCAAACCAGACGAGAAAAAAATTATTTTATTTTTAATAAATGTTATATGAAATAAAGAAGAAATAAAAAAAGAGACACAAAACTCATATTGTAGAAATAGGAAAAGAAACGACAAATAAATGTATTTATATTCAAAAATTGCATTTCATCCCACACTCTTATTTGATGAGCGCACAACTGTTACGCTAACAGTAAGAGTAACAGTAACAGTGACAGTGCATTAAAATTTGCAACCCCAAAAGAGAGCGAAAAGCACGCGCCAATGCAAAGCGAGCCAGCGTCGAATGGAGAATATTTCCCATTTTTCAGTGTCATTTGACAGAAAAATCGATTCGTTTTCACACTGGGCCATTCTGGGCAGGCAGGCAGTTGGATAGAAATCAGAGTACAAACCAGCCGAGCAGCGCGACCGAGATGACCCACTTTTCGGTTTTCGCATTCAAATCCAACTGCTGTACAAAATAAAAATTTCAATTTTTTTCTACGATTAGCATTTAGTTGAAAAAACGCGTTGTATATTATGTAAAAACGTATCAATACCGTTTAACTAGTGTAAACTCTATGCATTTATGTAAATTCTCTAACGCTAACGTGGATGTGGAAAAAGGCGACTTGAAAATTCATCAGTCCCAGCACCAATCAAGAAGCAGCACCAAAAAGGTTCGCAAAATTGTCGCGTTTTCGCTCAAATAAGTATACAAAACAACAAAGAGAAAGAAAAAAAGAAGAAATCACCTGAAATAAACGGATTGTGTTGTTTAATAATTGAAAACAAAGAAAGAAATTTGGTCAAACAAGTCCTCGAATTCAGGGCGAGCAGTGGAAAACGAAGGCAATGGCCAGGCGAGCGAACGGGCTGCTCACGAAAAATTTCGCTGTACACCAAATGGGGAAAAATGTTTTCCCAGCAGCAGCAGCAAGCAGCAGCCGTCAAACTCGCTCCGCGAATTTTTGCATTGTTTCAATGAAAATAAGAGGATTTTGCAAAAGAATCGAGAAAAAAGCATTGCATATAAAAATGAACAACTGTGCGTGCGTACAAAATACAACAATTAAAAGAAAGTTTTCCAACATGCAAACTCCTGTGTAACAAATTGCATTTTCAAAATGTTAAAAAGCTAAGAAAAAAAGATATATATATATATATATATATATATGTATATGTATGTATAAATATATATATATTTATGAAGGGTGTTGTGAAAAGTAAAAGTGTAAAAGCGATTGCCACCGAGACTTCGGCAGTGGCATATCGATGAAACGATAAAAAAGCTAGCAAGCCAACGTAAAATTACACACACACGCACACATATATAGCGAGCCAAGCACATGCATGGGTGAGTACAAACTCACACACATGCATAAGCGCGCGCACGCAAAGGCAACACACAAACACACACAAATGAGCGAATATTGAATGAAAATGAAACGTATGTTAATGTTATGTAGTTGTGTGTATTAACATCTAAAAATGTTATGACAAAATGCATCAAATAAGTGAGTTACAATTGACAAACAAAGTGCACTATTAGGTGCAAAAAGGCGCGCGCGCATAATACACACACACACATATATAAACATACACACGCATACAGTTAGAATGTGAAATAGCCCAGTGGAAATGTAAGTGGAAGTGGAACAGAGCAAAAGCAGCAGCAGTTTTGCGGCTCATAGAACTGAATATATGTATATGTATATGTATATATATATATATATATGTGTGTGTGTGTGTGTGTGTGTGTATGTATGTGTGTATATGTAAGTTTCATATTCATAGCCGCAGTAACAGCCGCAGCCGCAGCCGCAGTTGCCATGATAGCAGCAGCGGCGAAAGATAAATGAAAAGTGCCACATTTTGCTTTCGGGGGCGGTTTTGACACTTGGCGCGCAGCAACAGCAACAACACCAGCACTGCCGCGTGGGAAGCGTAAAAGTTGTTTGCTGCTGCGTGCGTAACAGAAAGCACACACTCACATGCACAGATGCGTACATAAGAGAATAAGAGTGAGAGCGGGGGTGGTGATGGGCAGGTGTTTGCCATGCGGTTGTCTTGTGTCACTCGCCTTATGTGTGTGTGTGTGTTTGAATGTAAACAGTAACAGCGGTAACAGTAACGACAATAACAGCGCTGCTCTGTAACAACTATTTTTGGATTTATTTGCGAATTGCCCCTTTCATTATTTATTTATTATGTTATGCGGAAATACTTATGTATATTTATTAAATGCTTTCATTTGCGAATGCAACGAGCTAATGTCACGCATTGACAAACAGAAAAGTCAATGGAGCAAAAACAAAAGGAATAGTTTTTTGAGTGTGTGTGTGTGTGTGTGTGACAGGATTAATCGTGGTATGCGCTCAGTTTTGACATGTGGCAATCATTCAAAGGCACACACATTTCTGTCTGTGTGTGTGTGTGAGTGTGTGTGCATCGCGTTAATTTTGCCGAAAACAAAGGGAAAATGAAAACAACTCGCCCGATTCCCACAAAAAACTATGCTACGTTTTGTGTGTGTGTGTCTGTGTGTGTATGTGTGTGTGTGTGGTTATAAATAGGCAAGATAGTTTTTGTGCTCGTTTTCTTGTTTGGCTCTACACTCTTTTTCTTCCTTTCCTTCTTTCGTTTTTTTGTTGGCACTATTGAGGTCAAACTGTCATCAGGATAGTGAACTTTACAAAAATTTCGTTTCTAAAATTGGATGACTTTAAAGTGACTTTTTCACACACACATGTCGCTGGCAAGGAAGCGGATTTTTAAACCTGTGGAAAAATTCATGTTTTGTTGCATAGCTTGAGGCTGAATAAGAGCGATGCTTAAATTTTAAGTAAACTGGAACTTCTTATGGGTTAAAACAACCTAAAATCCAACATTTTTTGTTTCTAGCTGCTATAGTTCTTGAGCTTAAATAGGAGATAGTTGGACTCTGTTGATATATATATATATACAAGTATCATTTAAGAACATTTGTTATTTTATGTACACATCAATTGATTGTTTGAAATGATTGAATAAATATTAATTGGAAATGTACATAATTCCAAGGGTTTGCCCAGACTGCTTCGGACGGTTTGGTATATATATTTCAAATGTGTCTCAATATTAATATGAACAATAAATAAGTATATATCATAAATTAAATACTTATTACCATCTATATTCAGCCACATCACAGAAAAAGCCGCTTCCTGCATTACTATTTTGCTTTTAAACTCAGAGAAAGAAACTTGGGTCATATGCAAATTAATTGTACTTCGCACAACATACACATGCTTCTAGGGTGTGTTGCGGGGTACCATTTTGAAACTATTTGTAACCTCAACATGTTGTTTCCTCTTCACAATTTGTCAAAAGTTGAAGTACGCGCTTCAAGAAATGGCAAAAGTTTTTTAATTACTTGCTAAGTTGGCAATAGTTGAAAGTTGAATGACCCGATTTCTCTTTCCACACTCAACTTGATTGTGGTGGTAATTAGCACGATTTTCACAATATATTAAGATTTCGTATCAGCGAATTGCAAACGAAATGCATGCCAATTTTCCATTTAATTTACTCGGTTGGCAGTTGCCTTAATAATTGGGTTAATAGAGTGTAAAGCAGCGTTAGTCCGCAACCTACATTCGATTGGCTTTGCGGCATGCAGGGGGTTCAACAGAGATAGAGAGAGAGAGAGAGAGAGAGAGAGTGTGCGAGATGTCTTGTGTACAAGTCCTGTGGCTAATCCTCGCTCGGAGAAGTCATTAAAATTTAAAGCAGCTCGCAACAGCAGCTGATGTTGCCGTTGTTGTTGTCTGTTGTCTGACTAAATGTTTAATTGTTTGACTGAACTCTCATTCTTGCTTATCAACGTTGGCTGACCTTTTGAGTGTGTTTGCGCGTGTGTGTGGACTGAATGAAATGACTGAGAATTATAAACATGTGCGTGGCTAAGCAGATGGATGAGATAGGTATTTAAGGAAATGAGCAGGCTTGGTGGATTTTTAACAGCCACCCACTATACAATTATGAAAGCAGCAAGTGCAAAGCAAAGCAAAAACCCACACACGCACACCCAACAGCCACCCAAACCACAAGTGCTATTTAACGCCCACTTCATAAACATAATTAAAAAATTCAGCGACCCACACACTTAAGGACCAAACAGCGCTCTGTTAACCCATTTACAGATCGACTGTCTGTTAACAGAACGTTAACATTGCGCCTGCGCAAGCTTTGTAAATTGCAATCTCTTGCTGGGGATATTTTACTCACGCACACATACACGCTCTGAGAGAAGTGGAGAGCAACTCTCGCTCTCACACATTGTGCACGAGGACAATGCTGTCATCTTGGTCGCACATTCAATTTTGCTGTGCATACTTTTGCAGTTGAAGCGAAGCCAGTGAACGATATTGTTGCTGTTGTTGCTTTTGCACACACATACACACACGCACACAGCCACAAGCAGCGGCAGAGGCAGTGGCAGAGCAAGAGCTCTGTGCATAACAGCAACTAGTGGCCGTAATGAGACCTTGCTGCTGTTGCGCTTCGCATTTGACTGCGCTGCGCTGTGCTGCATACACGTCTAATTAAATCGCTATCAGCGAGGCATACACACACACACAGATATCTATATATATATATATATATATATATACACCAACATATTTGAATAGTGAAAAAAATCGAGTAAAAATAACTGCATCTTATGTTCAATTAGTTGTGCTGATTTTGTTGTGAAAACAATGATTTTAAGTGTAAAACAAAAATTGGTTGCATTTCGGATTTACTAACTGGACGTGGATTGCTCCAATATGAGGTAGGATGTATCATTTTGTTTTCTTTGTTGACATTTCACTTTGGTTACATGCAATAAACGAAATGTGAGCGCCATCAAACGCTGGCATTACCGCATGGGCGTAAAGTAAATGTCAAAGCCCACCTGCCGGATGCTGTCACATACGCCCCCACATGGGCGGGGCATCCATCCACGATGGCATCGGGATAAATCCAGTCATTGCTTTTAAATGTCAAGGGGGCACGACGGGGGGAAAAGGACATACTACAGCCAACGCCATCGCCAACGCCAACAGCGACAGCGACATCGACATCGACAGATGAATGAAAGAAGCTTGTGCCCACATAGTGTATTAAAACTCAATTCGTCCATATTCCCGATTTCCCATGACCAGCATAGTTGCTCAGCAAAGTGAATCAATTTGAATTTATGCGGCGTTTTTATTATTGGATTTACAAGCTTGAATTGCAGCGCTAAAAGCCACTAAATGACGGCAAATCTAATACAAAAATGCAATTTGTGGCATCTTGTGCTCTGTCCTGGCCTGTCAGTTATGGCGATGACTTGCCATTTTTACATTTAATCCCCACTTTTATTTTTGCTCTCTGTGGCAGTTGTAAACGTCTTGTGACAGTCTAGACAAATTGGCGCCTCTTCTTTACCCTGTACCCTGCTCTTACTATTAAGGGAGTGTACAACCTTTCATTTGGATATTCTAAAAATAGATAGGATATATAGACTTTTGGACTTTGAACAAAGCCTAATTTAAGTAATAAAAAATGTCTGTACATAAAATTCATGAAGACTTTAAGAATCCATTATAATCTTTTGACTTTATAGCCAAGCTGAATTAAATTCATAAATTGTAAAAAAATAAGTGTTTAAATATAAAATTCATAAAGTCTTTAAGAATGCATTATAAAATGAAAACAAAGTTTAAATATGAATTTTACGGGTATATTTAAACTCTTTAAAGGGCTTTTAGCCGCTTACATTATAGTTTATTAAGAACAAAATTAAACTGGAATTACAAATGACAAACCCTTGTACATAAAAAGAACCAACCTTCCCTCTTAAAAGTATATATTTTGAATAATACGGTGAGTTACCCTTGACGACAAAATAAAGTTATATTTTTTCTGAGTGTACTTGTTTCTCATATCAGATGTGTTTTTTTAACACTGCCACGCGATTCACATGTTGTATGAGTAATACAGTTTACTGTACAAAGTGTGAGTGTGCATCTGCGTGTGTATGTGTTAGTGTTTGCAATGGCAGACTGTGAAATCAAAGGGTTCGAGTGCAGTGAAAGTTTTTGTCGCTCGAAAGGGAGAACGTTTAACATTACATGCTGAAGCATACGGCTACATGGCGTATATATCTTGAAAATATATATGTATATATATATATATATATATATATCTGTATATATTGGAAGTAAAAGTGCGAGCTATTTAAATACATTATTAAATGCCAGCCACGACCATTTTCGTTAGAATTCTTGAATGAACGTGACTTAAAGGCTGAGGGCGGCCTCGAAAGGCGGTCACAACTGCAATTAACCCATAGTTCAAAGTTCAAAGCGCACACACGTTTGCCAAGTTGGAAGTGGGCCCCCAAACCATTTACAGCCAAGTGAAGTAGTTGACCCATTTTTATACTTCGTACGCATAAATATATAAAAAAGCCCAAAAGCGAGCCATAACTCTTTTTGGGCCGCCACCCTCGATGTGATTTATAGCTAAAGATGCGAGCCAGAGATTGAATGCAATATGCTTATTGTTGTTGTTGTTGCACATTGTCGTTGCAGTCGTCAGTGCAGTCGGGGCAGCCACAGCATGCCGTACGAGTCGATGCACCATCATCAGTCGGCGGCCGCTGCCGTGGCCGCCGGCGTAGCGCCAAATAGCATGCTGGATGCGCTCAGTTTGCAGCTGCGCGATGCGGAAATGCGACGCACCGAGATCGAGCGGGCGCATCAGGTGAGTCACTGGCACATAACATGAAGCAGCATTTGCAACCAACCACACCAACTTACCTTTGTTCCCAGGAAACTCTCGCCCAAATCCGCAATCTAAGTGGCAGCGCTCGTCCCGACACCGAGGCCGTTGAGAATCTGCAGTCACGTGCCCGTGAGCTGGAAAAGAAGGTGCGTATTCTGTGCGGTTTAGCTGTAAATGTTGTACACGAAACACTCAAACTCTGTTTTAGGTGGCGCTGGAGAACGTGCACTGCGAGGAGCTGCAAATTGAGCTGACCGCTGCGCTCAAGGCCAAGGCTCAACGGCCCACTCACCAGCATCCTTCGACATCGATCTCTGCCTCAACATCGACGGCATATGGCGCATCCGCAAATATTCCAACATCGGCCAGCAGCTCCACCGTCACTTGGGCACCGACAATCAGTCAACAGGACCAAGGCACCGAGATTGATATAATAATGGCCAAGATCGAGCAGGTAAGTGCGACACGCAGCTTGAATAAAACTCACTTATATCCTGTAGCTATTCAAATTGTGTACATGCTGATTACAAAAAGTTGTGTACATTTCTATATTCTGGTAGTAAAGGTACACGAGTATATTAGTTTTGGGTATTGGTTTTTGATATAATCGGTAATTGCAAATCGATAAAAACAATATTTGACTATAATCTTAATGCTACAGCCACCAAATTCGTTTAGTACCTTGTTGGCACTGTCCCTTTAAGATCGGCACCGGCCACGCCCACTCAATACAAGCATATGTCTCACTGCAGTCGGCTGCGCACAACTGTTAATCTTGATCTGGACGAAAATTAGCCATGTGCGTCAGTTAGTCTCTTAGAAATTATAAGAAAGAAGGATCTCATATGTCATCGAGTATATTTCAGAGCTCTCTGTATTTTTCGTCCTATTTTGAACACAAGCAGATAACTCAAATATTAAATGTGGATTCCAAACAAAACATTTTATTTTTTTTAAATTTGTTTTGTATAAATCTCTACTGACACAAAATTTGGTGTGCAGATTATTATACACTTTCGTTTTATTAGATTTTGATTCATCCACACCCCCTTTAGATGTGTAAATTTTGTTTCGTATCATTGTTTTGTAGTCGGTTATTGAAGACAAAGTGCTGACATTGTTTTGTTTACTCATGTTTTGTTGACTAGTGTTTCTTCTGCTGCACCCTGCTGGTTGATTGCCTTCAGCTCAATGAATCTTCTCCTCAGAGTCGGAGCCACTTAAGGTAGAATTGTCTGTTGACTGGAACTCAAGGGCGGATGAAAAGGAAGTCACGACACTGCCAAAGCTATCCACGCTCGAGTCAGAGTTCTCGATAATAGTGTCATCCAGGTCGGATTGTGTGCCGGATTCGGTGCATGGAGGCAAGGCCTGTTGGAAGTAGTCCTTTTCGCCAGAAGCACTGCTTATCTGCAGCTTGCGACGCATCTCCTTGTTCTCCTGGATCAGCTGTTGAATTGTACGTTGATTCTCTTTGCTGTTCTCCTCATCCAGGCTCATAAAGAATATCATGACTAGCGTCATCTCCTCGATGCGCTTCTCCAGGCTGTTGGCAACCTCTTGAAGCTTGGCAACATACTTATCCTTCAGATTGTGCGTATCGTACAGTATGTTCCCATTACAGTGGAACTTGTACTTGTCCATAATATGATCAACGCCTGCCTTGTACTCCTCCACGACTTGCTGTAGCTCGGCATTTTCCAGCAACTGATTGACCCGCTCCTCGTCATTGCAATGCCTCACCAGATTCTTCAGCAATTGATTATCATGAGCTCCGCGGCATTCAATTAATTTCTGCTCCACATTTTGACTTTCGGCCAAGAGACACGATGTCTTCTGGAGCAGCTCATTAAAGTCACCCGATAACTTTTGTGCCTTTATAATTAGGCTAGTCACGGAAATCGGAACGTTTGACATTTTGTTTTCGTTTTTCTTTATGGTTTCTGCACGTTCAATTTGATTTCTTTTTTAATAAGTTGTGCTCCGTTTTTGCTTTCGAAAACGGCACAAGCAATTGCTTACGGGCTTAGAGTAAATCACTTATAAATAAGATAAAACACCCAGCCTCCTATGTATGTAAATGGGAGAACTTATCGATAGAACTCAATTACTCACAAAATAATCAATTTGAGATGCCAATTAAATCCAGAGCAAAATATATGCATTCCCTATGGAAATAATTTGACTTTTTTCCTGCACTCAAAAAAGAAAAAGAAAATCGGCTGATATTTTAGAATTTCGCCATAATTTTACTGCCAGGAATAAATCACCTTCTTGTTCATATTTCTAATACACACGGTTTTTATTTTCTTAATTCCTGGGTAAGTTTTTCAAAAATTTTGAAAAGAAGATGTTTAATTTACAGAGTGTTATGCATTTCAGCAAGGATATTTGATATTTTCTTCAACTTTTTAGATACATTTTTGTAAAGTTTGAAAACATTTCTTGTGAATATTTATATATTTATATATACTGATTATGTTAACTGATTGTGATTGCAGGATAATCGCGTATTGGCCGAGCTGGAACAGCCGCGAACTTCTGCCAGCGCCAGCATGTCAGCCTTGCCACCCAGTTGCATGATGAACGCGGGAAATAGCGAATTTAGAACCATATCAAAGAGTGGTAAGCTGGCATTGAAATGGAATGCAAATTGCTGATTGGAGATGAGTGTGACTTGTGTGTTTTATTTGGCTTATTGCAGAACTCGAAGAAGAACTGAATCGATATAAACGAGCCGTATTGGGCGGCGCCTCGGGCGGCGGTATATCTGCTATGTCGTCCGGCTACTCGAGCCTGCCGCAATCGCTGGCCTCAACGATGGCGAATGGGGCCACAAATAGCTTGAGTGGCACCAGCGTTGGCTCGCAGAGCATGGCTGCCGCTGGCGCAGCCGGTGGCGGTCTTACATCCATATCGGCCCATATGGTGCCCAACTCAATCAGTGGCATATCCTCGAGTCTGAGCAGCCATGCCATACAATCACTGAACGCGTCTGCCTACGGGGCTGGTCAGAGCTCCGTTGAAAAGCTGCTGAGTGGAACTAGTGGAATATCTGGCATTCCACCATTGCCGGTAAATATTCACACGATGAAGGCTATGCCAACGGCATTAAGTCAGGTAAACCAATTATTTTCAATTGCAATGAACTACAAGCAACAAAAAAGCATCAAAAAAAAAAAATAATAACGATACAAACAAAAACTATAAATGCAATTCAATTAGTTACTAACAATCAATCAGTCGCTTTGAAGCCTGGCATACGAAATGGCTTTTGGCTCCCCTTTTTTGATGATCATCTAACTGCTTCAAGTAGCCTTCGTGTTTGTTCATTTGTTGATCATCAGTGCTAAACATCAAGAGCCTCTGCGATTGCCGTTCACCGTGTAATAAATCACATTTTGTGCTTCGTTGTAGTTTCATTATTGAAAATAATTACATAGCCACATATACATACATAGATCAACACACACAGACATTCACACATCGCAGACATACATATATCTATATATATAAAGACATTTATACATACATAAATACATACTAACGAATATACATACATATGTAGCATTAGCTATTGACTTTTTATGTAGTCCAAATTTTATTTTGTTTCTTTGGTAAAATATTTCTTGAGATGTTTATGAATTACATATAAATTGTAAGAGCTATTTATGAATGACATAAAACTCTTATAATATTTTATGCGAATTCTCTTTGCTCACTTATTATGATTACATTAATATGTAGCCTACTTTCTTGAGCAGATTTGTATTTATTTTGTATTTTGAGCTGCATGTTGCTCAGCACATTTCAGAAACTTATATTTCATGTATGTCATCCATTAAAAAAATAAATAAATCTGATTATTTGATAATTGTTTGACAATAGTTACAATGTTTAGAAAAGTATATCGAATAATGTATGATATTTGTATACTTTTCCCTACATTTTTTACTTGTTCCCCTAATACTAAGCTCCTCATTCAAATTGAAATTATTACTTAACTTTCAAAGACTCCTCATAGCTCAAGTTTTGTATGCACTAACTGCCATTTAGTATACATACACATGCATACATAAAGAACACTTACTTATCTAAACCATATATAAAAGTGTAAATTTCTACGCGTTCAGTTTCGATGTTTAACTACTAATCCATTGTTAATCCAATATTGTTCATATCAATTTGCTTGGAAACGGCTTCAGTTCACATAGCAACTAATATATACTCATATATACATATATATAAATTTACATATATATATATGTTTTACCAACTTTCGTCTTCGTCGTTATTCACAAACATATTCAAAAAAAAGATTTCAAATATGTTCTCATAGCTAATATAATGCTGTTTCTAGCTGGCTTCATATTATATATTGACCAATAAACGTATACTGTGTGATCTCTTTTCCCGTTTTATGTGCTCTCTCTTGTCTCTCTCTCTCTCTCTTTCTCTGTTCTCTGTTCTCTTTGTCTCTCTCTCTCTCTCTCTCTCTCTTTTGTACAATAACTCGTTCTTCGATTCGTTGTCTTCCCTGCCTCTGCTGAAATACATTTTGCGGTTTGCCTCGCAATCTAACCAAACCCTCAACAAAACCCATGTGTTTTTATGTCTGTGTGTGTCTATACAATAACTATCTATATGTGTGTATCTTTATAACGTCCACCATACTAATACCACACTAACCGAAAACAACCACAACAACAATAACAACCAAAACACAATGTAAAAATCAAAAACCAAAAAAAAAAAATCTTGTCAAAACGCACCTGAAATTGAAATTGAATTTGAAATTGAAAACAAGAAGCGCGGAACAATACAACTGTACAATTTACAGAGCACAACTATGCCCCTCCTGTCACTCAACTCGCATAATCTGCCGCCCGGCGGCTCTACGAGCTACTCGGCTCTGGGCCTGAGCGGCGGCAGCGGCGTTGTCGGCACCTCGTTGACCCATCCCACCATGAGCAACATCAACATGCTCGACACAAGCGCCCTGCTTGGCCTGGGACCAGTCGGTAGTGGCATAACCGGCGCCACTTCGCTATATGGCCTCAGTGCTGGTGCCGGCGGCGCTTTGGGCAGCTCCTATGGGCCACCATTTATGGATGCCGCCTCGAGCGCCTCGTATCCGTTCACATCGGCGGCGTTGCGCCAGGCGTCGAAGATGAAAATGCTGGACGAGATCGATATACCGCTGACGCGTTATGGTAATCGCAGCTCGCCGTGCTCACCCATTCCCATGCCGCACAGCAGCTGGGGCCTGGACGAGTTCACCGATGGCCTCAGCGCTTCCATTATGCACAATCGCAGTGGGCTGGCGCTGGGCGCCCTCGATCTCGACAGTGAGTATAATTGCTTATGCAATCCATACAATCCATAAATCTAGAGGCATCCTTCCTTTTAGCTCGAAACCACGCAATGAACGGCGCCAGTGAACCGCAAGTGGATATGTTGGACATACCGGGCAAGGGACGCTGCTGTGTCTTTATAGCCCGATTTCCCTACGATCCGCCAGAGTAAGTGTTATGTGCATCTTGTAGCTGTATTTCCTGAAATTTAGAAAGATTTTCTTGTTTTTTTTTTCGAAATATTTTGTGAATTTAAATTCTTAATATTAGAAAGGATTTTTTATTTGTTTGAAATAGATTTCTTAATAATAAAGAATACTTTTTAAAAAGTATAACTGCAAATCCTTAATAAAAAAAATTTAAGCTAAGAAGATTAGTTAAGATTGACTCATTATATCGTATAACTTTGGTAGGAAAAATGAGGTCTTTTTTAAAACTTATAATAAAATTAAGTTGTGGGTTCTGGGTAGACTGGGTAGACTGTTGTGACTCGAAATGAATAATACTTTCTTGTGCATAACAGAGAGGCCGAGGGCGAGCTATCGCTATGCGCCGGTGACTATTTGCTGGTGTGGACCAGCGGCGAACCGCAGGGTGGCTATCTGGATGCGGAACTACTGGATGGACGACGCGGCCTAGTGCCCGCCTCGTTTGTGCAGCGACTTGTGGGTGAGTTCGAACTATGCAAATGCAATACAATCGAATGTTGGTATAAACTTGACTTGATTTTGCGACGATTAGGCGACGATTTGCTGGAGTTCCATCAGGCGGTGCTATCGACGCTACGCGACGCCGAAGATGGCTCCATGCAGTGCGACACAACGTCGCTGCCTTCCTTGCCGCCGCACAACCCATTGCTCACACACACGCACGAGGATCTGGCACGTTTGAGTGAGACGCACACCGATTTGGAGCACGACCAGGATGACATTAGCGATAATGGTAACTAACCAGCCAATTAACCACATCCATACATATTTAATACTTTTTGTTTGGTTTTTGTGGCCATTAAAAAATACGTCGCCTGCCATGGCAAATGTGAGCATACAAATTTTTCAATTAATTACATTTAATGTAGAGACGCACTGGTTTAGGCTAGATTTTTGATAAACATTAACTGCTGAGTGTTGGATGCGAATACTAATTGAATTATTTTCCCCATAGTTCCAGCTCCGAAGCACTTGACGCTGGAACGGCAGCTGAATAAGAGCGTGCTCATTGGCTGGTCACCACCGGAGCCGGTGGGCTACAATTTGATCGACAGCTATCACGTCTATGTCGATGGTGTGCTCAAGGTTACGGTGAAGGCCAACGAACGCACACGCGCTCTAATCGAGGGCGTTGACTCCACGCGGGTAGGTCAAACAACAACAACTAGTTTCCCAATTGTAATCTAAATAATGAGAAATTTCTTCTTTCCCATGTTTAGCCGCATCGCATTAGCGTGCGGAGCGTTACGCAAAACCGTCAGACGTCCAGGGACGCCGCCTGCACAATGATCATTGGGCGAGATACTTCGCATTTGGGCCCCTCGGCGGTGCGCGCCTCGCACATAACGTGTTCCTCGGCGGTTATCTCGTGGCTGCCGGCCAATTCCAACCACCAGCATGTGGTGTGTGTGAACAATGTGGAGGTGCGCACCGTCAAGCCGGGCATGTATAGGCACACAATAACGGGTCTAGCGCCCAGCACCCAATACCGGGTGACTGTGCGTGCCAAGCATTTGCGTGCCGTTGGCCAGCATACGCAACAGACACCGGGCAGACCTGGGCAGGAGGAGGCACCCGGTGCGTATGCCGATTTTCGCACACTGACCAAAGGTCTGCCCGATCCGCCGCAAGATATCCAACTTGAGGCTGGCCCTCAGGATGGTACCATTCTGGTGACATGGCAGCCGGTTAACAGACCCACGTCCACGGGGCCTGTAACCGGCTATGCTGTGTATGCCGATGGTAAAAAGGTGACGGACATCAATTCACCAACGGGCGATCACGCACTCATCGACATCGGCAAGCTGGGCGTCTTCAATCCCCGTGCCGTTACCATACGCACCAAATCTCGCGATTCACAGTCGGCGGACAGTGCGCCCATTTTGATACCAAGTAACTACCAATTCTGATCATAAGTCACAAAATCCTTAGTCGCATTTTCAAATTGATGCATTTTTTTAGACACCGTGCGCAACGCTGTCGCTCGCCGGGGACCAAATCAAATGGGCATGGGTCCGCAGCTGCCGCAGCATGGCATGTCCACGCAGCAGCAGCAGCAGATGGGCATGCCTGGGCAGCCGGGTCAGATGCAGTCGAATATGATGGGCGGCCAGCAGGATCACACGCAATATGATCCCAATCAGATGCAGCAGCAACAGCAGCAGCAGCAAGGATTACAACCCGGCCAGCAGACGGGGCAGACCCAGCCGGGTCATCAGGTTAGTGTGTGTGCAGAGCAGTTAAGTGCCAGTTCCTGAGTTCCAGAGATCAGTTGACGCTGCCACTCACTGTATATATATATACTTGCTTACTTACATACATATCAATAACGTTCTGTAAACTCGTTTTTTGTTTTTGTTTGTATCATTTCGATGCAATTGGTTGTGAATTTTCTAAATTTCAACTTCAACATCCATCCTTCACGAGATTGTACATCTGGTTCCCCAAATGTGGATGCCAAATCGAACTCTTTCATAAAACTATCCATTAACAACTCCAATCCGAATGCTAAAGCCCCACAAAATTTATTATAATTTTTAAATACACATACACGTATACTATCTGCACCATTAACAAAAATGGAATGGAAAATCAAAAAAGAACAACAAAAAGAAAAACCAACACACAACATATAAATATTAACCCATTTGTGTTCAGTTCAGTTTTTGTTTACTCGAAAGTTATATGACATATGATTTTCGGTTGAATTCTACATCAACTTGATTCAGAGTTCATAATGAATATTTTCAAAAGGAAAAGTATTCAATCAGCTACTTTCTATATCTATCTTTGTCGCTCTATTCAAGATATATTTTGAATTGCCTCTCTTCTACTACTTACTTACTCTTCTTCTAAAGCCCTTTACCTATTTTCTATGGATTCTTTTGCAAAGTATAACCACATTATATACATACACTCTATATAAAAATTTAGACAATCGCACAAAAATTCACACACAAAATTTGTAAAAATTATATATGAAATGAACTGTTTGCCAAGAACTGTGAGAAAGTAATAACCACGATTACAATTATAAGAACCAAAGCAATTGAATTGAGACCTATAATTAAATCCCCCCACCAAAAAACAAAAAAAAAAAAAAGAAAAGAAAGAAAAACCAAAGAATTTGTATGTATGTAAAGTTATTATTTACTTAGTTGATATTTTATATATTTTTTGTGTTCCTGTGAAGAGAGTATGCCAATTTTTTGCTAGTGTTTGTTTGTTTGTTTGTATTTTGTTTTTGGGTTCATGATGATTTTTAAGTACAGTTCACAATAGCATGTTCCAAATTGCTGCCAAAATGCAATATCAATTTATCAACTTCATTGAGTTACTGAGATTAAAATAGAACATTTTACGTACTTAACAATAAGTATTGATTGAGTGGAATTGCCAACAATTGTATTAAGGAAAAAAAAAACGCAATGCAACGAAACAATTTTAAACAATACAAGTTACATATTCATTTTCATTATATGAAACCAATACTGAAACGATACCGTTAAACCCGTTACCGTACCGTACCGTAACGTACCGAAAACAGCCCGACGGAAGCTCCGGCTTGTTAGGTGGCCTGCTCGGTGGCCTCTTCTCGAAACCCACACAGACTCAAGTGAACCAGAATGTAAGTTATACCCACAACATCTCTCACCATACTCATTCTTATTATTCAAACACATACACAAACACACACACACACACACACTCACACATACATACACACACACACACACACACTGTTACATAAAGAGCTAATATATAAGTTCAACTGTACCACATTTCCCTAGAGTAATACTCGTTTTAAGAGTTCGCTGCATTTTTAGTAATATTTATGTCAAATTTCAATATCTTACTTATCGTATGTATATTTAAATACAATGTAGAAATACGCTTTTTCTTAAGCTTCATAATAATACGAATACAATGCTAAGTGCGAATACTTATTGAGTTATATATATATTTTTCATTTGAATATTTATTAAACTCATATTTTTCAATTATTTCATTTAGCAATTATGATATCTCAACGAACTTTTTTATTATTTCTATAAATGTTTGCCCAGCCATTAGCCTCTAGGGAAGTTTTAAGAGCTATTGCATGGCTATGCAAGGGGTAAATTTTATACCAATAAGTATGTAATTACCTTCATTTTTGCCAAAATTGAATATGAGTTCAGTGTTTTAAATTTGAATCAAATATGACTAAGTATTGTATAAATTATCTAACTGAGGGAAATTCAAGTAGGAATGCTATTTATTAATCTTGCATATGAATGGTCAATAATACGGCGTCTCCCAAACCCAAGTAAAGTAAAAAACTATCTAAAAAAAGATGATGTGGCTTCTACTAGATAATAACATAAAAAATAAACTATTTAATTATGTATATGTAAGTATTCGTTTGGTACTAGTATCCAGTAGGTTTGACTAATCGCAGTTCATTTTAGAGACATTTGTATAAGTACAACAATGACACATATTTATTAAACAAACAGAATACAACATAACATCTGCATACATATGTAGATACTTATACTCAAACTCGTGCTTTCTTATTTCCAAAACAACATTTAACATTTAACATTTAACAAACTTAGCTTCGTATTTGCCTCTGACCTACTATCAGCCATGGACTTATGATTTCCCTGTTGTTTGTATTTAGCTCCTATTTAATGTGCCTTAACACAGACACACACATATACACATACACATATATATATATACATACACACACGCATACCAGTATATACATAGTATATATATACATATATATATATAGATAACCTCTTTAGTTGTGTCGAGCTTGAACGCTATACGCAGACGCCCGCACATTGCTAAAGAAAATGCCTCTCTTAGACAATGTGAATGAAAAACAGAGTACTAATTAAGAACAATCTTTGCGACAATCTAAAAGAAGAAACGCTAACAAAATTTCAAATTCATTTAAATTAATTCAAAATCATGCGCGTGCAATCTTCGTTCAACAATTTATCGACAACCAGGGCTATCAGCCGGGCGCCACGCAGCGCGGCATGGTGCCAGGACGACCCCAGGGACCACAACAGCTGCAGCAGCAACAGCCGTTCGGGGCTCAGAACCCAATGGGCGGACCTCGTTTTCGAGGACCGGTGCCGGGACAGACTGCCATGCAGAACCAGATGACTGGTCAAATGCAGGGTCAGATGCCAGGACAAATGCCGGGTCAGATGCAGGGACAGATGCAGGGTCAGATGCCCGGTCAAATGCCCGGTCAAATGCCAGGTCAAATGCCCGGGCAGATGCCTGGTCAAATGCCTGGCCAAATGACCGGGCAGATGCCTGGTCAAATGCCCGGTCAAATACAGGGTCAAATGATGGGTCAGGTGCCAGGCCCCATGGGCCCACGCGGCCCCCTCACCCAACAGCAACAGCAGCAACAGCAACAACAGCAACAAGGCCAAATGATGGCTGGCCAACAAACGGCTCAACAGCAGCAGCTAGCGCAGAAGAAGCCCCGCTACTTTGTGGCAATGTTCGACTACGATCCATCCACAATGAGTCCCAATCCGGATGGATGCGACGAAGAACTGCCATTCCAAGAGGGTGATACGATCAAGGTAAGCTCACTGTTATTTTGCCGATACACAGAACCACCAAAAACACTTTGCAGCCGCAGCAGTTGCTAACTAATTTAGGCGCCGGAACATGCAGTTCTTCTCTTCAACGGAGAAAATGGTAAAGATCATCAGCAATCTGTAATCAGCAATCAGCAATCAGCAATCCGTAATCAGCATCAGTTAATCTGGAAATCAGCGCTTGCTCAGAATTGGATGCAGAATTGGAACGATGCCAAAGAAATTGGCTGCGCTTGCCGCTAATTGAATGAACTTGAATCAGTGCATGTTTTTCCTTCGCCCGACCCTTGCCATCCATTCAGTTGAGATTGTTTCCTAAAACACTAAGTTACATAATAATAATCCCTATCAATACAATACAACTACAACAACTAACTCTATGTATCTAACATACTATACCTATTACCCACACTATGTAGACGTTGTTCTCTTATCTAATAGTTCCATAAATAACCGTTAAGTTAGCAATATGCACTCAACATATACACATTACCAACTAGCATTATGAATCTATCTCATGATCACACAGACTGATGGTTAATACTTACCACTCCCTCCCCATTTCATTGCCGCCTCGCGCGATACAGATCTATGGTGATAAGGACGCCGATGGCTTCTACTGGGGCGAGCTGCGTGGCCGTCGTGGCTATGTGCCGCACAACATGGTCAGCGAGGTGGAGGACACCACCGCCCAAATCACTGGCGGACAAATGCAAATGGGTGGCGCCATGCAGCCGACAAATGCGCCCGGTACCGCACAAGTAATGTCCGGCCAGACAGTTCCACAGCAGAGCATGCGCAATGTGAGCCGCGATCGTTGGGGCGACATCTATGCGAATATGCCGGTGAAGCGGATGATAGCCCTCTATGACTATGATCCTCAAGAATTGAGTCCGAATGTGGATGCCGAGGTGAGTAGCGCCGATAAATTTACAATCGAAGAGTTCACTGACAATAATTATGATAAAGCTCAAAGATATTAGATAATTATACGCCAAACCTATTAGAAATGGTTATGAACGGTATGAAAGTTGTATACAAAAGTATGTAACAGGCAGGAGGAAGTATATCCGACACCTAAAGTGTATACATACATATATTCTTGATCAGTGTCACATATCGAGGCGATCTTGCCATGTCCATAGTAGTTCTGTATAGGTTATACAGAGAGATGAAATTGATTTAATTATATCGGTAACTGCCACCGTTTCGGGAATATCGATACATATCGATTTCCGATACATAGAAAAGGCACACTTTTTAAATATTGTGCATTGACATATTAATGGTCAACTGCAAAAGTTTAAATTACACTTTTAAATTAGAATAATATATTTAAGAGTTGTGCTGAGGGTATCTCGTATATATCATATTTCCAAATGCCATAACAGCCATCAATGCCAAAACTGATTCGACTTTAAAAAACAAGATCGTTTTGTCCACTAGATCAATCCTAGAGTAACAGTTGAAAACATGAAATTAATGAATGGAGAAAAGAGAACTACACTGCACAAATTATTCTAAATTTCTATAATTAATTAATTATTCACAACTTTCGAATTACATTTACTTTCCTTTTGCGCATGTTTAGCAAGTGGAATTATGTTTTAAGACGGGTGAAATCATACTCGTTTATGGTGATATGGATGAAGATGGTTTCTACATGGGCGAACTGGATGGTGTTAGGGGCTTGGTGCCGTCAAACTTTCTGGCTGACGCGCCCGACCAATACAACAATCAAATGGGACCTGGCGGCGTCGCTGGGCGTGGCAGCTTAAGTCAGCGGGGCAGGGGCCAGGGGCCGGGCGCAAGGGGACCACCGCCGCCGCCTCGAGATAACATGATGCCCGGCGTGGCTGGGCAACGTGGTCCACAAGGCAAAAGTAAGTGAGCTTTGTGCAGATCAATTTGGTCAATTAATTTATGCATTTTTTTAGTTTGTGTTTTAATTAATTTCCATTGATTTGAATACAATTTTTACCAAATATGATACTAAAACTTATTCGAAAAGCAATTACAGGCTTACTATATTTTTATTTCAATTTTTATTTAAGTTACAAAAAAAAAAAATGAAAAAAAAAATCTCAAAGCAATTCTCTACAAAACATTATACACTTTATAAGATAATTAAATATGCAGGTTTTTCAGACTACACAAACAAGCAGGATGATATACATATATAGCAACTATTCTTATGTACCAAGTACAAGACTCTGTTGGTTTTATTTTACTCCTAATATCAATATATATATATATAAATATATATACATTTATCAATTTGGAATCAGCGAAAATGAAACACTTATGAACATTACGATCACTCCTCCAAAAATGAAACAAACAAATTTCGTGACGACACAGAAAATCTTTCACTCTTCTCTCTATCTGTCTAACTCTATCGCAAAATTTCAAAATATAACAAACAGTTACAGATGAACCTGTTTTCTGAACGCCGCTAATTTAAAATATATATATTATTTTTTGTTATGATTCCGCAAAACTTTTGTAAAATCTTATACCATTTCTTTATATATATTTCAACATTTTCTTTGTAAAATATTTAATTATTTCAGCACCAGTCAGTTTAATAATCCTATTATACTTGTTATTTGGTTTTTGTTTGTTTGGGTTCAAATCGAATTATGTAATCCTTCAAATACAATATATAGATAAATAGTTGTTGTTCTTGTTGTTGTATACACAGTCTTTGAATAATTTTCCTCTCTCTCTGTCTCTTTCTCTATTTTCTGTGTACAATATTTCCATTTTCATCATACTCCTAAAATTGGCTAATAAATAAAAATTAATTAATAAATTATATTCATATCCAAAACGAATGAATTGAATATTGATAAAGGGTTTTCAATTCGAAATACTCATGCTCATTAAATGTCAATTTATATATCATATGACTTTGGTTTACATTGATAAAACTGCGACTTTGTTTATTGTCTATATACACCATATTTTTAATTGAAAAATTGTAACTCCTTTCGTTTCTTGTCTTGCGTGACTTTCCATAGCCTTGCAAATTTCTAGATGGTCTCTCTTGCATGTAAATTAATCCAAGTAAACTTAAATGTATTTTAATTTGTTTGTTTTTTATTTGATGGTTACTTGTTAGATTTTTTGTTTACTTTATCAATTTATTTGCATAAAACAGAGACTAGTTTCTTGCACCTGATTGTCGAATGAACTGTAATTCCTTAGTTGCTCACCGATTAATTATAGAGTCAATCAATAACAATCTTATTAAATCGGATAACGCTAATATACAGCTCAACTTGTATATGTTCATAAATAAATCAATTTAATTCCGGGATGCTGTAAATATAACTCGGAATTTGGACTTAGCCCATAGGATGAAATTACAATGTATTCGAGTATAAGACATGGATCTCTCTCACTCTCTATCTCTCTCTCTCTCTCTCTCCCTAGATATGAGTATGTATGTATGCTCTTAAGAAATTATCTCTCAGTCATACAAATGTGTCTCGTAACCAAAATTTTGACTGACTCCTTTGAATCGAGTATTCTATTTGCCCTGTTTCTGGTTTCAGTTTCCCATGTATACGACCAGTTTTTGCGCTGCTTCTTCAAGAATACTTTGTGTTTTTTTTGTTTTGTTTATGAATTGATTAATCGTTATCTACTTTGAATGTTGCTCTTGTTTCTTTGCTATTTAGCCTATTTGGATATATTTTTTTATGTTCTTTAGAGATATAACAACAAAAACAACAACACCGCAGGGGCTATAAAAGCACATATCAAAATGAATTTCAAATAAATATGAGCAATCTTCTTGTAAATTATGTAAATTTCCCAAATGTAAAATACTAACGTTTTTAAAGTTTTTACTTATTATTACCATATATAAATATATACAAAATCATGAGTGCTATTTAAGTGGCCATGCAAAAAAAAAAACTATTGTCTATCTCCCATGTATAATCAATTTACTCGTAAAATCTAAGACGCTGCTCTGAGCAGATTTATAGGGACTTTTTCGTAAGACCAGACGCCAAGCGCAAAAGGTAATATTTATGCTACTTACATACATACATGATATTCATAACGTTTGATCAATATATATATATATATATCTATATACATAATGTACAATAACTTTAATCAAATTATGAAAACAACAAAAACAATTATGAATACGATTTTGACTCTTGCTAATATTCCTAGCGGTCCATTATTTTTGGCGCCTTTTTCTGCGTTTTGTATTGTGTTATCGAGAAATCGTTTTGCAAGCAACCAAATTTCAATTTCAATGCCCCGTAAATGATTTGAAAAGTGATTTGAATTGATTTGTAATTGGTTAAAACTTTCATTTGAAATTTCTGATTTCTATTTGTGATTTTACTTTCAACTGCGGTGAATTATGTATAACAAAAACCACGAAAACTCGTTCTCGGACCCACGCGCTAACTATTACTCAATAAGTAACAGAAATCCTTACCAGGCAGCAGCTGTAACTCAAAACTCTTGCGAAAATCTTTGAGACTACATTCAATTAGTTATCTTCTTTTTTTGTTTGTATTTCTTTATTCGAATATTTGGTTTGTTACATTTTACTTACTACTACAACTTCTTTCAAATAATTTTTTGTAATGGTCTGCTGTGGTAAATGTGAAGTCTTTATGTTATATTCGTTGCTATAGATGCTCGCCCTGCTTCCCCTACACTGTTAGACAACACGGGCCACCCTGCCCCCGATCACCAAACGCAGGTAAATACTCTTTCTCTTTTGGTTTCTTTTGTTTCAAATAAATACTAAAAGAAAAAAAAAAAAACAAATTCTCCTTTGTTTTGAAAATAAATGCTAAAACAAAAAAAAAAAAAATTAAAAAAAATAATTTACTTAAAGAAAAAGTTAAGAAACCGCAATAAACAAAATATTTAACCACACCTCATACGCTGCAAAAGCTACAAAAACTATTATTAATTATACTAATACTACTACTACTACAGCTAAGCTAACTTGCTATCTCTGTCGCTCATTTGATTTCGGTTCTCTTTCTCAAAACAAACAATTGTGATATATGAAATCATTCATCCAGTCACATAACCACTCACAATGGCATATTAAGTACTCACCTACAGTTCATACGATCAAACGAATACAATACAATACAATCTCGATAACAATAAACATAAACTGCAATGTTGATAAATGCTCACAATTGTCACATAATCATCGACATCAGTTTATACTATTTAAGAACTTCAGTTTCCACACACTGTTCATTATATTGTATTTGTCTATCCTGTCATTCATGAATTGATCGTTCATTATTTCGTTTCACGGCTCGTTTCGTACTATCTAACTCTGTCTATATATCTACTCATACATATGTAACTCCCTCTTCTTTTAAATACCTATGTATGTCTGTGCGTATAATCAATGCTCTTAAAATAACAAAAACCCATATTAAACGCTTACAGTACATGAAACAAAATTTTGCTTACTAAATAGAAGCGATATACATATGAAAACTATGTATGTATAGCTAGCAACATGTTTATAGAACCTCGCAAAGTTTACATATCAATGAACAGACCAACAGATTAAAGAACAACATTATAAATAAATCTACTTACTGTACATTTCTGCAAAAACAACAAAAAAAAAAACAACAATCAAATCAGCATCAATCAATCAATAAATCAAGCGATTCGTCCGTGTACATTTTCCTACATAAGTTTGATCGTTAAACAAATACTTAGTACATAATTAACCGCACTTAGTGTAATATGTATGTATGTATATACAATCTACAATCGTGCTACTTAATAAATGTGTGTATAGTCTGTAAATTGCATTTGAATTGCAGCAATAGCAAATACATAGCTTCAGATTGTCTTGAAACAGACATCATACATATATATATATATATATATATATAAATACAGTATCCAACGGCACCAAATCATTCATATTAACTTACTTTTTTCTATGTTATTCAATTTATTCAGTTATCGCAACATAATTTCTTGACACTTTATTTGCATATTGTTTTCATGTATTCTGTTTTTTTTTTTTATTTTTAATAATTAGTTCATTGAATTGCTTAATTCGTACTTTAAAATTTAAATACAGTATTCACAAACCTGATAGCAGTTCTGAGCTCTCGTCAACTGCTCTAAACAGATTATGCTGAGCATTATGAATATACTCAAAAATTAGCTGAAGTTTTATGCTTTAAAATTGCAAGTTTTAATTTTATGTTTGCGCTTTCTGATTTACTTTGAAATTATATACGAATCCAGTGCAGTTCTTAGGATAAATAAGGAGTTACACTTGAAGATAGTAAAAAAAACACTCAATTCAAACAACGAAATACACATTGCTGTTAAGATGTGATAACCCGTATACATAATACTACGTACTCGTACATACTATATCAAAAACATCTAATTACATTTTCGTTTCCTTATTGCGTATACGCTGCTAATTACATACGTATATATATATTAATTGCTACTATTACTATATGAAATATTGGATGTAATGTGTACAAATTTCTATGTGATTCACTGTATGTGTAAACAATTCGATTTTTATTTCAAATCAATTTGGTTTTTCCTTTTTGTTCCTTTGTTGGTTCTTTTGTATGCCTTTCTTTTGATCTTTTGCTTTACCCTCCATAGCCATAAATGATTTAACTGTTTCACTAAATTTCACAATCTTATTTCCTCGTTTTGCGTTAGGCTATTTTTCGTTTAACCAAAAAATAAAAATTAAAATACCAAAAAACAAGTACGAATCAAAAGTTTAAATCAATAACTTTCAAATACTCGTACTTAACGCTGATTGCATATCAACGTGTGTAAGATAAAATCAAGTATCTTCTTTGAAGAGTTGAGAACGAGGTTTTAAATGCATTAACTACACACATAAATATATACACAAATAGAATGGTCTACTCCATATATATATATATATATTTATTAAGGTAGTGTAAATACATAGACTTTGCAGTCAACATTTTTGAATAGTTTTTTTTTTGTTTTGTTTCCCCCCAACTGAATACTTAGAACGCGTTATTACATTATTTCTGTTGATTTTATCCAATACATATATACATATATGTTTCAGTTTCAGTTTCGTCTTTGATTTTTGATTACTGCAAGTGTATGCGAGTTTTTTTTGAGTGTAGTTTTAGGCATAATTTCTTGCGTTTACAATCAGTTAAGAAACGTTGCTAGTTCTACATAATTATCACGTTTCAATCCAATGATTTATCTATCACAAATGTTGACAAACTTGTACTGTCATTCGTTTTGATTGAATGAAGGAAATCCCAAAATCTCTGAAATGGACTACGCTCAAAGCTATAGTTGTCAAAATTGACTTTGTTTCGAATACTGTCAAATGGCGGTTCTAAGCAAAGTTCATTGAATTCGGCTCAAATGACTTGGAGCAAAATCCGATATTAGAGATTGTCCATTTCCTCTCGACACTTAAATCAGGTTTTGCAATATAGTTTAATATATATTGACATATAACTAACTATATACTAGTATTTACAATACATTTGCCTAGTAGTTGAACGTAGCTGCAATTACTTAATTACTTACTAACCAATCCAACCCCGTTATTCAAACTAACATACAAAATTGGTAGGCGCAGCAGCTACTACTAAATATATATCTAGTTTGATAACAAAATTCTAATACGATTACGCTAAATTCATGCCAATTTTGAAAGAACGTTCGAATACCAAACTATTACTATTACCATTACGAATATAATTCGACAAAAAAATGACCCATAAAATACAATTATTTAAATGATTAGTTGCCGTTTATTTGAAAAGTTTTTCGATCGACTGGAACCAACTCAACTAATTCGTTATATTTTGGTATATATTCGATAAACGCCAACTTTGCAGATGATCGGTCGCGTTGGTAATGTTGGCATGCAGCAGCAGCAGCAACTCCAGCAGCAACAGCAACCGTATGGTCAGCAACAGACGCAAATGGGACAACAACAACAACAACAGCAGCAGCAGCAACAACATCAGCAACAACAACAACAAATGGGCATGGGACAAACTGGAATGATGGGCATGGGCCAACAGCCGATGGGCCAACAGCAGATGGGCCAACAACAAATGGGTCAACAGCAGATGGGTCAACAGATGGGTCAGCCAATGGGCGGCATGGGACAAATGGGCATGGGTCAAATGGGTCAACAGCAGCAGCAACAGCAGGTGCCTGTGACGACGCAGGCGCCCACGGGCGGACTCTTCTCCGGCGCGACTAGCCTGCTTTCTGGTGCTACTTCGGCTGCCACCGGTGGTCTATTTGGTTCAAAGCAACCGCCCAAAACGGATCCAATGCAACCACCTGGCGGTGTGCAGCCAACGCAGCAACAAGCAAACGCCTTCGGTGCTCAGCAAATGCAGCAGCCCGGCATGCAGCAGCAGCAGCCGGGTATGCAACAGCAGGGCATGCAACAACCTGGCATGCAACAGCCGGGAATGCAACAGCCGGGCATGCAACAGCCGGGCATGCAACAACAACAAGTGCCACCCCAAGCTCAGCCGCCGCCACAGGGGCCGGGCGCCGGACTGCTCGGGGGCCTCAAGGGCATTGCAGCGGCGGCGCCCGGCGGCGATGTACTCTCGAAAGGCAAAGATCTCTTTGGCAAATTTGGGTTTGGCTTTGGCAAATAACCCTGGTCATTCCATAGGGTCCTGTTATATTATTCGTAGATTAGACCTATTATTATGATTATGATTATTGCTATTAATTATGATTACTAAGCTAATATATACGTATACACAATTATACAAAGATAAAGTTAAAAGCAAATGCGAAACCTAAAGAATAACAAAGGAAGAATCCAAGAATCCCCAGTTATCTGTGGGCCTATGTGAATGATGTTGTAATGTTGATATGATGAATGCAACTAATAGTACTAATGATAATATTTTTTATTAATACAATTGATAGAAATATTGATAATACTAAATGCTAAACACACTGACACAAAACCACAAACAACATCACTACAAACTGAAAGCAAACAAAAACAACAACCCCACATAAATTGTTGTAAAATTGATTTAATAAATTACATTTCCAGTTTAAGTAACTTGATAGCAAAAATAAAAACCATATATATAAATAAATCTAAATTGATGATAAACACAACTAACTAAATGTTAAAGAAATAGACAAATGAAGAGTGTAAAAAGTGAGATGCTGGATTGCAACTTCACACAGACAAACATAAACACAAACACAATACAGACACACGCATACACATACATATATACAAATATATATAAATATATATACATATATATATATATATATATATATATATATATATACATACATACAAGTAATAAGGCAAATGATAAAGGAGGGAGTAAAATACATATATTATATACATACATACATTATATTTACAATTATTTGTTAACGCACATTGTTAAATTTGCTACTGTTGCTGACCAGTTTATAAATAAATATGAGTAATAAAACAAAACCAAAACTAAAAGTGAAATCCAGAAACATACATATATTATATATATTTAAAATATATTAAACCCAAAAAAAAAAAAAACAAAATAAAAATTAGAAAAAAAAATACACATTTAAATTAAATTTATAAATCAAAACCTAAGTACATGAATGGAAAGTTGAGCAATATAAAACGCGACGGACAAACAAAACTATGCAAAAATACTTATACATTAAAAATGGTCGTATGACATACATATGATGCAAACATTCAATATATACGCATATACTAAATACATACATACATACATACATCAATACATACATACATTTGATGACTTCGCAAGCTTGTCAAATACCTTAATTCGACTTTCGCAACAGCCAAAACTACCACAGATACCGTAACAAATCAATTACTTAACCAAGAGTCTCCTTTCTCAACTAATTCGAACTTACGTGAAAAGCTTAAATTACATAGGAAAGGGCAAAGAAAATCGAACCGAATATAACAAAAAAAAATTATCAAAAATAATGTAGGAAAACAAAGAGTAATGAATTCAGTGAACATCTTACATGTATTGCATACAAAATTACAATAATCTAATGCATTCACAAGATATAAGCACAAGTATATGCGTACCATTTATAAGCAAGACATGAAGCATGCTGGCAAATTCTTTACACTGTTTTCTTTTTAACTACAAATCGAACCTTCCAACTATTTAGTATTGACTATCCATTAACAAAGATATACACAAACATACATACATGCATACATACATACTTACGACAAAATAAAAACAAAACAAAAAAACAATGCCAATTTCAATGGTTGCTTTACTTAAATATTTAAATGCCATATGCGTACTACTTTCTTTTCCGTAAATGCTTTTTCCTGTATACAAGATTGAAAGATGTTTCCTAATGTTTAATAATTGCTTTAGCAACAAACACATAAAAACCTTTAATCAAAAAAAAAAAACAACAAAAAACCAAAAAAAAAAAAACTACAAATTAATTGCGTGCATACAAACAAAATAAATAAATACAATGCGTACCTCTTGCTTTACGAAAACAGAAAGTATAAAAACAAATACAAAATATAAAAAGTGAAAAAAAAAACCAAACCTATAAAGTTATAAAATGTTTGTCAAGAGCGCATAGTATGGCATATTATACAGATACTATGCATAGGAAATGAGAGAATGAATTGTGAGCAACAAAATATTACTTTAATCAAATGACATTTTGCAGCACTGGAATCCTCCATAGACACAACTCACACACACACACACACATAAACATAACAAAACGACCATTAAAGAAAAAAGTACAGATATGAATGTTATGCGAAACTGAAATAATCGTAGATTCCAAACTCAACTGTAAATTGTAAACTGGCAAATAGTTGCAGATACATCTTAGATAATTACTTATGTATGTACATCAGCAGAAATAGTTAAAATATGATTCCAGTCGATTGACGACAAAGTGTGTTAAATACATGCATACATACGTACTCAAATCTATATAATTAATGAAACAATCGTTAACTTTTCCCACGTAAATAATTTATACCTTACAATCAAAAATCATTGTATTATTTAGCCACACACAGCGGAATAGTGCAAACCAAAAACTTAATTTACATTTACACAAATCACAATATACACAGAACAGGTAATGACTTGGATCTTCGGCATAGCCGAAGTGCTTATACCCTTGCCAAAAACAAAATCACATGTGTCCCATTCCAAATCAAGTCCGTAGTTTTGTTTGTAGGTCTGGACTAAATGCATTTATACATGTATATTATATGTATAGTCAAAAACGATGCTGCTTCATTGGGAGGCAGTCTAAGTAGGCAGGGGTATACATATGTCAGCCTCAAAACAAACAATACACTTTACTTAGAACGATTTACTGAAAGTACACAATTTATTTAAGACGGGACACACATACAAAACAGAACAAATAAAACCTGTTACACACAAATGAAGATAATAGCAATGAAAATGCAAAACTACGCAATACGAAATGATAAAAACAAAAACAAAAACAAAATTACAACAACAACCAACAAAACAAAAACCAACTAAATTGTTATACGGTATTATTATACTTTTTCTATAACTTATAATTTCCTTATTGAATACCAAAAAAAAAAACAAAGAAAATGAAAAAAATAATAATTAAATAACAATTTAAAAAGAGATAAACACGATTTTGTTATTTTATTATTGGGCACCAATTAATACTAGCCGTACTTAAACCTCTAGTGACCAAGGCGACCTTTAGACGGGTTTTTACGCTTACTCGCTTACAATATTTCTGTTTCACCTATTCTTTGAGATTCACAAACAAATAAATTTACTGACTGATGCTTAGTTTAGCTGTTACACTCATGCCAAGTTCATAGTTTGTGAAATGCATAAAAAAAAAATATTATTTTGCTCAAGGTGTAAGTTTCAAACATAAATACAAACAAATATTGTAAAATTATTCATAGTTGCAAGTAAATATTATTATCGTAAAAATGTAGAATGCAACAAAGGTTTGTAAGTCTTACAAGATAAGCGAACAAGTACACTTTGAATACTATTAATACAAAGACTTCGACCTAAACAATTTAGAGAGCACTTTCGATGATATTATTACACAGAGTTCGATGCATTCTGTGACCCATTTAAGAAAAACAATTCATTTGTTTAATTAGCTTAAATTGCTATCTTTATTATCGTTTACTGTTTCGCAACTGACGTACTTACTTAACTCTGTGTGTAGAATATTTAAACAGAATAGAATCAAGTAGTAAAATGCAATTAAGTGGGTATTTACAATTTGGCTGCTAACGGATAAACACTAAAAGGTTGACTTAATATATCTAAATTGCTATATAGCAGTCATATAAGCGCCAGCTTGTGATCTACACTCGCACGCGATCTAGCGGCGACGGAAGACAGACAACAGCCTACGGACGAGGGACGATAAGCGGGATATTTTAACAGGCAAATATCACTGACGTCAGGGCAATTAAAATTGCCGAACAACATGTTGTGACGTGAGTCAACATGGAAATCGAGAGATGTCTCGCAACCATGTCTTCCCCTCGCCCAACATGCGGAATTGGAACTAGTCGTTGTGGCTGGCTACTGTTTGGCATCCGGCGGCATCAGCTCCGGATACTCGCTGCAGAAGCGCACATTGCTGGCAACGGGCAGTATCTGCTGGTGCTTGAGACTCATGTGCTGGAGCACCAACACCACATTGTCATTGGCCAGCTCCTTGGCCACGGCTATCAGCATTTCCACAAACGTTGCATCGAACTGCATGAAGCGTCCACAATGTAGAACAATTGGAAAATCATTACGGTACAGCGTACAAGCCGCACGTATCTCCGAACGTAGTGCATCGGCGCCCGTATAATAAATATCCGACTGTGGCACAACGTGCACATAATAGTTTCCCTCGTGCTGCACGCCAAAAAAACAAGGAGCAACAAAACAAGATTTATAAATTAAAAGAATCAGAAGAACGCTGACACAAACACGCACCTGTTTGAGATAGACCTCAATTTTGGGATTGCCCAGACGCAGCAATATGCAAATCATGCTGACCACAATGCCAAAGAGCAGACCCATCTCAACGCCGGCGACCAGGCACATAATAAGACTGCCCGTCCAGCTGAAAAAGTCCTTTTTGTTCGTCTGCCACAGCTCCTTGATGGGTGTCAAGTCAATCTGTGCATAATATACATATTTTTTACGTATTATTTATGCAAATATTAAAATGCAAATATTTGTATAGAACAGTTTCATGGGATATTCGTCAATTGTAATCTCAAAACACAGATACAGATCGACTAGCAGACATCCTACAATTAATAAAACATTTTTACAACAAAATATATGTGTTGGTTTCCTATTTTTTTTTTGCTTTTTCAATCCAATCTTGACGAAATTTGTGATGTAGATACCTATACCTATGTTCATATACGATGAACCCATGCATGTTGTGCATGATATATCAAGCGAAATATAGATCTATATACGATATACAAACCAGAATCCAGAATATATATGTATATATCATGTCCGACATGCTTTCCTTTGAAGTCCCATTTCACACATTTGCATAATATTAATACACACACAAGCATTACTTATACTCTGGAAAATGATCAACTCAATTCGTGGAAATTTTAAATACCCCAGTCTGTGCATTATCTTTTACGTACCATAAAGACAACGGCAGCAATGAGTACAGCGGCCAGCGAAGCTCTGGGTATATATTGAAAGTAGGGAGTCAATATCGACAGGGCAGAGAGCACAATGAGTCCGGTGTAAATGCCAGCCATGGGCGTACGCACACCTGACGCCTGACTCACTGCAGATCGGGTGAAGGCGCCACAGGTGGGCATCGCACTGAAGAAGGAGCCGGCCAAATTGCACAGGCCAAGTGTCAGCATCTCCTGCGAGGCATCCAGTTTGCCATCCTTAACTGCAAATACATATAGCCAATATTGGGACCAGTTCAACTTGTATAATATTATGTATACGCACCGAAGGCCTTCGCAATGGCCACATTGGCCAACACGGCAACAATGGGCACCAGAATAACGCCGCTGCCAAGTTCGTGTAGAATATCGGTGAAGACATACGTGCGATTCTCGTACTCGAAGGCAAAGGGCGGCAACTGTATGGTGGGCATGGCCGAGGCGACTTTCGAGGAGAGAGCAAATGGCACCGCTTCCAATGATCGCCTGTGCACCCATATGTAGACCATGAGACCGCTGAAGAAGACAACCAGAGCATTGCGAGATATGCTGATGTACCAGAGCACCTTCTTCAGGCGTTGCGTCAGCGGCGTATCCTGCTTGAACTTCACTTGGGAGAGCATCTACAGCGGGTAGCAGAAAGATTGCAATGAGTTAAATAAGTAACAATCTTGTACTCGATATTTGTAAGTTAAACAAGAGCTGACAACTGTAACATTGTAACTTTAAAACTGTTCGCTAATCGTTGATCCCTCAAGAAGGTTATATATATCTAAAACTATGGGAGATAAGTAATTTTTACAACTTTTTTAATCAGCTAAGATTAAAATTTTAGTCTGTATTCGATAATAATATCTCTGAATATTCCTCATTTCTGTAGTAACACCGCATCAGAAAGGGCAACATGCTTATCTACGCCTATCTCGAGCACAACTCAAAGCTAATCTTTCCAATGTTCCTGTTGCAGTTATATTAAATAGTCATCTTATACAGTTGCACATATGTGTGTTGAAAGTTACATTAAGATTGAATTAAAGCTGAGGGGCTTTTGTAAATATAAACAAACAAAAAATACGGACAGCATGGACAATACGGACAGGGTTTTATCGACTTGCGCTTGTGATATTGAAGATGTAACCTTCCATGTGTTACTTATATGTTTATAATACAATAATACTAATAAAAAAGAAACTAATGAAGTGAATAAAAACTGAAACAGTGTGTAAAATTTAGAACCACTCTTTGTTTTAGTAGACTTACCCGCAGTGCAAGCAGCAGGCAAATGCAGATAATGCCCAATGCGGCATCTGTGGGGTTAATATGGCTGAAATAGGCGCTAATCGAAGGGATGTTCTTCAGTCGTATGCCGAGCAGACTCTTCAATTGTGCCAGCACTACAATCATCGCTGTGCCGGATGTAAATGCTTTTGTGACGGGCGCTGGTATAAAGCTGACTATGAAGCCCAATTGAAAGATGCCCATGAGCAGCTCCACGAAGCCGGCGAGAAAGGCCAGCACGATGACCATTTGAACTGGCTTGTCCGCACAAAACTGCAGAGTCATAATTGCCATTAGGCTCGTCGGACCAATCGACACCTGCGGTATGGTGCCGAAAAACACATATATGATGGACCCAATAAACGCTGAGTACAGTCCGTACTCCGAGGAGAGACCAGCAAGTGCGGCATACGCAATACTCTGTGGAATGATGGTCAGGCCCAAAGTGATGCCAGCGATGAGATCGGCGAGGGCCTGCGGTCGATCATAGTTGCCTATCCAGGTGAGTATATAGATGCGACGCAGCAGCCAATGTGCCTCCTTGGGTGCACTGTACTTGCCCTGCATGTCCATGTCCAGCGTGTGCGTCTGCTCGTAGCAATCATCGCCATTCTTTACCGTGTACTTCACATTCCCATCGCAGTTGGCTGCAAAGAAGATGACGTAAGGAGATCGTTAGAGAGTGCTGCTATTGGAGGTGATTCCCCATATCCTACGATCATAAATGGTCGTCACTGCTGATTGCGGGCGACTGCTGGCCGAGCCATTTCTGCTTTTGGCAATGCCAAACGTGCGCTTCCACGGCCAACGCATTTCGTACTAATTTTTCGGTTTTGCAAATGGGCAAACTGTAATCGCTTTAAGCTTTTAGTTCTGTCTGCTTTCGTTTTTAGCGAGCAAGCCACACGGCTTGTTCGGCAGCTCAACAAACCGAAGCCGAGATCGAGATCGAGTCGATGTTTTTGTTTTTATACCCTAAGCCTAAAGTAGGGTATTATGAAATTGTGAACAACTATGAAACAGGCAAAATAAGTCATCTCTAATCCCTTAAAGTCTATACATTCTTGATCATCACCATCATCTGTCTAGACGAACAAAAGGATATCAGAGACTATAATAGTTTTAGAAAATTAATATTTTGAATGTAATTTCTTGTTCAACACACGTATGTCAAGATACTTTTAATTTATCAATAACTCCCCCTCTTACACATGCATGTATCAATCAAACCTATACAAAATAGGAGCACTTCCCCAACTGCTTATATTTCTGTGTGCAAAGCAATAAGACAATAATAATGTATTTTGCAACTGGATTTAGGGCATCTCGTAGTCGAGCTCCCTCTACTACAGCATTCCCATTTGTTTTGTTTTCTAAATTCTGTGAAATCGTAATTGATTCTACACACTACAATCATGTATGGCACTTGTGGCGTACTGCGAATATTTTCTAATAATAGAAAATAACAGAGTTTCTTTAGCACACTTTGAAGTGTGAGCTACGTAGATTGTTGGAGTGCTAACAGATGTATAGGAACCAATCAGAGTACCATTTAAAAACCTGTTTTTTACGGCTGCCCAGTTCATTTTATGCATATTAAAATGCTCATTTGACTTGACTTCCGAGTAGATAGCCGGCTAATTTGATTTAGTTTATTTGCATTTGAAAGTTACATAAATTCAACATTATCTAAAAAGGGACAATTTGATTAGTGTAACTGTGATGTGCACATTTATTTTCACTTTCTTTGAACAATGTCTCATCGTCGTGAATCCCAAAGTCAACCAGAATGAACAAATCTTTGGAAATGTACTCAATATTTAAATTATAGATTAACACATTTTTCCTAAGTGCTGATGCTGATGCAAATAAGATGCTAATTCAAATGCGATGACTCATCTGGTTTAATATCAATAATTATTAGGTAAAATTTCCACCTCATGTGTGAATATGTACATGAATGGCAAACGCCTGCTTTATATATTTTTTAATAATTGTCGACCTTTAATTATGTCAATTAAATCTAATTTATTATTTCCGTTATTATTTTTTCGCATTTGTTTAGCTCAAAGCATGATTAGACTGGTATTCGGTTTTCACACAAATTTATTGTGTTTTTTTTACTTGTTATGAAACTTTGCCTATAATTAGTTTAATTTTTCACATATAAATTTCTATACAATTTGAAATTTTCCACATTTGCTTGTACATAAAATAATAGATTCACAATTATTTTTTTTTTAAATAATCATTAAAAAAAGATTCAGTTTTTACGGAAGTTTCGGCACATTCCTTTCAAAATTCAATCAAAATATTTCTATAAGCACAAAATGAATCAATTTTACACTCAGAAAAAGCCCTAAAGTGAAAAATCTCCTGAAAATGCAAAAATGTTCTAGTTTTTAGAATTAGAAAGGATTTTACGTTTTATTTTAATGTATAATTATGGAAAAATGTTCTACAAATTAGAAGTGCTAACCGTTGTTTTAAATAAAAATCCTTTCTGAAATTTTAACCCAAGAGTTCGTGTAAACGATATGTAAATTTCAACACCCTGAAAATTAAACATATTTTTAAAATAAATGCGCCCTGGGATTAAGGCCGGATTTTAGAAGGATACAACCTTCCGGTTTATAAATATACTTTCTGAAAGATAGAGTGAGCTACACATGGCACCATAACTATGGAAAACTTTTATTATTTGGGGCATTTCTTTCCGATTGTAAAAACAACCAATTAATTAATTATATATAATAATAATCATTATTGTAACATAAATCTAACTGCGTAATGAGAGTATAATAAATGTCGGCCTTTTGAAGATCGAATTTTATTCACTGTTTGCATCTCGAAAACACAAATTGTTGATTGTTATCATATTTTGTTATTTGACATAATTTTACTAGTGCTAGTCACTGACCACATTAATTTTGGCTTTTGTTGCGATATACAAACAAATTATAGTATAGTTAATCAGCAAGAATGAACAAATTTCTAAATAGCCAACCGACTTGTAATTTATTTTATTATTATTGTCACAAATTTCTAAAGCTCAGCTTTTCTATTGCATACTTTAAATAGCTAAAGCGAAATTATTATTAAAACCCTCAATTAACATAATGATTGCATATTTTATTGGATGGGGATTAATATTCAATCGAAATCCGCAAAATGATTATAAAATGTTGCCAGAGAACTGTTTAAAATAAACTACTCTAAATATTGCATAAAACGTAGAATAAAACTCTAAAACTTTGTTGAATTTGTATTGAAATGAACACACATTTTTAAAGGTGCACTTTTTTCAGAGTGAGTATTAAGCACGTACCATCGAAGGATAATTGTTTCGGAAATATATCGGAATTCGGAACAGGACCCATAATATCCGTTTACATAAAGCACTAGTGATAGATAATATTAAGCAAGGATTTCGGGTACTTTATAATTCAGCGACGCGTTCGTCCAAGTGCAATGCTCCGCAATCAAAAGAAAACTGCCGAATGAGTGAATTTTGGAACGATAAATAAGTGAGAACGGGCAGATTTTTCTGATAAACATCTAAAATGAAAAGAGTCAAGAAAGCGACGACATTATGCCTCTATAGCGGGAACAATGAGACACTTAATGCGCATTCGGCAGGCAGATGGGTAGTCAACCTTTCTGCTACAGATTGAGGTGGGACGCATACTGTATAAATATATGTATGAATGCGATGATCGCCTAGCAGAGAGGGTATAACTGGATATGTTACCAAGAAACCAATTACATTGATAACGGGCAATAGACGAGAGCGTATGCGCTAATCTTATATGTATATATATTTCTGCGCATATTTAAATGATAAGCGAGAGTTATCAAAAAAAGAGGCAGCGTCTCGCCGATCGCCTGTGGATGCCAAGTAATTTTCCGTCTGTGGCCATCAAGTGATCGGTCAGACATCCCAAAATGATAATCGAAAAATGCCAGATCAATATTTGGTTTAAAAATTAAGATTAATAGACACATAACTCTGATAACTACATAAGTACATTTAATAATCTAGGCACAATAGAGTGCTAATCAATGAGAATGCCACGCGATGTCTGGTTCAGTCTTAACATTCGGCTATCCAACTATGCAGCATTTTCAAAGTTGTACTTATATATCACCTTATTAACCTTGTAACGTGCCTGCGAGCAGATAAACTCTTAATGTGGTGTAACCATTTATCTAATCTTTATTAAAGTAAATACGTACTTATATTTTCTAGCCTCCATCCGCATGGAAATCTTCAATGAATTTATTTCTCTATAACTAGAACTTGTATGTACATAAATGGTACACAAAGTTAACATTTCAATGTCTTTTGGTGTCTGAGCTTTTTGTGTGATGGACAATTGGTCTCCTTTCAGGGCTTATCAGCAAAAAGTAAATATCACACGCTGCTGTATTTCGCAAAACTAAATCTATTTTCGTCCCAGTAGCAAAGATAAGAAATACTTTAGAATGTGAATGAATAAGTATTTAAGTTCTTAACTACTTCTACTAGCACTATCCTAAGATGATTAAAATTCTCCTCTTACCTACTACTGTCAGCAATTCAAAATGCGCGCCAAATTTCAGTGCTGTGAGCAGTTCGGACAAGTGTTGTATAACGTGCTGCTCGTACGCGATAGCATGTTTATAAATTATATCGCTAAAAATGGTATGTATCGATAGTTTATTAAAATCCTCTTGAAATTTGTAGGGCTGTACAACGTTTATCGATATATGGTCATAATAGTTGAATTAAATATGCAGTTCACCTAACTTTTGTGCAACCTTGTTCGTTTATCGCAGCGAATAAAAATATAATTAGGAACAGAAATATATTTATCTGACGTTAAACGACTTAAGCGCCGTCGCTATTGCTCGTTTTTTTGCCTACAAAAAAAAGCCAGCCAGTGAGAAGCGCAAAAATAGGAGGCGAGGCAATCATTGAATGAAAGCAAAAATTCGCAAAATTCGAGTAGCGAGTGCGAGTGAAAAAGAGCAAAGGCAGCAGCAGCACCAGAAGAAGAAGAAGAAGCAGGAGGAGGAGGTAAAGCAGAGGCAAAGCAGAAAACGACCAGCCACAAAGCACGAAAGGCTAACCCCCAAACAAAAAGAAGTGCGTGAATATTTAGAAAAATTAACGCCAGACCGCCATTAGTGTTTTTGTTATCGTCGTCGTCGTTGTCAACGTCTTGTCTTGTTTTGTTGTTGCATATATAAACGGTGTTGAATGCTGGCCCCGGAAAAGGCGACGAAGAAGATCGGGCGACAACTACTCCATTAAGCGAGCATATTGTCGACATCGTTCCGTCTCTCCACCCGCCCCCCGTCCGTCTCCCCCCTCGTATCTGCGTTTCCATTGTGCATCGTGACGTCGCCAAGCGAAATTCAGATTCAGCCACCCAGCCAAAAGCAAAGCCAGTGCGAGAGAAGACGAGATAAAAAGCAAATGAGCCAATAGAGACAGAAACAGCAACACAAAGCAGAAGTATTCAAACAAAAATAAAATTAAATATAAAAAAAAGAAAGAAAAACAGAAAAACTAGACGAAACCGAAGATACGCATATAAATAAAATTGAAATCAGAAATAAGTCCAACTGAAAAAAAAAACAAAGTTCCGTGCGTTCGTCGACTTTTGGTTTTGTGCTCTGGCAATTGGCAATTGGCTTGCCCATCTTCTTCTATTATGAACAACAATAGCAAGCGGAAAAGTCGACCTACTGGCGGAGGTGGCGGCGCTGCCAGCGGCGGCATCTCAAGGTAAGAAGAAGCAGCAGCAGTTTGCTTGCTGTGCTGCTGCAGTTTAAAAAGTACGAAGCGAATGCAAAAGCAAACGCACCAAGAAAAACACGGGTAAATTGTTCGCTGTATAAAATAAAATACTACAAATACAAAGTAAAACGCTCCAGGTTCCGCTGCTGTGAAAGGTGAAAGCGCGGCATATCGGTTTATTATTATCATTATTATTTTATATAGTTTTCTTTAATATTCTTGAGTGATTTTAGTGCAATGGAATTTGTTGAATTGTAATTGTGGAAACTGAATCAGAAGAAAAAAGAAAGGGGCGCAAGCAATCAGGGCAAATTGCAATTACTTATATAATACGCCAGTCGCTTTGTGCAGCTGTGTGTGTGTGTGTGCTGACAATGCATGTGCGTGTGTGTGTGTGTTTGTGTGAGTGTATGCATGGTGTCGTTTGCTCATATTTTGAGCTTTGTTTACATTTCCCTTTCACAAGCCAACCCCAATGCAAACAGAAACAGAAACAAAACGACATATAAAATATGTAGAAAAAGCACAATGAATAATTTGTTTAAAGGCAACACAAATGATGCCCAGCGAAGCACCCCCACACGAGGAACATGTGTGTGAGTGTGTGCAGTTGTGTGTGTGTGAGCCCCTCCAGCCCTTTTAAATTTTCAATTGAAATATGACTGCAATGCTGCAATACATTCAAATACATTTTTCATATGTGTACACGTAAATTTGTGTGTATGTGTGTAAATAGAAGTGCGCACAGTGGAACCACCGGGCGACATTCAAATTGATTTTTAGCTAGTTGCGACCCACGGTTGACGCGCACGTATCTCATATTCTTTTCTTTTCGTTTTTTTTTTTGCACTTTTTGTGCTTGGGCTCTTTTTTTGTCGTATGCAATTTTTCTTTTGCATTGTCAGCAGTTTTGCAGTGTGCTGCCATTATTTGCGTCGCTGCTGGCGTCGCTGCTTGCGTCGCTGCTTCGACATGTGCCTTGGCACACTTCGCCTCCCGCCGGCCGCACAAAATTTGGGTCACTTTACAATTTGCTGACCGAACCAACATTTAGTATCGCATCGCATCGCATCGTATCGCATCGCTCTTGTTTTTCCCCATACGCCTCCTTGCCTCGTTCTTATTTTATTTGTTCGGCATTCGGCCTATGCACATTTAAGCCTCGTATGTAAATACACACACACACACACACAAATGTAAAAATATGTAACCGATATATAATAGCTCGACTCTATAATGCAATGGCTGATTCTTGATTCCCGGGCCACCTTATCAATGAGTGTCTATCGGATGGCGGTAATACGCATGATTCACTTTAAAATTAATGCAATTTTATTTTGTATTCATTGACGAAATGTGCGCAGTATCCACACGCTATGAATCACCACCAATGTGCCCCAATCCCCACCTATTTCTTTAGCCGCACATGTCCAGCTCCATGCCAGCCAGGGACAATGTTCTTGATATTTATATTATTTTTATTATTGTTGTTGTTGATTTCGTTGTTATGTGCGTGTCTGAGTTCATTGTGCGTTGCAAGTTGCCCGTTGCGAGTAGCGAGTTGGCCATTTCACGGTCGTCGATCCTGCACGCTATTAAAAACAACCCCAAAAGGCGTTCGCCCAGAAACTGAACTAGTTCGAAAAGTATTTCAAAAATACACACATTTATCTATTGTTTAGTTTTTCAAGTTACACTGGAGTTATTTTCGTAGTACGAAGCTCCATATTTTTGCCAGTTTAGATTGAACTCCCGATTCAATGATTATTTACTTGTTTAAATCATTTTGTTTTTCAGCTGTTCCACAGTTCGCTGATTCTCTTACATTTTTATTAAAATCATATCTTTCACATGGAAAACAAATAATTAAAAAAACAAACAACCGACTGCAATAAATATGGATGTATTTGAACTCATTTGAGGAACTTTATATACAATTATTTCCATTGCGAAAATCGCTTTTCAAAATTGCTTATCGGCAATTAAAAGTAGAATACTCGGCACACACACAGAAAACATACGCATGAATGAAAGCTTACAAGCGCCAGGTGTATATACAAACAAATGTTGTAGTTCATTAACAGGGAAGAGTTTTCAAAATTGAGTTCACTGGACTGAACCAAAGCACAGCTCAACTCAACACACACACACTCAAACATATTCGCATATGATATGAGCAGAGGCAGGGCGTGGTTTTTGGGGGTTAAAGGGGCTAACAACAATAGGAATGCCAAATCGATATTGTAACGCAGCACATCGCAGCAGCAGTGCAGGCGGCAGCGATGTCGACCCTGAGCAGCGTTCGTTCGGGTTCGATTGCTGCTTCGCTCGTTTTGTGGGTGTGTGCGTGTGTGTGTATGTGTGTGGGCCTGTGTGTGCATGTGTGTGTGCTTTTGTCTGTCTGCGCTGATTCACATTACGCTCGCAGTCGGAGTTGTGCTGCCAATTGTTTTTTTTTTTTTTGGGATCTAGCAAATGCAATACTAATTGAGTCTCTCCTCTTCTTTAGATACAACGCCAATAACGACAACAACAGTCTACGGCCAGCAAATAACAAGACGGGCTCCGGTGCAGGTGGTGGTGGCAGCGGCAGCGGCGGCGCTGGAGGTGGCGGAGCAGGCGGAATTGGCCGTTCGCTGGCGCAAGGCGTCTATAATAACACTTTCTTCATGCACTCGGCAACGGCACTGGTCGGCAGCGTGGTGCAGGTGCGCCTGCGTTCGGGTAACGTTTATGAGGGCGTTTTCCGCACATTCTCGGGCAATTTCGACATCGCACTGGAGCTGCCGGCATGCATTAAGGCCAAAAATCAGCCCGACGAGGTCAAAACAGTGCCCAATCAAATCATATTCCCGGCGGACACTGTGGTCAATGTAGTCGCAAAGAATTTTGATTCGCAATACGCGACCACAGGTGCTTTCCAGACCGACGGCGCCATATCTGATAAGTGCAATGGTAATGGAGTCATCTATATATATATATATATATCTATGTACTTAAATCTGTATACGTTAATCATGGATTGTCTATATACTTTGGATAGGCACGCGCTGCGATGAAAAAGAGCTGGAACCGTGGGATTCTGGCGCCAATGGGGACGTTGAAATAGAATTGGATGGCGCTGCCAACGGTTGGGATGCCAACGAGATGTTCCGCAAGAATGAGAATCAGTTTGGTGTCACCTCCACATTTGATGATTCGCTGTCATCGTATACGGTGGCCCTCGATAAGGGCGATTCGCTGGAGTTCAAGGAGGCCGAGGCTAAGGCTGAGAAATTGGCAGCTGAGATTGAGAACAATCCCACATGCCGCGAGCGCTTGGATCTTGAGAACGGTGATGAGGAGGCACTATTCGCAGCCGTTGAGAGGCCGCCGCCGCCGGATCACGAAATGGAACGTGAACGTGAGCGCAATGAGCGCGAAAGGGAACGCGAGCGAGAGCGTGAGGAGCGCGAACGTGAGCGGGAACGGGACCGAGATCGTGGCAACAAACCCCGTGGCAGCGGTGGTGGCGGCGGCGGGGGCTCCAGTGACTACCAGCTGCGTGAGACGATGAGCAGCGATCGTTACATCACCAAACAGACACGAAGCAATAATGGACCGCCTGCCTCGCATGCGGGCATGTCCTCGCAACAATCATCGACGGTGGCAGGGGCACGCGATCGTGACAATCGCGAGCCAGTGATGATGGGGCAGCATGGAATGGGTCCAGGCGGCGCCACACAGTCGCAGGCCCTGCTTCTGCTTGCTGGCACTTTAAAAAACACGGGTCAATCCGCCACATCCGTCAATGCATCCACAGATACGTCCGCTGGAAAGTATGGCGGCGGCGGTGGCGGTGGCTCAATGATGAAACCAAAGCCCGTGCCACAAGGCGGCAAAATAATGCGCGGCGGCGGCGGCAATCTGCCCAGCAATGTCGGCGGCAGCGGCAAAATTATGCGTGGCGGCAATCCGCCCAGCAATGTAGGCGCCGGCGGCGGCAACTCATCCAATGTGCCGCAGGGCAATAGCGCCAATAGCGTTGGCGGCAAGAGTGGTGGCTATCAGTCCTCGATGGGCATACAGAGTCAGTACTCCTCCTACCAGGGCAACTCACAGATCATTCACGGGTAAGCAAATACTTGCTCTAACTAGACGACAATTAATGAAAAGATGCTCAATAATTATAGCTTTTAACTGAACTTTATGATTTTCCAGTAATCACTGCAACAGCCCCGCTCAGTACCGTAATCAGGGTCATTTGGGTGGCGCATCCAAGCTGAACGGCGGCGATTCTGGCTCAAATCCGGGCAAGCCGCTGCCTCAGCGCCAAATGCGTCAATACCAGGGTTCTCAAAGCAACTCCTCGCTCAATTATGGCGGAGACACACAGCCGCTGGGCAAGCCCATGCATAGTGGCCACGTTCATGGTGGCCATAACAGTAACTCTCCGCCGCTGCAAACCGGCGGCAGCCAGCAGCAGCAGCAACAGCAGCAGCAACAACAACAGCAACAGCAGCAGCAGCAACAACAACAGCAGCAACATCAGAGCCAGCCGCAGCAGCAGCGTCAAGTGCGCTCACGAGACAATCAGGTAATGCAGGATCTGCGTCAGTTTAATCAGAACTTTGAGCTGGCGCCTAGCAACACCTCGCCGCCCCAGCAACAACAACAACAGCAGCAGCAGCAGCAACATTCACTGCAACGTGGCGGCTTGCAGCAATCGACATCGCCGCCGCAGCAACAACAACAACAGCAGCCGCAACTTGTGGCCATGCAGCAACATCATGTGCCGCCGCCACATCATCACCAGCAGCAGCTGCCACCACCGCAACACTATGTGCCTCAGCAGCAACAGCAGCAGCAGCCGCCGCCGCAACAACAGCAGCAACAACATGTGCCGCATATGCAACAAAAGGCGCCACCGCCGCAACAGCAACAGCAGCAGCAACAACTGGTTGTGGACAGTCAGCATCAGCTGGTGCCCAAGCAGCAACAGCAGCATCAGGGCCAGCCTCAGCCACCGCCCACACAGCAGCAGCAACAGTTGCCGGTGCAAGTGCAGGTGCAGCAGCAGCAGCAGTCGGTGCAACTGGTGCAGCAAGATGTGAATAGCCAGCAACCGCCACAGCCCATGTATCATGTGCTGGCAGCGCCGCCGGTTAGCGTACAGCAGCCGCAAACTTCGCCCGTGGTGATCAGCTCACCAGTTATACTGGAGCAGCAGGCGCCGCCGCCGTTGCAGGCCACACCCAAACCGGACGCATCGCCAGCGCCCACTATTGGTGTTGGGGTTAGCAACACCACGGCCACTGGCATTGCTAGCACACCCATAACCTCTGCAACTGGGGGCAATGGCAACGGATCCGATAAATCTACACCCGTGACGAGTGGCGTTCCCAGCGGCGTTGCGTCGACTGGCGCTGGCGGCAACAACAGTACCACAACTAGCGGCAGCACGCCTGTAGTGAAGAAGCATGTCCTGAATCCATCAGCCAAGCCTTTCACACCACGCGGTCCGAGCACACCGAATCCATCGCGTCCACATACGCCACAGACGCCGGTGCCCATGCAGGCCATTCACACCACAACTGGCGCCCATATACCGGCTGCAAATCAACAGATCTACATGATGCCGAGTACGCATGCATTCCTGGCACCCACACACCCAGGCGGCCAGGCGCCGCGCATGCGTCGCAATAACTATGGTAAGTACCCGGTACAAATATATATAGATATATATACATATATGCATCCATACATATTCATTGTATTCTAGGTCAAATGGGTAGCACGCAAATGCATGTGTCGGCCACAACAGCAACAGGGCAGCCGTTGATGGCAACGGCACCGATTCAACAATTCATACAGTACCAGCACACACCGCATCCACAACATTTCCAGCCACAGTATGGGCCGGTGCCGATGCGCATGTATCAGGATCAGCCGCCGCAATTACAGTTTTTGACACAGACAACGCCATCGACGACGCCATCGCCGGGACAGCCGCATCAGAGTTTCCATCCGCCACCACAGCCCTCCCCTGCCGGCGGGGGACCGCAACCCGCAGCATTCACAACCCAAGCACAGCCGCAGGCATACCAGCTGATGTGTGTACATCCACATATCATGCCCCAATACTTCCCGGCGTCAACGCCGCAGCATCCGCCACAGAATCCACCCTATCCAATTATAATGCAGCCGCATACCACGCAGTAGTCATCTGCGCATTCTAACCGGAAACATTCGCGGCTGCCGTCATAATGGAATCAACACCAGCGTCTAAATCTCATAGCAAACCCAACTTTCCCCCTCCTCCTCCTCCACAAGCATCCATCATGCACAACAACACCACACACAACACGCCACATTCAGATATATACACACATACACATACTCACACACGTCTATAGACACATCTATGCATTGTCGGCATACATAATCCACACTGATAATATTTTCTGGTGATTACCGCCTGGTTAGATTGAGCACCAAGTCGAGCGTTATTCTCCCTTGAAGTCATTCTTACTGTCATTGTCAGGTGCGAAAAGTTCATGCAGCAGCAACCATCATACTTATACATACATACATTGCAAGCGAAACACCAACACACATACATATACCACACACACACACACACAAAACAACAACTAGGAAATTATAAAATATTACTAAAACAGAAACAAAAAGAAAAAAAGATGGAAGGGAAACTAGAGAATTTGTCAAATTGCAAGACGTCTACAGCGCTTTAGAGCCAACAAACAGCAAATAATCAGCAAAATAAGAAGAAGAGCATCGCAAAGCTGATATTTAGGAAGAGCATAAAAGTCGATATCGATGGTATTACTTATTTATGTATATCAAATCAAACATATATGACTGTTTTGTGAATCGAGTTTCCTGTGCACCGCACCCAAATCAAACAAATCCAATTGATTGAAATTGTGCTGTAAGAAAATGAAAGAAAAAACAACAACAACAAAAGAAAAAAACAAATTTAAAATTGAACTGAAGGCAAACACGTGAAAAAGCCCAACTAAAAAAGAGAAGCAACAAATTAATATGAATTTTTGTAAAATTGCTTAAAGCGTAGCTCTTTAATTCACTTCGGTACTACTGCTATCTAAATATACCTATCTATATATATTATAATTTTTTGAGCTTTGTCGTGCTTTAGATCAAAGATACACACAGACACAAAAACAAACAGACACAAACACACACACAAACAAACAAACACAGAATCAACTGTAGATGAACACACGAAGCTCTCACAAACAATCAGAAACAATGAGTGACACGCAGATACATCAAAATCCAAAGTCATCATTCCAAATTTAAACTGAATATGTTTTCCTCAATCCAAGCCAAGTTTTTAAATGCGATGATATAGCAATTATTATATATTTTCTGTATTCACTCTGGGATTCGATCGTTTTGAATACACACAAATATCTCTTAACAACAAATCCCAATCTGAATATGAACCAAACCCCCAACACACATAAACTTTGCTCGTTTTGAGGATATAAATAGCGACGAATGTGAATTGAAGAGTCGATTGATTATTTTAAATATTGTTATAAAAACTGATTGATTTTGTTGAAATTTAATATTGTTTTCACTTCTACATTCTCATCCCAAATTCTCGAAAAAAAAAAATTCGAAAGAACATGAGTTAGTTTGAATATTAATTCTTTATTTTATTATTTCTTTTTTTTTCAACTTATTTTTGCATTATTGAACAACTTTTGTATGAGCGCGAGTCTGAGTCGGGTTTTTGGGTTTTAGTGCCTCCGTTGTCCATCAGAGAAAACGTCTTAATCCTTTGCCGGTCATCAATCAGTTCGATTCTATTCAGTATGATCAATATATGCATCTGTTGTGGTCCTGTTTTGTTTTGTAAAGTTTCCTTAAATGAAAATGAAAAGAAAAAAAAATAATAATTATTAATAAAATAAAAAAATATAAAAAAAACAAAAACTCAAAAAAAAACACAAAAACAAAACATCTAAATAATTTGTGTATTTATTACCGTTCATGATACGAATCAATCCAAAGGATCTATAATTGATTGAAATGTACATTTGTAAATGCATTTTTTTTCTGTTTTCTGTTGACATTTCTTTACCCAAACTCGTCAAAATGGCTGTGATATGATATAAAATACATAAGGTCACAAGCATTTTAACGACATGGTATAAGAAAGAAAGAAAGAAACACACAAAGGAGAAGGAGGAGGAACAGGAGGAGGCGGCGACTGCACGAACCGGCCCCGGCGAGGGACAATGATCACTGTGATGAAAGCAATTCGCACGAAACTCATCAAAATGGCTGTGATATGACTTGATAATACCCACATTTCACAACCCCTTGAAGAGTTACGCAAGAATTGGGTGGGCTTGGTTCGCTCACAGTCTGCAGATGTATGCAAGAATAAAATAATGAGATACAAACACTTGTTGGCTTTGTTGTAATATTGTTGGCGAAGTAATACTCTTTTTGCTACATTGCCCTTTGCAATGCCCATCAAAGCTGGCTGTGATACGATTCAATTGCAGATATATCATTCTCAGCCCTTTTTGATGACATTGAAAGTAAGACATGTACACACAAACACACACACACACACACACACACACAAAAACACACACACACAGAGAGAGAGAGAGAGAGAAGCACACTGATGTAAACGAACTCTAATACAATTCACGTAACAAAGACGGTAACCGGTAACAGTGCTGACGACGTAAACGTTATGGGCGTAGCGTTAAGTAACGTAAAACTTTAATGGATTTTAATTCATGTATCTGACTGAGTACGCAGCTATATATATATATGTGTGTGTGTGTGTGCTTATGTATACATGTTTTTAGCATCTGTTCCGTTCCGTTTCGTTAATTATTTCGAGTAATTTGAGCTTTTCCGTATACGTTCCTAATGCGTTAACTTCTTCATGTTCTGTAGGTTAAGTAGCCCAAAATCTGATGCATGTTGCATGCGTACAAACTTTGCTCACGTGTGTGTGTATGTATGTGTGTGTGAGTGTGTGTATTGCTTGGCAGTAAAAAGGCAACGTCAACGTCGACAGCGACAGCGACCACCGCCCTCTGCCGCTGCTTAAATGTCTGCCAGTCAGTCTAACTGTGAGCTGCTGTCTGCACCATTTACGTATGTACGCATGTGTGAGTTGCGTATGTTTATGTGTGTGTGTGAGTGTGTGTGTGTATGTTCATACACCCTTAGAGCGCGCCCTTTCTAGTATTAAGCGGCAGCCGCAACAACAACAACAACAGCAACCACCATTCGCATTTAATTCCTGTTTTAGGGAGCGTTACGAAAGGTTTTGTTCAATTTTCGAAATTAGTATTGTTTGCCGAAATTGAGGCATTGCAACTAAATTTTCAGTTGTGTAAATTTAAGGATCTATGTTTTTTAATTAACATTTTTAAATGCATACTATTTATTACTTTGTATGGGTGTGTGTGAGTGTGTGTGTGAGTGTGTGTGTGTGTGTGTGTTTGTAGGGTGTTGCCCAGTCGGCTTATTGATTTGTGTGTTAACTGTTGTTGCTGCCGCCGATGCTGCCGCTATTGCACTCCATGCAACCGAATTGAACAATACACATTAATATGTGTGTCTGCATGTGTATGTGTGTGCGTGTGTGTACGTGTGTGTGTGTAGATACTAAACTACACATGAGTAGTGAAAAACCAAACGAAATGACGGATCATCCCTTATTCGGCACATACCCGGCGCTCTCTCTCTCTTTCTTTCTCTCTTCATCTCTCTCTCCCTCTCTCCTTCTCACTCTCTTTACTGGCTGTGTTTGCACTCTTTCTGTACCCACCAGCTGCCCTGTGTGTATGTATGTGTGTGTGCTGTGTGTATGTGTGTTTGTGTATGTATGTGTTTTACTACTGTCGCAGTCGGGCTTGCCACCCACCCTATTTCCAGCAATAACAACAACAACAACATCATCATTATCGTCGTCGTCGTCGTCGTCGTCGTTGTTGTAGTCGGCGTTTGTCGTGTGTATACCGAAATACGTAAAATTCATTTATGGCTCGTATCCTTTTTATGTTGTTGTTGCCGTTGCTGCTGCTTACTGCTGCTGCTGCTGCTTTGTTCCTGTTTCGGGGCGACGGCCGCGGCGTCCTCGTCCTCGTCCTGGTCGTTGTCTCTGCCTCTGCCTCAGCTAGTAACTTTGCCCACAATTTATGTTCCACCCAATGCCGCTGCGTATTTCAAGTCGCGTACGGAGTACTCCGCGTACCCAGCGTACTCAAAACGCTTGTGCGCCCTCAGTTGCTGTGGGAGTCCTTGAAAATCCAAGATACTAATTTCTTCATTAAGGCGATTATAGATGAGTGTACACCCGCTGGCAGGGTGCTTCTCTGGCCAATGGAGAGATGCTGCATCTATTTGCTGGTACTCCATCTATTGGGTATACAAATACACACTTTACATCCGCTTCAGCTTTTCATCTAATCCAAGCTGCTGGCCAAAATGTTGTGTGTACATATCGCATTGATGTTTGTATGTCTATACTAGAAAACGTTTTTTGCGCAGTTTCGAAATGGCCGCAAAGACTGAAGAATGAAAGAAATGAAAAAAAAAGAAAAAAAATGAACGCAACAAACGCCATGTTCAGCAAAAAATTTTCATCGTTGGCTTTCACTTTGGTTTTTCACTACTTTAATCATTTGAAATGTTCATTTTAATACACAACTCGTGTGCTGGTGGATTGCTTTCGATTTATGATAATATTTGAACAATTATTTATTGTGTATTTTCCATAGAATTGGCAATAATTTATTAACCGGTTTTTCTCGTGACGTTTTTCGCCTTTTTACAACCACACACAGAGAACAGAACGGACGACCAACTTCTGTCTGTTAGCTGCCACTGTTATAGTCCTTTCGTTTCGTTTCGCTCGTTTTCTTTGCCATACAGTGTGTACACACTGTATGCGTGCGTGTGTGTGTGCGTGTGTGCGCCGGCTGGGCGCACGACTTCGTGTCTGCTTCGGTCGGTCCCTTCGGTCCGTTCGGGCACACTTACCCTCACTTCGTGTTTCAGTATAGTTTTCAGTTACATGCGTTGGATGAGCGCGCGAAAAAAGGGCAAAAAAGGCGCGCCCCCATCCGTCAACCACCGAAGATACACAAAATGTATTCCGTGTTTGATTTCTTCAAATGCGTACGTACGCTCGCGAGAGGGACGCGCTCTCTCTCTCTCTCTCACACACAAACACACACACGTACACGCTCTCTAAGTCCATAGTTACATGAAAAGGCTCTCTCCCATTATCCTACCACTGTTGCTGTAAACTGGCATGTTAAGCAACATTTTTGCATTTGGATCACCCTGTTTGACATAAAATACAAAATCAACGGACAAATGTACATAGCCGATTTGGTTGGTATTTGAATGTGGCAGTTGCTTTATTTAATTGAGAGAGAGAGAGAGAGAAAGTGAGAGGCAACTATCGCTGTAAGCGAGTATGTTAAACAAAATATGTTGTGTTTGGTTCACCCTAGGCAATGAAATAATATAGAATTGTATGGAATTGTATAAATATATATATATATAATTGTGCTTATCTTTTTAATATATTCAATGTAAATGCCTAACTTAAATAATTTTACTTATTATTGAATGTTAATATGTATCTATATACTTAATAAAATGCCAGATACTCAAGGAATATGTGGATTCTAGATGCCTTCATTAAATTATATTTTCCTATCTACAAAATTTTTATAAAAAATCGGCAAGCATATGGGCGAGCTAGAGCCGGTTTTGTCTTCGCTATATGCCCCTGAAAGTATGCTTCGTTTTTTCTTGCGGGCAATTTAGCCAATACAGCAACCAGCAAAGAGAAAACGTATGTTGACCATATTTCCCTCCCGAGCACTTTTCATTTTACATGCGCGACCCTTGAAGTATGCATTATTTTTTAAATATAGCCAATCGAGTGATGCGTTTTTAAGCAAAAACTTTGCCATATCAATAACGATATAAAAAATATATATGTTTGTGAGCTCACAGGAAAAGGGACTATCGATTGGTATTTGAAGATTTTCAGTATTCGACAAAAAGTAATTTGGCATCAGAAAATATAAGATAGATCAAAGGATCGCGTTTAACTTGGCCATTTCCCCACCATGTTCCTTAGACCAAATTTTACCTTCGTCCGGCCTGCTCGAGTTAAGTAAAATAAAGGAAGAAATTCTATCAATCAACTTTTAATAAAACAGAAAATTGCTTATTTCTCGGTTACGTCTTTTCAAATGCTTGTGAGTTCAGAGCCAAACATTTATTATTTACAGGGCTAACAACTGCCAAGTTGTATTAATATTTAATACAAACTTACGTTATTATAATATTATTAAAAATTCACAAATTAGTAGTATAAAATTTCCGAGATGCCATTCAAGTCCTCCAACCTGTAATTCTAAAATATACTGAAAGGAAAATTATACGCATTATAATTGTTAACAATGTATAACGGAAAAATACAAAACGATAATGAATTTAAATGTGTCAGTTTCTTTATTTCAATCATCCGTGTACACAAAAAAGATGGTTCAACAGCATGAAATACTACACAAAGCTTGTAAATGTAAACAATGTTAATAAATATTGTACGAATTACACTGTGCATGGTTGATTGTAATAATAACAAATGTGCGGATTGTTTTTTTTTTAGAGTGTGTTTTTGTTTTATAATCGGGTGGTTTGTCTTGTGGATTTGAGGTTAGGTTCCAGCCGCATCAGCATGTAAAACAATTAACAATTTCCGGAACCATTCCAGGGTTACGAGAAGCATTGAAGCAGCTGAACATTGAGGGCCAGCACGCATCAATCGAAAGGTCTGGCAAGTTAAAACTAAAAACGAGATGCATATATATCTACTGTTTGTTCGTGGCATGTTTGAACGATGCCGAATGTCATAATTATATAGATGTAGGTAATGTATGTATGTATGAATGCAAATTCATAGTATGCATATGAGTGCATATGAATGCGTATGTTTGTATGTGTGTGTTTGTATGCATGATTGGTGTTGAGATACATTTTGTAATCATAAAAATACATATATATTGCAAAAGTTATTGGCAAATAATGAAAAGGTATTCCATCCTTCCTCATTGTCTTTCTCGATATAAACCCGCGATCATGACATTATTTGTTTGTTGGTTTGTATGTAGGCTACAACACAAACATTGTATATGAAATATAATAATGTTTTATAAGAGCTTAAAATGTATTGCAACAGGGCCAATTTCCAAATGCTAATATTAAATTTGAAATTCATTCATTTAGTGAATAATTGTTAGTACATGTTTTGTATGTATATGATATATACGATACGATATTCGCACGAAAAGGGTTAGAAGAGTCTTACCAACTAAGGGGGATCTTGATTTTGATCTTGAGTAGAATGAAGAAATGCTACGCCTACCTACTAACCAAATGAAGTGGGAGTCTTGGCTCCTATTTATGTATATAAATGTGTCTGTGTCTGTTTCAGTGTGTGCGTGTGCGTGTGTGTGTGTGTGTTGGTCCGGTCATTAAAATTATATTAACGATATTAAAAGGTATAATAAATAACTATAAATAGCATACATAGATGATTTGCTATATGTACTATATATGTATGTATATCCTCTCTAATTTAATCAAATGCATTTATGTTCAATTATATATTTATGCCCCCCGCCCAAAAATCACCCTGTCGCCGCCTCAATCAGCATTCTTTATTTCGTTCAGACTGCGACAGGCATCTCTCTCTCGCTCCCTCTCACGCTCCCGCTCGCGCTGCTCCTCCTCCAGCTTGAGCACCTTGCTCTTTAGACCACACAAAATCTCCGCTGTGGCTATATTCTTGATGGTGCTCAAATCCAGATGCTGGCTGTAATTGTTGTTGTTGTTGTCATTGTTGTCATCGTTGTCGTGCTCGCCATTGCTGCTATTGTTGTTGTTGCTGCTACTGCCGCCATGCTCTGTTGCATCTTCCCGTTCCCGTTCACGTTCCCGTTCCCGTTCCCGATCCCGTTCAGCAACATGTTGCTGCTCCAGTTCCAGATTACGATTGATTGCACTTAACAGTTTATGCTTGCCAAGTGCCAGTGCCAATCCATCTTCGACTCCATTGTTGTTGGTCTCCGTGTTGGCTTTGTTGCTGCTGCTGCTGTTATTGTTGTTCGAATCGGTTTCCATATCCAAGCCGCGATTGTTGTTGTTGTCATCATATTTACGGTCATAGGCAGTGAGATCCTCATCGTGTCCATTGTTGTTGTTGTTGTTGTTGGGGGCTGTCTCACCTGGTGATGACTCCAGCTCAACTTCACGCTTCACCAGTTGTATATTTGGCGGAGGCGTTGGCGTCTCTGGGCGTGCTCGATTGCCATTGACATTGGGAGTTTGTACAAGATTCAAGGCTTCCTCATCATCATGCTGATTGCTGCTGGAGTTCTTACCACAACTGCTGCTGCTGCTATTGTTGTTGTTGTTGCTGTTTGTCAGATGATGATTCTCCACAAGGCGTATCTTGAAATTGTTATTGTGCGTTGATGGTGGCGGCTGTGGTTCTGGTGTCCTTGGCACAATCGTTGTGATTGGCTCCATAATATCCTGGCTGTGTGCATAGGCATGGTTGTTATTCAGGGCATCGTCGTGCTGCTCAGCGCTTGGATAGCGATCCCTCTCCATCTCCTTCAAGCGCTTCTCGCCGCCCAGCTCGGTATTGTAGTGCATCAAGACCTTGCGTTTAGCCAGATATTTGTGCTGTTTGCGTGCCGAGTCGAGCATCTTCTTGCTGTTTGCCTGCAGGATCGCATAGGAGTTGCTCTCCCCATTGGCCACATTCGGATTTCTTGCGTTATTGTTGTTGTCGTTGCTGTTGTAGTTGTTGTTGTTGGGGCTGCTGCTGTTGTTATTGTTGCGATTGAGATTCTTCATAAAGCTCTCGGCCAGAGTGGCCTTCGATTTGATGTGCTCCCGAAAGCCGGCATAGCCCGGACTCTGCTGAGTCTGAGCCTGACCCGCTCCCGGACTGGCCAGCGATAAGGGCGTGGCACACCGATTGGGGCCATTAAGAGAAGACTGTTCCAGAGCTGTGGCGCCATAGCCGGCGGCATGTCCACTAGTTATATTGACGCTGTGCGTTCCACGCTCATAGCGGCACTCGGTGCCATCGCTTTCCAGCGGCGAACTAATGTCGCTGGCATCGCTGTCCAAGTTTTTCTGTAAACAGATCGAAAAACCAACATAAGTAGATTCAAGTTGGAGTTGCTCTTCTGACTATGGCTATACCTCTGTGTGTAGTCCCTTGATTTTCATGGCCTCGGCGACCTTGAGAAAAATGGGCAGATCCTCATACTTGACGTTCACCTGCCCGCTGTACATGAAGTCGAGCAAGCCAGCCATGTGGCTGGCCTCAACGTCTGCCATCAGCAGTATGGGATGACTGGATGGATTCTCGAGGAAGATCTGCTGGAAGTATGGACTGCAGACGGACAGCACCTGCAAATGGAACAGAGATAGAGAGAGAAGAAGCAGAAAGGAAGACAATTGTTAGAGGAAGTGTTCCGACAAGTGAGCCATCAGTTTACCAGTTTGTGTGCCTTAAATATCTTGCCGCCTGCTGCGATGGTCACATCCACCATCTTCTCGTCCTTCTGCAGGGAGTGAAAGCCACGGCACATGTTGCCATGAAAGTTATTCCACGACAATAGGTACTGATCTATGGTATTGGGATCGGTGTAGGGCTGTTGCTGTTGCTGTTGCTGCTGTTGTTGCTTGTGCTGCTGCTGCTGTTGCTGTTGCAGCTGCTGTTGGGCTGCCTGATGCTGTGTGGCCGTAATATGGATCTGCTGAGCGGTGGTGGGCGGCGAACTGGGTCGCGGCGTGGCTGTCTGATGTGGGTGTGCGATCTGATGATGATGCTGCTGCTGTTGCTGCTGTGCCTGCTGTAGCTGCTGCTGGGCCTGTTGCTGCTGCTGTTGCAGCTGCTGCTGCAGATGCTGCTGTTGCTGCTGCAATATGTGCTGCTGCTGCTGCAGCGCATGCTGCAAGCCCGGCGGTGTCGACGATGAGGACATGCGATGCGGATGCGGCGAAAGTGACGGCTGCTGGCTCATAAAACGCTGCTGCTGCTGCTGTTGGGCCTGATGATGTTGCTGCTGCTGTTGTTGTTGCTGCTGCTGTTGTTGTTGCTGTTGCTGTTGCTGCTGCTGCTGTTGCTGGCGAGCGTGCTGTTTGATCTTTACCATATTCTCTTGCTGCTCTTGCTCGCGCTGGCGCATTAGCTCCTGCTTGATCTTGTACTGCTGCATGGACAAATCGTCGACGCTCTTGGAGAGCTTCACCATCTCGTTGCTGTTGAACTTGTTGCTGCTGTTGTTGCCCAGCATTGGCTTCAAATCGTATTTGTAATCGCCACTGGCGCCACTGGCCGCAGCTGCCAGCTTCCGCTCGGCAGCCAGAGCTGCGCGTTCCTTCTGCCGCCTGATGAGCTCATCGATCTCCATGTAGGCGCCACTGGTGGCTGCCGCAATGGCGGACGCAATAATTGGATCATCCTCAAAAACACTGTCGTCGAGTGTCTCCTTTAGCGTCTTGGTGGACGAGAACAGGCGCAACGAGGGATCGTTCACCTGATCGCTGAAGTACACGTCCATCAATGTAAAGAATGGCCACTCGCGTCGCTTCGGCTCCTCGGACATTTTGATGGCCTTGTACTCCTGCAGCAGATTGTTCCATTTCTTGATGATCTTCGACAGTGGCAGCGGCACATTAAGCTCACGTTCCACGACCCTGTGAACGAAAATGAGAAGAGTGATGTGGCAGCGATATTATCGCAGATTAGGCGTTGGTGTTACGAATGGTGCTGACTGTTTTTTGTTTTGTAATTATTATTGTTCGAGTATTTGCTACTTACGCCCAGGCATATTTCGAGGCGTTTCTTTTGCCCGTGAAGAGTGGTGAGAGTTCAGCGCGTAATCTGATCAATGATTTGACTTTTTCAGCTTCCCCTGCAAAACGAAATAAACAATAATAAATGAGTTTGAAATTAAACAATTGCGCGCACATTATGCAATCGGTTGGGTAATGTCCATAAGTTGAGGGATTGTTATTTGTGATGTAGGCACTTATGGCTCTAAGCAAAACCGAATGAATCTAAATGCTATTAGTGCTAAATGAGCATATGAGTTTGCCTGGGTCCCCACAAAGTGAAATATGAGTAGGTTGTACAAAACGCTTCGAAAAATGTTTGGAAATATTTGGGACTAACGAGTTGTTGTTGTTGTTTATTATTGTAATTTACGAATACGAATACAAGTTCCAGAAAAAAAGAAAATAGTTTATAGTTTGATTTTAGTGATTTACGCGGGGCATTGATCTGACTAGCTAAATAGCTGGCAGCAACTTTCCACTTGCAACTGCAATTCAAGTTTAAGCCGCATTGCCGATAAAGACCTCTAGCAATAACAGCAATGTTTCAATGAACCCGCTAAAACAATTCGCATCGCTCGAGCCGACTAAATCATTGCAATCTAAAGATTGGCTCGAAATCGATGCCTGCTCGGCTGGCTTGCGGCCTGTTTGATTGGTATTCGACATTCGGCATTCGGTATTCGGTATTTGGTATTCGCATTCGAATTCGAATTCGAATTCGTATTTGACTGCTGGTTAATTGCTATAACGAATCTAGCAACTTTTACCAGTTAAGACCATAAGCGAGACCAAAAGCAAAAGCCAAAATCGAAACCGAAACCAAAGCCAAACGCAAGATCAGCTCAAGCAAAGACGAGACTTGAAGCCGCATCTTAAGACTGTATGTGTTTTATGGGATGTCTATCTGTATCTGTATGTGTATGTGTATGTGTATGTGTATGTGTATGTGTATGCTCATCAAGTATACGCCATGAGCAACTCAAACAACAGCAACAACACTCCACTGGAGTCCATAATGACTGAAAACTATTCAACGTTGAAGAATTCATTAGCAGATTTCACTTTCGCTTATGACGACGTTCGCTCATTTCTTTTTACCGTCTTTCTTTATTTATTTACCGTAATTTCTACTCGTTCACTTTTTTTTATGCTTCTCTCCACCTCTTTGTTCGCCTCGTCGCAACTGGTGGATATGTGTGATGGTTTTTTTTTTTTTTGTTTTTTTTTTTTATTTCAGGTTTCATATCTTTCTCTTCGCTTCTTGCCCGTTTCTTGGCTCTTGTTGCTGCGGTTGCTGGCTGATCTCTTGTTGTTCGAGCCTGGCCAAGAAGCCAGCGACAAGCTGCGCGCCTGCTACCTCACTCGGGAGTTTTTGGTTGATTATTTTTTTTTTACCCAAGAGAAAATGACTCGGCACAGTCATAGCCAAGCCGGATCTAAACACAGTTAAAATGCACTGCAGGAGACGGCTGTGCAGACTGGGCTGCCTGCCTGTATTCTAGCTGGGCGATCAATTACTTTCCAAACTTGACTTAAATTGGGTTATTTACTTATATATATAAAACAGAAAATGGGTTGATATTTGACAAATATTTCCAACATTTTGTATTGAAGGTGCATCTATAAAACTCAAATATAGCACTGAACATATTTCTAGTTCAAGATGAATCTGTTCAAGGCAAGGTAGTCAGTATGATTGTAATCAGTGGACAGTTTTACAATTTGCAAGCTTTTGCTTTGATTCATTTAATTGTCTAGCTGCAAAGTTTTTAACCTAGCCCAACCCAAAAACTGTGCTCGATAAACAAAAACCATGCGAACAAAATTCGCAAAAATAAATATATAAATATATATATACATATATGTATGTATATGTATAGACATAGATATATACGTATAGTATATATATGAAGATATCCAAAGATTTGAAAACCGCAATAGCAATAACAGCTATCTCTGGCAAGGCTTGTAAGACAACCTCAACCTTCTGTTCGTGACATGTTGAGGTTCCACGTTCCCCATTCGCCGAGATGGCAACGAAGACCCACCGAGGCACACACACACGCATCGAGAGCCAAGTGTGTTGATGAGTGCTGTGAGGGGGGAGGGAGTGGGGAAGGGTAGGCCACAAGCAGAAGTGGCTTAAATTGTTGCCCGGGGGAGCGGCTCACAAAAGTTTCACTTTCTTTGCAACAAGTTTTGTGCGTCTGCTCAAGAGTGCGTATGCGTGTGTATGTGTGTCTATATATATATATATGTATATATAAATAAATATATATACACACACACACACACACACATATGTATGTGTAGAGTCGTCTTCTGGTTTCTACTTTCCGTTTGCGCCCTTTTATGTAACCCAAATCATCTGCTGCTTGTGAAGCTGCTGCTCTGCGTACAATCCGAAAGGTCTGTCTTAGCAGCAACAACAATACAGCGAACAGCAGCAACAACAACAACAACAACATAATAGCAGCCGGGGCGGCAGCACCGTTTACCGTTAGTTTCTCTTTTGACCTATATTTGACCAAAGACGCGTCGTCGTCGTTGTTGTTGTTATTGTTGTTGTTGTTTTCTCACTGCACGCCATTGGTTCTTTATCTGTTTCTCGACTTCATCTTCATTTCTCTGTGTGTTATTTGCTCAGCTCTTCTTTGTGCTCAATATTCACTTCCGTTTGAAGCACTTTCGTAGCTGGGCAGAACCGGTTCTATGCCTTAGGAACTGCACACTTAACACCCATGAATCAACATTTGCATTTCGCTCTGACTATCTTGAACATTATTTTGCCTCTTTCTACTTCTCTTGGGCTCTTCTCTCTCTCTCTCTCTCTCTCTCTCTCTGTCTCTCTCTCTCGCTCACTCTGTTACTCTCTCAGCTGTTTTTTTTTACGCATAATTGGCTTTAGAATTTCATGACTAACAATTTACTGGGCTTCCTTTCGTTACGGCCCCTTTCTTTCGTTGGTTTTAGCCACGCTTATTGCGCCCCTCTCGCACTCTTCTTGCTGCACGCTTTGTTTTGGCTGCTTCTTTACTTTGATTGTTTGTTTATTTTATGAAATGCGAAATTGTTAGCCGTGACGTTTCGCTTTTTCACAGTTTTTTTTCTCTTTTTCTTTTTCTTTGTGTCTTTCTTTTATTTCCATCTGTTCTTTGCGTGAGAATTTCTAATTGGGTCATTGGGGATTTCAGTGTGTTGCATTGCATATGAAACGAGCTGTATCCAATGAGGCATTTCTGATGCCCTACTCTCAATATTCGCATGCGAAAGTGATATGGGGGCGTGACTTGGGGGAAGCTATGGGTTAGGCACTAATGAGTTCTTATGGCGCAGAACAAAATCAAATATAATGGATTATTTAAGTAAGATATCTGCTAGAAGAATCTGTGGAATTTGCATAAATGTATGAAAAGAGTTCAACTTTTTCCTTCTCTTTGTTAGCCACATATTTAATTCATTATATTTCTTGGAGGTCAGCCAAATTATTATGAAAACCTTAAGCTTGTGTGACTTTACAATATTGAATTTACAAACATATTTTTAGAGATTACCTCAAAATGTACTAATATCTAAAAGCTCGAAATTCTTTAGCCATTTTCTCGCTTGTTTTTCAATAGAATAGAATTGTGTACAATTTCTTTGAGGGCTTGACAAACTAGGTTTATAGCTTGGACGAGGTCCAATGAAGTCTTGTGTAAAATTCTTAGCAAATGAACTTTACCCTTTCTAAACAATCCACCAACAGCACAAAGGCATGACCGTGCTGGCAGAGCATAAAGTTGAACAATCTCCTTTCTACTGAGGCTGTTGATCGTGAATACAATGTGAAACTTTTGTACGATTGCAATGCAATGCCAAGGCGAATGCAAGAATTCGACAGCGTTGGGTGCAACAGTAACAGCAACCAGACTCCAATGAAATACGAGACGCAGATGCGGCTTTCCAACGACAACGGCTTGTTGTAGCTATCTCAGTTGCAGTCAGTTTTCTACTTGTGCTGCATTTCTTGAGAGTTTTCTCCGCACGCCACAGCCACAGCCACAACAAAGCTCAGACAATGCGCATACGCCCAGTGCGCCGGCTGAACAGCACTTTCCGTGTAAGTCATCGACCAGCCAGCCAGTAAGCCAGCCAGCCAGCCAACCAGCCAACCAGCCAGCCAACCAGCCAGCCAGCCAGCAATCCCCAGCAGCAACAACAGCCGCAGCCACAGCCGCCAGGCTGATATTTAATTCTCGGCTTTTACTTTCTCCCAAATGATGCAGAAATGAGTTGTGTGTGTGTGTCTCTGTGTGTGTGTGTGTGTGTAACTGTGTATTTTTATTTTTATATTTGTATTTGTGTCCATAATCTAAAGCGTCAGCGAATGTGATTCGCATCGCAGCGACTAATTTATTTGTTATACATTTTCCAACGAAAATTTAGAAGAAAGGTAATGCCAACATAGATAAAAGTCAAATGTTGCTAATTAACTGACATTTCAGACCAAACCGAGCAAGTTGCTGGCGCATTTTCCACTGCCTGTGGACTTTTCTCTTTACAATTTCCATTTTGCAGTTGAATGTACGCAAACCGACTGTGGAAATTCCGCACTACTTATAAACATGACCAGACAACGGGCAAACGAGCAGCGTGCACCGTGCAACGTTCAACGCTCAACATCAGCGTTATTATCATCCATCCATCATGATTATATATTATTGTAATCATCGACGTTGTCAGAAGTAATTTAGGAAATATGTATTTATATATATAAATATGTATATATATATATAAATACTTTATATATATACTTTATTTATAGCTTATGCGCTCGCTCTGCTAAAATTTCTCTGTTGCTTTGGGAAACTTATTGCTTTTCATGTTGCTGTAGAAGTTAAAACCTGTTGTTGTTGTTGTTGTTGTTAAATCGCCTGTTGCATTTGTTATTGCTGCCATCTCGTTAGTCGCTTTGTTTGCAAGAAGGTATATGAACTTTAACAAAGATTTTCTTTCTTTTTGCCCGCTGTTTAACATGCACTTGAGCCGCTGCAAAGGTTTTTTTCGAAAGTGCAACGCGGCGTATGAGCAACCTCTGCACCGGATAAGTTAACTACTCAAGTGTGTGTGTGTGTGTATGTGTGTGTGTTTGTTGTCATTTAATGGTTGTCTTTTCTAATTGTTGTTATGATTGTCTTCATACTCAATGCCGAAGCGAAAATCACTTTTAATTTCTTCTCAATTAATATTCTTATCAATTGCCAACTGTAAACATTTTGTACATAAGCATAATTATGTGTGTACATATATATATATATTTTAATAGTTTTTGATGAGCTCGCACAATGCGTCAGCTTAGCTTAACACAGCTTAGCTTGTCTCAGCACATACACACACACAGACAACACACAACTTTCACTTTGCGCTGTCAGAAGCAGCAGCAGCAGCAGCAGCAGCAGCAGAAACAGCAGCAGCAACAACAACGCAAAAGTAAAGCTCTAATGTTAATGTAAATAGCGGTAAGAGTCAGGGTACACTCATACATACACACACACACACACACACACACTCACACGCACACAGTTACGTGCCGTAGATGCGATTGTGTAGATACAGATAGACAAAGGTTCAAATGACTTTGGCGCGTCTCGCAAAATTGCAAAATAGCAAAATAGAAATAAACAAAATAAAATAAAAAAAAATTTGAAACCAAATCATTCATTAAAAATATTGTAGATATTTTTTGGCTGTTATGCTTTCAAGAAAACAAAAAACAAAAAGGAACGCCAGACAACAAAATAAAATCAAATCAAATTGTGGCATCTTACATAAAAAAAACTTAACCTTCGCCGCATGAAAGCCAAAAATTTGATTGTTTTTTGTTTTTAAAATATAATTTTTTTTCTATGTATTTATTTATTTGTATTATGCATACGCAATTACCCACTTGACTGTCAAAATAATTATTATAAAACTGTGTTAAGACTTTGAGTATTAGCGGAGTAAATATCGGGTTGTAGTTGACATAGTTAACAAAATATCATCGTATCGCTCAACGTATTAATCATGGCCAATATATGATATATATTCTGAACTATTAGTGTTGGCTATTATACAATTTCCACAAAGGGTGTAAAAAGTAAAAGAAAATATAAAAGCATTTGTGGCGTGTGAAGAGCCGCACTCGAGCCCCCATTTGAGGCGGACCTAAAGTGAAAGTTCTAATAAGCCAGCAACGACTATTGTAGTGGAGTAACGGCAAAACCAAAAGTACTGACAATCAGCCATGCGGGCAGACGCCAAATTGTGGCCAAAATGCTGGCACAGCCGGCGGTCGTTGCCAACCACTGTTGTGGTAGTCCGTCATAGACATTATTCCGCAGAAATACTGTCTGCATGGGAAAGAAAGGCAAACGAAATGTATAGCAATACAACTAAGTGATATATATGGCTGGGTGCTTGAATAGCTGCTTGAATGGTATAAAATTAAACATTTCTTTTTGTACGCTCCCAATTGTATTCACGAAATACAAGCAACTCATTTGTATTTATTACTCTTCAGTTAATCATCATTGGCTGCAAATCCAAATCAAGTATTCGCGGAACATATTATTTTTTGATTAAAACAATTACTGAATATCTTATGAGAGTTGGCTATATCCATATGCTTTTTTGAACATTTTGTTGAATTCCGTTATGTATATTTAAGCATTGATTTTTTTTAATTCGAATCGTTTTGAGATCGTTTGGTTATTTATTTTCTGTTGCCTGGCCCCATCAGAGATTATATAAAAAAGGTTTTGCGTCACTGTCGCGTCTTCTACAGCTCCACTCTTTGATCACGTTTGATGGCTAATTAAATGTTGTGCAGCACTTAAACGCATTAAGAAAGCAAACAACTAATGAAATATAGACCAGCTGTAATAGAATTAATAATCATTGCATAATGTTGTTGCTACGTGTGGGGATTAACAACATGTACGAACATATTTTTGACTAGGAAGCAAATGAGCTTCAATTGAAAATGTGTAAAACTCACGCTACATGTTGTGGCTAGCGGATTATCGTAGTTAGAAAGCAAGACCGTTAACCAACTGAGATTAAAGTCTCGTTAATTGGCAACTAACTTAACAAATGAGTTGAGGCTAATTCACTAATGTCTGCAATTCCTTTTGTAAATATATCTATCAAAGCTGAATATTGGTAAAATTTCTCTTTTAGATAAGCCAAGAGGGTGCCTAATGACATGACATTCATTAGATGCTACAGCGAAGCGGTACATGAGCGTTACTTGGCCAACATTTTGGAGCTAGATGACAAGAAATAAGCGCAGGTTGCATAACCACATTCGAAACGAAAATAGAAAACAGTAAAAACGCCAGCGACAAACAACAGAAACAACACTTAAACTTATTGATGTATGGATGTATTGATGTGTATGCTTGCGAGCAATATAATTTGTAGCGGCTTATCAAGCAACGGTATTATTGAGCAACGTCCACTCGAAATGACTCCAACACTCGCCAGCAGCGCCAACATTTAAACTATTTTCTTGTTATGCACTTCAAAAGCAAAACGCGTGATACAAAAATACAAACAAAAAAAAAAAATGAGAAAAAAAACGCACACACAATTTTGGCAACACAATTTTGACTTGGCCAACAGAAAACCCGATGAGTCATTCTTAATAATTGCGCGTGCAAAAGTGCCAGCAATAATATTTATAAAACTAAATATCAATGCATAGAAATCAAAACGAATATCGACATCGAAAACAAAATCAAAATCGAAAGCCAAACCAGAAATTGACAGAAAATTATTGCGTATACGCCGTGGGTTCCAGAGAGATCCACACGCGTCGCCAGGAGCTGTTGCAATCCACGTCTGTATATAAATATGTATATATGTGTTTATAGACCCCAAACAGCAACAAGTTGGGACATTGAACTCGAAAAAGCGAACCTGCAAACACAACGACTGCAGCAGCAGCAGCAACAGCAGCAGCAAATTTGTAAACAAAACTTGATTATGTAAGCGCTTAATTACAATGGAAATGGAAATGCCAAAGCGACAAAGCCAAGACACATAAAGCAACCGTGTCTCTAGAGCTCTGATTGGTTTGTTGCTGTAAACAACAACAATTTTGAAGGCTACGTATTACGAGAATTCATATTGAAAACAACAGGAAATTTTCGCCTTGGAATGCTTTGAATATTCCACTATGCTTATACCTCAAGCTGTGAAAATGGGTCAGGATTAAAACACATACACCAATCACCTGACATCAAATGGCCAACTAAAAACAAGTTTAATGCAGTCACTGCGAGAAATTGTTTGAAAATAAAAAGGAAACATACAACAACAACAAAAAAGGAAGCGTAAATCGCACAACTAGCAAGGGTCTTCGCTGTTGAGGCAGCAGCCAACGTCAAAAAAAAAAATCTAAAAAAGAAAAATAAAAAAATCCAAGCAACAACTTTCACCTATTAATATTCGAGTCGTACAAGCGGCAGAAGCGAGCGAGTTGCCAAAGACAGCAGAGACCCGAGCGCCGCAGACAGCAAGCAGTAAGCAGTAAGCAGCAAGCAGCAAGCCAGTAGAAGCAGAAGAAACGATCGGAGCTTGGCGCAGTTGCTGCCGATGCTTAACAGGGGCAACAACGTTGACGGCTGTTGGGTGATTGTTGAGCTCAGAGCAGCTGCAGCTGAGACGTTGCCTAAACACATACAAAGAGTGCGATCTCTTCTAAAACTTTCTACAAGCCTTTATTTTTGGCTATTTCTTTCAGACTATTTTCAGACATTTTTTCTTGCATGTTGATTGCTTAGATGTGGGTGTGTGATGGGTGTGTGAGTGTGTGTGTGTGTGGGTGGATGGGTGGTCTGTAGCCAATCTATAGTATTAGTTAAGGCAAGAAAGTTTCCTCTGATTGTTAATAAAGTGTGGCCAACTTACAGCAATATCTGGTCGAGTATTGACAGTTAGCATTGACTGTTGGTGCCATAATCTCGTTGACAGCCATATCCAATTTTAAAATATTGTTGCTGCTTTCGGGGCTTGTGTATCCTTTAGTTGTTGTTTAAATTGTTGTCGTTGTTGTTCTTGTTGTTGTTGTTGCTTATGGTAATCCAATGTTTAAAAAATTACACACACACACGCACACCAAAATGGTGCAACAATTGTTTTGGTTTGATAGTTTCTCTTTGATTAGTGCTGCTTATTTGGTAGTTTGCCTGGTTTCCATTGTAAGATATTTGGAATTCAAGAGGCACTCACGCACACTGAGCGCCCAAAAAACCAAAGCAAAGCTCAAGCTCAAGCCGCAAGCACACCGATAAAAAACACTTTCACTTTTCGCTTGATATGCAGAGAACACACAAAACAGTTTTATGCGACTTGTTTTTTATTTTTCTTTATTCCTTTTTGGTGCTGTGGTTATTTTTTGTTAATTTTATTTTTATTTTAATTTTTTTTTGTAAATTTTGAAATTACATGCCAGGCGCACTAATGTCAAGAATAGTCAACATTTTGATAGCATATGTTTTGCGGACTGGTTATATGCACATAATGATCATAATAATAATTTGAAACTTATTATAAACACTGTTGTAGCTGGAACTGAGGCTGGTATTTTTGTTTATTCCTTGGACTGGCTTTATTTAGCTAGCTATTAAAGTTTTGCAGAGTTCTTCGCGCAGCCACTGTATTGTTGTTGTTTCAGTTTTTAGTTATTGGTGGCAATTCTTGCGCGTCGACCGTTTGAACGTAACGTCTGCCTCGAACTACAGTAGACGTCTGTGCGGCAGCGCGCAGTGAAACCAACGCTTATCCTCAAAGATCGCTAAGAAATTTCATGCCATTCCATTTTGTTTCATTGGCGCAGCGACGCTTTCGCTTAACCAACACACACACACACACGCACACTTCCAAGCTCTCACACACACTCAAGTTGAAGCTCAGCTTTGGTTCTGTGTGCTGTTAGCATTTCCATTTCTTTCTCTGCACACACACACACTCACACACGCATACACACACAGGCACTCACACCGAGCTAGCAACTTGCTGCTGAGCGCGCTCTGTTCAAGTTTGGTTCTTCGTTGAAGTCTTTTGTTTTGGTCTGCATTTTGGCTTTGCCATGTGCTCGAGCTTTTCGCTTTGTGTGCGCAGTGGTGCTTTCAGTAAGAGTTTCGCCTTGGGAGCGCACACGCACACACACACACACATACACATGCGGCAGCGCTTAATTATTTACAGTTTATGGCCGTTCCGTTTCCACCACGTTTCAGCGCCGCTTGCTTCAAATGGACTTTTATAACTTTAACTTTCTTCGCTATCGAAACGTATGCCGTTTGCTGCCAACTGCCTTCTAAGCGTGCTTCGGCTTTTTTTTTCTTCTTTTTTCTCTCATTTTCTTTTTGAAGTCTTTTGTATCTTTCAGTCGCTTCTGCTGCGTATTGCTGTTGCTTAGCTGCAAATTACAACTTTCGTCTATTTTCGTCAAGATTTTTTTTAATTATATAATTTAAACTTTTTTCTTTTGTGCATTTTGTTGCTGTTGTTGTTGTTGTTGTTAGTTTTGCTTTGTTTTCGCTGTAACTTCTGCGCAAGTAATTTGCTTGGTTGCCGTTGCCGTTGCCATTGTTGCCTCAGTTTTACTTTTATTTGCATAAAGCCAAGCTCACGGCTAATTACGCACAAGAAGAGTGAAATTTCCAATGGATTCTTAATTATAATTTAATTGCCTGCCGATGCAGCAACCTCCCTGCCAAACACCCAAGTAACAGACCAAATATATCTCTCACTCTTAAAAGTATCTTTCTGTGTGTGAGTGTGTGTATCTGTATCTGTTTGCTGCAGTTGGTTGCATTTGGTAAGGTCTTTTTAGTTGAATTCGGTTTGCTGGTGTGGTCTGCGCATCGAGTGTTTCAAGATCGAGGCTCGACCAGTCTCTCAGTGTTCGACTCAGTTAAAAGTATCTCAATGTTTAGGCACTTTTTGTTGGCTCTGCACTTACAGTTGCTTCTTTTGTGTCGGCTGAATGTTGCTATCTTTCTTGTTGCTGGTGCTGCTGCTGCTGTTGTTGTTGTTGTTGTTGTTGTAGAAAACTTTCTAATGTAGAAGCCGTCTGCTGTTTCATTGCTTACATTTTCCACCACTCAATCTCTTTCTCTCTCTCTCTCTCTCTCTCTCTGTCTGTCTCACTCGCTTCAATTGAATTGCTCCGCTGCTCACACAGTAGTTGATAGGCCTCTTTTATTTTTCTTTCTGTTGGTTTTCTGGCTGCTTTTTCTTTCTTTTGAGATTTTTTTCCCAAGCATGTGAAATCGCTGAAGAATTTCAAATCGAGTAAAACTATTGTGAAAGATTGTGAAACAAAAAAAATAAAAAATAAAAAACCTCACACTTTTTCAATTCTATGCACATATAAATATGTCTGTCTGAAGATATGTAATGCACCTGCAGCTGAGTTCACATAAGTACTTGGTAATCTCTTTTGTGGTGTCTGTGATGCATCCACACTCACATTATGATGGCGGTCAGAGCCATCCGCTGGACCGATTGATTGTAATACCGATGCCGTTATTCCGCGCATACTGCTATTTGGGTGAAAGTTGTATCTTAAAATACACTCGCAGACCACTCGATATACATGTGTATGTGCGACTGTAAGTCATCTTCTTCACATTGCATTCGCAATTAAAGTTAAGAATTGTATTGCTCCTATGAAAATCGATACTAATCAATTGTAGTTTAGTAATAAATATGCGATCGCATCTCTCATAACTGTCCAAATATATTTCATTAGCAGCAGTTCCTTTCATTATATAAACGAGTGTCAGAAGCAATACACTATGGCTATGACTGAAATTCGAGACCCACAATCGTAAGTATAATATGTATTTTCACTTTTTAATAATTAACATAAAATTATTAACCGGCAGCGCAAAGAAAAAGAAGAAAGAGAAATGGGTAAGAACCAAAGACAACAGACAAAAGACACCAAAAACCAAAAACCAACAACCACAAACAAAAACAATGCCAAGCGCATTAAGTCAGCACCAAAATGGCAGCGCCAGACGAATGTAAGAAATAAGCCATGAAAGTTGTAAATTCAATGAAATGAGATTTCAGATTTCGTAAAGTAGCGTAAAGAACAGAGACCACAGCCCACCGCCATCAGTGGAAGCGAATGACTAAAAGACTTAAAATAAGGAAACATTAAGCCCAGAAGAATTTTAAGTGAAATGAATTTGAAAGCTTTTCCCGTCGTGTCTTGACCCAATTACCCATTTTGGCCCATACCCCAAATTGACGTAGTAGCTCCAAAATAACGAAACAGAACGAGAAGATCTGAACGTGACAGAGTAACAGTTATGTGACGAACAGAGTCAGACAATCGAAAGTTTATGTCATGCAACAGCAGCAGCTTAAAATTGAAGCGGCGCACAGTGGAACAAAATTGACAGAGCTTTAGCTATTATATTACTTAGAGACATGATTTGACGGAGTTGAGGTTTTTATTGATACAAGGTATTGCAGCTAAAAAAAAAAAAACGAAACTCGTATTCATTGTCATTAAATAATCAATAACAATTCATATAAATGCATTTTATTGCGTTTCTTATCTATATGAACAAGTAATTAGGTTTCTGTCAGTGGCACATACACAGATAAACCACAAATATGACATGCATAAGAGAGCAGGTCTTAAAATGTATCATGAATTTTGTTGGGTCAGAAAAACCTAAAAAGTTGAGAACATCTATGTATATTTGAAAGTAATTGACACAAGACATGTAAAAGAAAAGACAAATACATTTAAAAGTAGTTGTGTAAGTGAAATTGTACAAACATATGCAGTACATGTATATCTGTAGTTTTGTAAGTAAAAATACAACAATATTTGGAAAGTCTTGTCATGAAATTATTCTTGTGTAGATGTGCTTGTTCCGACGCGCGTATCTTTCATAGGCCTACCAAACAGCGTGAACAATTGAGAGCAGCCAAAACGCAGGAAAAGAAAAAGTAACTTCACACCAACACACACACATGCATACGCACACACACACACGCACACACACACGCAGATACACAGATGCGCAGCTCGATCAATTTCTGCTGCAGAGCTGGCCAGCAAATCGAAAAGATACATACACGAAACGAACACTACACAAAATAAAATAATAAAATCGAAACATAAAACATTCTGATTGTAAGAGTGTGGAAGTAGGTCAGCGTTGCTGCTGCCGCTACTACCTCACCGAAGCGTCGTCTTTGCCTTCGTCTTTGCGTTCGTCTTTGCCGTCGTCGTCGCCGTCGCCGTCGTCGTCATCGCCAACGCGCTCTCGAACTTGGCTTTGGTCTCGACTGCCGCAACAGCAGCGTCAGCTCAGACACCAAAGCCAAAAACCAAACAGCTCAAATAAGAAGAATCAAAAACGCACACACACACACACATAGACACACACACACATACTAGCACACGCACGCTGATGGAATACTTAAGCATCCGCGTCCACTTGCACTTTCTTTTTCAAGCGCTGCCGCTTCGCTGCTGGCGTCGACGCTGCTGTCACAAACTTGATTTGCCTTTTGGTCTTTCGAATTTAACTCTGACTCTGGCTCATTCTACTTCTGCTCAGCTCCCAGTTCCAGTCCCATAGCGCAGGTTCGTGGCTTAAGTCTTTCGTTTGGGTCTGGCGCACGTTCGCTTCGCGCAGCTTTCGCTTTGTTGAGGGGGGCTCCATTGTTTTGGGTACCCTGCTGCTGCTGTCCAAATATTCTCTTGCGCCTTCCGAATCTTGCGTTATGCTACATTTGTTATAGGCCTCAATTTCACCAGCTTGTATAACCATTTCAAATTGTGTAAGATATCATCAATTATTAATATATATTCCTATGGTTATAAGTAATATCGTACGCGTCGTATACGCTGCTAGATGAGGCGACGCCAGTATGGAGTATTCTACAGATTAGAAAACACCTTATTATTTATCATACAACCAATGCTCTGATGCTCTCTAATTTTTCTCTTCAGGCATGCTTCGTGATTTTTTTTTCAACTTTAG